TCTGCTCCGGCATCTGTAGCCCCTTTCCGGAGCGCGTCACCGTCCGGCGGAACCAGGACAGCACTTGGTCCTAACAATGGACTGAAGGCGAGTGCTGCAGCCATGGAGCGGGCCAGACGCTGATTTAATCGAAACCTTTGGTCTATTAAATGTTCCATGCACGGGCTTCATTTCAGGGTCAAACCTTTCGCTCAATGATTATTATTATTATCAGTATAATTTTTGAAAGCAAGATTTCATGTGACGGGCAGGTGGTGGGCTGATGAGGTCAGAAAGAGTAACTGATGTTGATAGATGCTAGCGATCTAGCAACGGTGACCAGAAGCACCCTAGACATGGGCTGCGGACAATACTATATAGGGTTATATGATATTTGCCTCGAGTTCATGTTGCTGGATCATTTGCTGATATTCCAACGTCTAAAGATATCATTAGTACAAACCAGTATAATAGATAGCCAATCCGTCGATGGATATTGAACAACATGCGTCACGCCATCTCATCGCGTTATTGCGTACTGACTCATCTTCCCATGGGTTCCTCTCGACTCGTCGAGCAAATCAGCTCAGTGAGCAAGTCATCCGGCTTTAGTGCTCAGTTGTTCTCGGGGAGAAAAAGACTAAAACGGAATGGGAAAGCCAAAAAGTGGCAGAGGAAATAAACGTACATGTACAAGAATAGTCGGCCGCTTATGTGGCCGTGTCAAGTATTTTTTGGTAGTCTTGTATAATAGTCTTCTCAGATGGTCTTTTAGATTTTTTTTTAGATGTCTTTTTAGATGTCTGCATAGATATTGTCTCCCCCTTCTCGGTTTGTTTGCTAGACGGCAGAAAAAGGCGGGGGAAAAGCACACTTTATGCAGACGACTTTTCTACGTATATCCTTTGATATAACTTTCATCCATACCTAGGCAGAATTTGTGCAGATTACTAATCCCCCCCCGGTTTGAGCTCCACCCAAGCGGGGTCGGGGAATCAACGGGCCTCGGCCATTTCGGCTTGTAAAGATACAAATATGTAGCTAAGTTGGGGAACCAAACCTCTTTTTCCTGAATTCACGCTTTTAATATAACTGAATTCTAATCAATTCCAAAATGTCCGTCGACGAACAAGTCAAACTCTCCAACTTCTCCGACATCTTCTCCCTCGAGGGGAAGGTCGCTGTCGTAACAGGCGGTTCCCGGGGACTAGGACTACATGCAGCCTCAGGGTATGTATATTTCTAGCGCTATGTCAATTATTCCCCAAGACTTATTCTAACGTATCTGCAGTCTCCTCCAAGCCGGCTGCTCCAAAGTCTACATCACCTCCCGCAAGAAGGCAGCCTGCGACGAAGCAGTCGCAGCTCTCAATGCCATCCCCAACAAGCGGCCGGGCGCACAAGCCATCTCTGTGCCAGCTGACAGCTCAGACATGAAAGAGCTAGACCGACTTGTCGCTGAGGTGGCCAAGACGACAGATCGTGTTGATATCCTGTTCGCCAATGCCGGTGCAACATGGGGTGAGAAGTTCGATACCCACCCCGAAAAGATGTTCTCGAAGGTTATGGATTTGAACGTAAAGAGTGTGTTCTACACGATCCAGAAGTATGTTACTAGTCTAGCCGAAACTAGGGATGAAACACGATTCTAACATCGAACTAGATTCACCCCTCTCCTCACAGCGAAGGCAACCATCGCAGATCCATCCCGCGTCATTATCACGGCCTCTGTGGCAGGTATTGGGATTGGTACAGTCGGCGAGAATGCAACTCCATCTTATTCCGCTTCTAAGGCCGCTGCTATCCATCTGGCGAAGAACTTGGCTGTTGAGCTTGGGCCACGTCACGTCTTGACCAACGCTATTGCACCGGGATTCTATCCCTCGAAGATGGCCAGTGGACTCATTGCGACAAAGGGTGGTATGAAGCAACTCGAGGAGTACTCACCAAATGGTCGGCTTGGCAGGCCCGAGGATATTGCTGGTTTGGTTGTCTTCCTCGGGTCTAGGGCTTCAAGTCATTTGAATGGAGCGGTCATTGCAACAGATGGTGGAGCTGTACTTAAGGGGAGACTCTAGACTTTTGATCTATGTTGTTATAGGTGATAACGGAGACAAACAAGCTCAAAATACTAACCCGATCGAGGTTCCAATACAAAACCCCATCATCAAATTGAAACTAAAATCGCTTTAGCCCCCTGGTCCCTAACAGGACCCCCATGGAGATCTATCAAAAAAAGCCCCCTAATAAAGACTATAAGGCTGTAAAGGTTGTAATAAGATGGTACAGGATAGATGTGCAGGTGGTCTATCCCGATTAGGGAATTCTAGACCTCGACTAGTCAAAAGGAGACCTTGCTCATATTCATGCCCCCGAAGCCTACATATGGATTTTGAAATGTAACCCTGGAACCCCGATCAGTTTAGGTAGTCTTTTAAGACGTCAGTCAACGAAAAGGAGACCTCGGGTAACTACATACTCCCAACTAGGCCGAGGCGGCTGTTCTCCACATTCCCCGCATTAAAAACCACCTCTCCCCACCTCGATGTTTTTCCCACAACACATCCACCATGACCTCCCAGGAACCCCGATATGTGGCGGCTGCTCAGCGCAAGCAAGCTGAGCTTGCTGCAGCTATCCCTGCCGAATGGCGGCTACCCGCACACGTCATCCCCGAGGGGATGCTCTCAATTGCCGAGTCGATCACCGTTGGCCCGAAAAGTTACCAACGAGTCGGGGTAATGGATATTCCACGGACATGTGGTATACTTACACCCAAGGAATTGGAAATAACAGACAAATACGATGTGCGGGGCCTTGTGGCAGAGATGACAGAGGGTCGGTTGAAAGCCGAAGACGTGGTGCGAGGGTTTTGCAAGGTGCGCTCCCATGTTGGCCGATTATCTCTGATCAAGGCACTAATAGATTTGGATAATTGCAGAGAGCAGCCATTGCCCAGCAACTCACTCGCTGTCTAACCGAGCCCCTCTTCGACCGCGCCTTGAAACGAGCGCGGGAGCTGGACGATCACCTCCACCGTACGGGCACCCCGGTAGGCCCCTTACATGGTCTTCCGGTGTCAGTGAAGGACACATTTGATATAAAAGGCGTGGATTCAAGCATTGGATTATCTGCCCTGGCGTTCAAACCTGCAAAAGCGAATGCCCCACTGATAGACCTCCTGCAGTCTCTGGGCGCGGTAGTGATCGCCAAGACAAACATACCACAAACACTCGGAACATTGGACAGCTGCAACCACCTTTTTGGGCGCACGCTGAACCCGCTCAACCGTAAGTTGACTGCCGGTGGCAGCTCTGGCGGGGAGGGTGTGTTGATCGCCATGCGCGGGTCCATGGTCGGCTTTGGCACCGATATCGGTGGTAGCATCCGCGTACCAGCGATGTGTGAGGGTATCTACGGGTTCAAGCCGAGTAACGGACGCGTACCATATGGAGGCCAACAGAGCGGCCAGATTGAAGGTAAGGGCAGGATAGGGCTGCAAGCAGTGGCTGGTCCGTTAGCTCGCTCTGTTGCGGATATCAACGCCATCATGGCGGAGATCGTCCCTCGCGCGGAGCTGTTCGGCGAAGATTGCATCCCGGGCTCATGGTCGTCACAACCAATACCGCTTGCTCTCGCTCCGCCGCACAATTTCACTATTGGTGTTCTCAAGACAGATGGTCTCGTCACACCTCTACCCCCGATCGCTCGAATTTTGAACGAAGTCGCGAACAACCTCCGCCGTACGCCCGGCGTCGAGGTCGTTGATATCCCACTTCCACAGGTCCTACCTAAATGCCAAGCCCTCGCTGGCCGGCTGATGGGCATCGACGATGGGTCCCACATGCTTGACCTTATCGAGGGCATGGGCGAGGACCTCATTCCGTGGCTGCAAGGCCGAATGAAGCGCGGCAAGGCCTTGACGGTGGTTCAACTGGCGGCGCTACAGGCTCAGCGTGCTGAGGTTGAAAGGGAAATGATGAAGATGTGGACGTTGTCATCACGAGGTTCGTCTGTCGCTCGACGCATCGACGCCATAATCTGTCCTGTGGCGCCACACCCGGTCCCGGAGATCGACCGCTACAATGCCGTTGGGTACACGTCGACCTTCGTGCTGCTAGACTACCCGGCTGGCTCGGTTCCTGTCCGCTCATTCACAGAATCTGATCTTGAGATTGGGCGGGAAATGGAGGCACCTGTGTTGGGAAGTTGGGATAAGGCTAATCGGCAGCTTTGTAAGTTTTCGATACTAACACTTGATATACAGGTGAGCCTTCGCTAATTTGCTTCGATTTTACAGGGGACGAGAAAACGGTTGACCGTCGGGTGTACCTTGGATCACCTCTCAGTGTGCAGGTTGTCACTCCTAAGCAGCACGACTATCAGCTTTTCCAGGCCATGGAGATTGTTGATCGGGCTGTACAGGGCCACGGGGGCTCAACCGGTGCGAAGCTGTAGTTACTTCGAATGTATCTGTCCATAGCAACATTATATATGAACTTTTGTGAAATAATCACCATTTGGAGGTCAATATCCTATATCCTACCAAAATTCGCAAATATGTTAAGAAATTTACCAAGAAATACTCACAGGACTCGTCGGCTTGGTTTGCATGGGCTGATTCGTTGATTTGGACAATTTAACTTGTTCAACCAATCAGAAGACGAGAAATAAAAGTGTCAACAATTAAATTGGCCCAGGCCCACGGAACGGCCGATAAGCAATGCGGCTAACCCCTGATAAGACTAAAGCCAATATCGCGATGCTCTTAATTATGGCGCAATAGTTGCGCTATTACCTTCTCTGGACTGGCGTCCACGATACAATGTTAACGCCAAGGCAAAAGAAAAGAAAAAGAAGCAAAAAACAAGCAAAAAAGAAGAAAAAAAAAGCTTCCGAATCCACGTGTAATTTGTCTCTCATTTATTTATAATGTAGGGCCCCGCCGATCCTGCCTAGGTACGTACCTACATAGGTAGACTTACCTTCTTACCCATCACCTCGATCATCTTGAACCCAACATGTCCAAGGACGACAAGAAAGAACCAGGCTACGTCCTGGGCACCGAGACTGATGGAACAGACTCTTTTGATACCATCACTGCTCTGGTCGCCGCAGGTACCGATTGCGCTGCGTTGTATATCAGACTAAGCTGACATTACCTTTCGTCCAGACCATGAACATGATATCAAGCTTCGGACTATGTCGTGGCAGAAGACCGCCTGCTTGCTTGCCGGTGAGCAGGTCTGTCTGGCCATCATGGCACAGTCGTGGTCTCTCTCGTGAGTGACCGTTTCCTTCGAATACTTGTTTTCAATGAAGCTGACAGGGGTGTTTCACTTAGTGTCCTCGGATGGGTTCCGGGAATCATTACTATGGTCCTTTGCGGACTCCTCTTCTGGGTTACCTCGATCACAATGCACAAATATATCATGAAGCATCCTCATATCATGGATATCTGTGAGTCTGCGGCAGTCCAAGTCTCCCGATTTCTACTTGCAATGAAAGCTAACGGTTTAATTACCGACAGGCGATTTTGGATACCATGTGTTTGGACAGAGCAAAGCTGCCTACGTCTTTTCCGCATTCATGATGCTTGCGAACAATATTCTTCTCATCGGATTTCACGTTTTGACTGGCGCCAAGGTTTTGAATACCCTATCAGACCACTCATTGTGCACTGCTGTCTTCTCAATAATTGTGGCCATTATGGGAATCATCATGTCCATGCCCCGGACTTTGCAACATGTTAGCTTCATGTCAATGTTCTCATGTGAGTAGCTAAATCCTCCCCAGCTCTCGATTTGCTCTAACTGACCATCCTACAGCCGCCTGTATGGGTATCGCAATTATTCTCTTCCTCGTTTTCGCCGGCATCGAAAAGGCCCCTCTGTACGGATACAAGGGCAACTACCCCACAGACGGACCCGTGAAGACCTATGCGTTTCCTCTACCAGGCACCACATGGGTCGCTTGTATGAACGCTGTGCTGAACATCACCTATCTCTGGGTCCCCCAAATTCTGTTCCCAACCTTCATCTCAGAGATGGAAAGGCCGCAAGATTTCCCTAAAGCATTGGCAGTTCTCGCCGCGATCTCTGCCATCCTATTCATCGTCCCTTCAGCCATTGGATTCCGCTACCTGGGCCAATATGCTACCGCCCCCGCCTTCGGCAGTTTGGGAGTCGTCTCATACAAGAAAGCATCCTTCGGCTTCGTGATCGTCCCTACCCTGGTTATTGGCGTGATATACGCGAACGTAACTGCAAAATTCATCTACACTCGCATCCTCGGCAAGTCCCGACACTCGCACAGCCACACCGTGATTGGATGGAGTGTGTGGGGAGTAATTATGATCGGGATCTGGATACTCGGGTTTGTTTTCGCGGAGATCATTCCCAGCATGGGTGATTTCCTTTCCCTTCTCAGCGCGGCCTTTGATTCATTCTTCGGGTTCATTTACTTTGCTGTCGCATACTGGCAGCTGAACCGTGGATCGCTTTTCAAGAACCTGGGAAAGACTGCATTGACTGTGCTCAATATCATCATCATGCTGGTTGGACTGTTCTTGCTGGGTCCTGGCCTGTACGCAGCAGTTGAGGCGATCATTGCTGACTACGCGGGATCTGTCACGCCTGCCTTTACTTGTGCCAATATGTCTATATAAGGGGAAGCCATTTAATAGCCTTTTATTCCCGGATGGGTGATTTGATTCCATTTTTATGCTTTACGATGATACAAGGCCAGCAGGTCAGTTCAAAAGAAAAGGAAATGAACTGGAACATAACCAGCCGGTGAATATCCAGGTTTCGGTCTATCATGTATTTGTAGAGTCCTTATAGGCGATGGTCTGTTTTGAGATGTCATCGCGCACTGTGCAAGTGTGCCGCAACCACCTGCGTCAATTCCCTGCCTATCCCACCCTCGACCTCAGTTTCCTCGTCGCCTTTCGTACTAATCTCGCCCGCCTAGGATATCTCGCACTGACTACTATCCCTTTCGGTAGCGTGTCCCTTTTGCCTTGATATTACCAAACAGAGTTGCCGAAGGAGAGCCAACTGAGTTGCCGCCGGCTCAAATAAGACAAGGCGGGAGTATAAATGACCGAAACTCAGAGTGAGTTGCCGGTATCCTCAGATATGGAGGCCTTCGATTCAAATGTTTTCGGAACAAAGGCCGCAGAGTTGGAACTCGGGCCACTATGGCGACGTTTTGTTCGACGCCACAATGACAGATTAGACACTGGACATATCAGAATCCACCTATGCATGACGGAATGGTGTCACGCAGCCAGACTAACCCTATCAGGAACACAAAAATACCTTAAAAAGCAATATAAAATGGATTATGCCAACTCAGCCTCAATCAGACTCTCCGCAGCACCGGGACAAGTATAAATCCTAATAACTCTCAACCCAACTCTCTCCAGAATCCCTCTCCACTCAACCTCCGGCCTCTCCCTCACCGAGAAATGCGCCAACATCATCATGTCCATACTCGTCGCCGCCAGCGTCGGCTTTTCCTCACTGATAATTGCAGTCTGCAAGCAGCTGTCGATCGGTGTTTCTGTTGCGTTACCGAGATTGATGATTCTGTTTGTCAGTATTAACATTGGCCCCATTCCTGATTTCTTATTCAAAACTTAGTCTGACACGCTTCGTGTAGCGCATGCGGCTTATACGGTTTAAGTTCATTTCGACCATGACAAAACTGTTCTTTATAAAATCTCCAGCAGGTTACAGTACCAGGACTCGGGATTCTTGCCATCCTGAAACCGTCTGGGGATCTGACATGACCAATGTTGATGATTGGAATTTCCATCCATAGATGGGTGCTGATAGAGAACAGGCTCCTGAGGGGATTCCCGCCTTAAGTCACCTCTCATTACTTTTTTCTAACATTATTCCGATGTACTCATGCTACACATACAGACTTGAAATCATTTCCACCGCTTTATTCTCTTGGATCACTTTTCGAGCTTTATTTTGAAATGCCCTATTCTACTCAGTGATTTAGCTCGTTTTGATATCTAGAAATATACTGCTAAAATGCACTATCTCCTGTCATCTACCAGTTTTCCAATACAGTTTGCGATCGAGCCATCTTCCGCTTGGCATTACGCATACCGCTCGAACTATCGCAAAGCCCCATGTTAAAAAATATTCCTGTTCCCTCGACTCACGATTACAAACTACGGCACATCACCGGGCCGTGGACTTGATGTTGGCACTGAAGGCGGTGTGAAGCAAATCAACATCGCGCCGAGTTAGTAGGGAATAAGTCTGTTTAGTGGATCATCACCCGTATACCAGCACCTCTCAAAGGTCTCGTGCGGCAACTTATGGACTCCACATCCACATCACACAATTATCGAGCTTCACGCTCATCCTTGGCTTGCTCGGCCTGCCGCTCGCGGCATATGAAATGCGACGGGAAGCGACCTAATTGCGATCGCTGCTCTGAGGCAGGCAAGCAGTGCAGCTACCCTCAATCACGACGCGGTGGGCTTGACCGCACAGCTTTGGCTGAGCGCCGCAAACGCCTGGAAGCGGCAACGGATACTCGTCAAGTTAATCATCCGAGTTCGCGAGGAGCAACACTCCCGAAACCCCAGGCGCGTATCGCTCCGCACCTTCAGGTCGATTCTCGCCACGAGCCTAGTATGCTTGGTATCATTACTGGTGGTGGGACAGCCAGCACCTTCGTGCGAGCAGAACACGCAGCTCACTCGAACAATATCTGGAACGACCCGCTAATTGATTCATACTACAAAACCTTTCACATATGCCACCCCTTCATCTTACCAAGAAAACACCTGACAAAGTTGTATCAAGATCAGAGCAGACAACAAAGCTTTGCACCGCTGATTGCCGCTCTTCGCTTTCTTGGCAATATTTACAAGGCACGAGAATGGTCGATACCGTTAAAACAGCACCTCGAAACATCCATGTCACAAGCGGTTGCATTAGATCCAATTCTAGTTCAATGTCGACTCTTATACTCCATGGCCTTATTCTGGTACGACTACAAGGATGATTCCAAATTGCAGGTGACCATGGCAAACAAGCTCGCTATCGACCTACAAATGTTCCATCCCGGATTTGCGGCGGCGCAAGGAGCCGACGATCTTGTGCTGAGGGAATCTTGGAGAAGAACATGGTGGATGCTGTATATCGTGGACACATATTATGCCGGCACCTTGGGGACAATGAACCTTCAGGTTGTAAACATTGACACGACTATGGAATTACCGTGTGATGAGTCGGACTACGAGTCAGGGGTGAGTATCGACATTTTGTCTCGCGGTGGCTTGACGAATAAACAGCTTATGTGATTACAGAAAATACCGCCCCCCAGAACTCTACAGGAATTTAATTGCCGCGAATTTGGACCCGAGAACATACACTTTTCATCGTTCGCATATCTGGTTGGCGCCGTACAGTGCGCCGCATCTGCCATATCTACAACCCCCAGAATGATCGCGGAAGAAGACTCGATACATATAATCCAATCTGTGGACTGTAGCCTTGATGGATGGCGACTTTTGTTACCCTCACATCGCAAACAAATCATGGACGTGACCGGTGAAGTCGACGAGCTCATGTTCCAGGCTCATTTGGTGATTCATGTGTAAGCTTCACCTTCTCTATAACAGGCAGCTTCACGCTCACTCAACAGGTCAACAATCGCACTTCACCGTCCCTTGTCAGCCCTAAGATTCAACGCAGTCGAGAATGTATCCAGCTGTGCCCGTGAGCCGCCCCTTGATACGCCCACACCCGAGATGGTTAACGTACACACCACCAGAGTGTTACGGGCTATAGAGGCACAAATCCGCCTCTTAGCCTTACCAGTTCGACAGTTTCACCACACACCCTTCACCACTTGCATGGTGACCGAAGGGACATTGGCGCTGCTTTCAGCCTGCAGTGCCATCCTCAAGGGGAGTGATCTCGCCATTGCAAGAGATCAGATTCGGATGACGCTTGGATGTCTCAAGGTACTGGGAGAAGTGTGGCCGAGAACAGCGAGGAATGTGCGCGAGATACAAGTGATTGCTCAATGTGTACTGGGGCTTGAATATGTGGCGAATAATGGCAATGCGTTTGGACCTAGTGATGTCCCGTCTTTGGATACAGAAGGGACAGATTGGGGTTTGAATACCAGCGATATACCGAACACCAACATCGATATGAGTGCAATCATTGGGACTATCGATGATCTGTGTGGTTGGTATAATCTTGAAAATCCGGATGAACTTCCGTGGGGAATGAGTTATGGACTATAACTTCCCGCATCATTGTTATCTTACGTATGTATCCAGACACTCTCAATGGTTGGCACGCAAAGGAGCTGAATGCCAGCGTCAGGCGAGATGTGCTATTGTAAATCACGAGCTTTCCAAACGTTTAACCAATAGATTATTCGTGTCGCTGACCTGAAATATGTACACGTAAGGCGAAGAGTATACAGGTAACCCCAAGTCAGGGTGGTTTACCACCCACGCGAAGACATAATACACCGCACTTCCCACCAGTTCATGTCGAAGCTAATAAGGCTTGGTAGTTTCATGCCTTCATCTTCTGGGCGACAATATCCTTGTACTCCTCGTCATATTGCACCAGAACACCTGGCCCCTCTCGCTGCAGCGTCTCAGTGTCGAGAACGAAATTGACAAAAAACGCCGCTGATTCTGTCTTGCTGGCGTTCGCGCTAATCCGATGATGGCATCCTGGAGCTTCATACCAAGACCCGCCCTGGTCGATCACCTTCATCGGGTCGTTGTTCATTTTGTTCAGCACAGAACCCTTGATTACATAGGCAGAAACGGAAGCTCCTCCGTGACGATGAGGAGGCGTGGCACCATCGGGTGGGTATTCGACAAGCAGGCCCACAATAGTCTTCCCAGGGCAATTGACCAACTTATACTGGTAGACGAGGGTGGTAATCGCAAGAGGGCGGCTGGTGTTGAAAAGGAAATTAGCAGTTTTCTTCGTCGGGCGTGATATGCCATGTGAACATTGATACGCTTACCTCGGATCGTAGGTTGGTTCTTCCATGGCGCAATGCGTATGTATGTCAAGCACTCAAGGGATGTCCTGTAGATCGAGCTGTGTATGTGCTATAAGCTGAGCTCGTTGATGGTGCGGGCGAAGGGGCTCTTTATATGTTATGGGGGGTCTGGGTGTCAGCAACCAGACCTAGGTATACATTTGGCAGAGACTTTTGTTTTTCCTAAAGCCCAACAGCTCGAGCGCCGATCGATTACGTTGGGAAATCACCAACACGAGAAGGGGAGTTCGACATGACGGAAAGAATCTTGACATTCAACAAATAGTGTTGGTGCTTTCCGGCATATCATCCACCATGTGGGAATGGCCCCATCACGGATTCATGACCACCGAGTAACCGATATACCCATATTGTCACTTCAATTCGTGGATGAAGAATGACTCCGGTATGTCCGGTCTCCCACGATGAAGCCTGATTCGCGCATCCCCTCACAAGTGGGTCCGGGTATCCGTCCACGGGTAGCCGAAGAACCTAATTCCAAACGGATAGGCTATTCGGAGATCCTGCAGGGCCTATGATCCTTCATGGGCTCAGAGGAAAACTTGCTAAGGCCGGATCCGTAAGTTGACAAGCAATAGCTTTCCACTTCAAGCAGGTCCTCATCAATGTAGATGTCTGTAACCCAAGGGTCGAGTACTGATTGCTTACCTCCTCGGTCACAATAGCCTATTCATCCCTCGGGCGATACGAATAATCATCGCGATGATGTCATCGGCCTTCATGGGTTGCCGGTAGTCTTTATTTACAATTTTTGTCTACCTTTGGGTATCAATGAAGACGTTATAAACGCAGATATATAATTACAGCCTCACTGGGCATTCTTGAGGCTCCGACAACACTGCGCTTTAATTGTACCGCCGCTTCACTCGTTCTCAAACAGTCGAAACAGGACACCCGCAAACAATCCCCCAAAATGCAAGCTATTCGCGTGCATCCAGCTCCATCGTCCTGCGATCCTTATTCACCCTCCAATCCGGCGCCTGTTTCTGCCTTGCACCTGGATAAGGATGTCCCCATTCCCAAGCTGTCGAAGCCTGGCGAGCTGCTTATTCGCCTCAAGGCAACGACAGTAATTCGGGATATGCTGACGTGGCCCGAATCATATACCCGTGAATATGCCATTATGGGAAACGATCTGTCTGGAACCGTGGTCAAATCATTTGGCGGCAGCAGCAAATTCAAACCTGGAGATGAGGTCTTTGGCATGACACACGTGGATCGCGCGGCGACCTGGGCAGAATATACAATCGCCAAGGAGGAAGAAATTGCTCTTAAGCCAAAGAGTTTAACTTGGGAGCAAGCTGCGGCTTTCCCCCTCAGTGCGCACACAGCCTACGAGGCCCTGTTTGTCCATGCTGACGTTCCTGTTCCCTCTGTGGATGCTTCCTTGAAGAGCAAGGCTCGATCCTCCCATAAAAAGCAGAAAATATTGATCACTGGGGCTGCCGGCGCCGTGGGGATCTACCTGGTCCAGCTGGCCTCTGCTGCAGGACTGCACGTCGTGGCCGCGACGAGTTGTAACGCTCGAAATCAAGACTTTCTTCGCAGCCTTGGGGCAGACGGGACGATTGAATACGCCCTGTTGGATGGCCACCAGCCAGACTTCGATATCATTATTGATGCGGTTGGTGGTGACGTGTTGGCCAGGTGCTGGGCCTGCGTGAAAGGCGACGGAACATTGGTCTCCGTGGACTCTGCCAGCTATGACTTCGTCAAGGAGCATGAAAGGCGTGGAATACGCAGGGCGGGGGTTCGGGCCTTGTTTTTCATTGTTACCGGGAGCAGCGAGACTCTGCACTATTTGGCGGAACTTGCAGAGCGAGGCATTCTAGGGTCTCGGGTTGTTCAGACGTACCCTTTTGATAGGGTGCGAGAGGCGTATGAGCATGCTAACGGACGGTATACGGGACGTGGCAAAGTCGTTCTTATTAATTGAGCTTTTTGGGCTCAGTTTGTTTGTTTAGTTTTATAGTGCCTCCATACAACAACCTATTGTTTTTCTTCTCTGCGGGAAATATTTGCGCTGCAGTTACTCTCAGTATTCACGCCCTAGAGCAACGGGAGTATCATCATGATCGTCAGTTTCTTTTTCTTTAGATACATGTTCTACCCCTAGGAAAATCCGAAGTCATACTGCAGTACCTGGCGGATTTTGGTACTATTACCTCTTTTGGATGTATAAAATGCTTACTTATCTTAATAAAATACACTTTTTTGTTCGTGTTACAGGTAGACCTTGCCAACTCCCATGGGACCAAAAAGATTTTGGTCCTAAGACCTGCTGGAGATGCTTTTTGGAGGTGTTGGAATAGGCGCACATCTAGGGCGAGCCGGATTATTGCAGACTGGGCAGGCTGTGGGATAAATGGGGATTGTGTTAGCTTGTTTGTTGCGTTATTTGGCGAGGCGGGTCATCTTACCTCTGCCCAGAAAGTGCGCTGGATGAATTCGCTTGGGAGTTCGAGTGCGGCCACGAGCGCGCGGCTGTGTGCAATGAGCGCTTCTCGTGCGCCGGGTTCATTTTCTTTGAATGCATTTACTGACGAGGTAAGTTGTTTGAGGATTGAGAAAGGTTTCATACTGGAAGTGTACTGTGGGAATTAAGATGTCAATATAACGCATTATGCAAAGAGAAAAAGACTGATTAAATATCTCTTGGGGTAACACCGGTAGCATTTTGCGTTGAAACGTGCGGTCCTACCTGGTACGTTCCTCGATACAGTACTTCATTCGCGGCTTTACTTCCCGAAGTCCTCTCTTGTCTTGGAACCTATACTTTGTGTCATGTGTGAATGTTCAGTCTTTACATTGAGGTACTCGAGAGACTAGAGCTGCACTAGAGGGAACCACAACGGAAGTTAACCGTGGTTGACGACTCTTTGGGCAGGTCGATTTGTTTGATATCAATCAAGCACCATCTGATAACTTGTTGGGTAGGTCACACAAGTCAGGATGCATTCCTACGGGACGCAATATTGTCTATTTTCAAAAGTCACATAGACTTTGATTCGAATGTATATTGTCAACCATTTGCCGAGACTGCAAGTAATGCGTCCACCGGTCTCTGTACGAATTATCGTCACAATATCTAGTTTTTATGGAATTTGCGTAAATTGAAAGAGAAATTGGAAAGGCGCCAGTTATTGTGCTAAAATTATGACTGAAAGGAAGCGTGGACGATATCAAAACCAGAAGTAGTACATACCGGAAGTACCCCTTCTTTGAAACAGCGGTGTCGAGAATAATCCCTCTAATCCCAAGCACCAGCTACACGCTCATGCCTCCACCGAATCAAGTCCGCATTAATCAAGATTGGAATAGCCTGATCCTTAATCCACTCCGTACATTTAATCAACGGCCGACGAGGCTCTCCAGGCTCATAAAACGTCAAAGGATCCCAACTCTTAATGGGCTCTGTCTTCATCGTGACTTTATTGAAATCCTTCTGCTTCGGTGGCGCGGGGATAGACTTGAGGATATCGTTCCAATTCTTAGGATAGTTGAGAGCTCTGGTATGCCCGAGGAGTTCCTTTGAGAAGAAGTTCTCGTCTGTCTCGGGGTCGTCATATTTTGCTGGCTCGTAGTGCATGCCTGTGGCAATGTCGCCGGTGACGTGGTGCTTGATGCCGCTACGCGGACCTTGCGCGTTTGTCTGGACGAAAAGTATGGTGTGGTATCGGGGGGATGGCATGTCTGGGTCTTGGGTTGATAGTTTCAATTTGACTTTGTAGACTGGGTAGATCTGGGAGGTTGACATTTTAACGCTGGGAGTTGGAGATGGAGGTGAAGTTGAATTGGAAATTAAGGTGACTGACTTGTGGACAAGATGCTAAAGGTTTGATGATGAGAACCTCTGGTCTTTAATACCTTTCTCCCCGCTTTTTTCTTCTGGCAAATAGGGTATCACGGTATGCACCTAGCCGCCCAGACAAATTAGAAATAGTAGACTAACTATGTATCTCGACATTGGGTATGAGCGCTTAAGATCTTGTCTAACAACCAGTGTTGGTATTTCCAATATGTCCAGTCTTATTATCTCTGTATCATTCGTATATTCTGCTGAAAAATGATATTGTTAAATACATAGTTAAATATATGGTCTTTTAATTATCATATTTATGCCATTAATCAATCTGATCGAAAGCTGTACATGTGGTAAAAATGTTAGAGAACACCTTTATTAAAAGGCAGACAGCAAATGGGCCAACTATCTTGGATACATTGTATCTATCTCTAGATCCTCATAGTTGTCTCGAAAAGAATCTCTTCATATTTAACAAATCCGAGGTTATCTCACCACTTGGGCATTCAGATCATCTTTTTCTCTCATCATTGTTGTTTAGTCTCTTTAGCTTCGCTTCTTTTCATTATCAATAGTAATTTGTTGGCGGAGTTAGCCTGCTGCCTAGGTGTAAAACAATAATTAGCGCCGCAGAGTTTCATCTTCATCTTTCAGAATTATGGTGCTATCTTCTAGCAGAGATTCAAATGAAGGTGGAGTATGAAACAAATTTTTATATCGGTGGCCACATTTCCCACCCGCTAAGGGCTGCAAGGCCATTTCCTACATATGCTTTAAGCTATGAGTTTGTGGTATATAGTGAAGAGGGGAACGCTCAAGGCAGTATGCTCTCTGGCATACGGGTCGATTCAGCACTCGCAATTCAGCTTCATACCAACCAAAGGATACAAAGAGAACTGGGACGGAAGTCCAGGAAGTGAATTCAGAGAGGTGTAGGAGTGTGTATTGTCAATCTGTAACTACCTGCTACTTTAAACCTCTGCACATTGGTGCTTACATACCTAAACTCCAAAAAGAAAGGCAGGCAAAACTAATGGGTAGTGAGGACTATGTCCCCCACTACAATAGTTAATACCTAAATAGGAAGATATACGTGGTTTACATTCTTATATCAGGGGGAGCGTAATAATTTGTAGGGCTCCTACGGCTACTAATTTAAGTATATCTACCAATAAACGAGAGAGAACAGATCCTTAATTGATTCTTAGGTCTAATTACTCGTACTAAATAAAATCCACTTTCACTTACGTATACTCTTTCTATCTTTTACCTAAACGTAAGGATTAAGTTAGGTATAGTGTGCTTCCCTGGATTAAGCTTAATCCACGATGCCCGTTCTTCTTAATCAGACCCCTATATAGACCAAAGGCTATAAGATATCTAAGTCTTTCTTTTAAACTTAGTCTAAATAATACTTATTCACGGTGCAATAGTACTGGTTCGGAAACCTTGAAGCCTCTAGGTAAAGGGTCACACCCGAAAGAGAGTGTCTAAAGTTACTTCGATATAGACTAGGGTGTTTCAAAATAGACTTTTGGGAAATAATCAAAGAGTATAGTAGTGAAACTGATTTCGAGCGGGTCTGTAGACGAGACATCGAACATGTGCAGTTTCCCTGCCTCGCGTTTTGGACATATCAACGTATGCTCATGAACAGACAAGCCTTATCTCGTCCACGTATAGCCTAGGCTCTATAAGAAGATGATCACATATGGTCTCTAGTATCAGAGGGGTGAGATGCTTTGTCCCCGGTCATGGAAGGTCAAAATAAAGGATTTTGGTTCTGTTCCCCTCTATCATCTGGACGATGAAGCTTCCGATTTATACCCAATACATCGATACGGCGCGGTGTGAGCCATATAATCTGCAGACTAAGCTGCAGACCTAGCGGTTCGCCGACCTTAGGTCTCAACTTGGACGCGTTTCCGTGGTTCCTTCCACTAATAGTTACGGTATCTAAGAAAGCAGGAAGATTTAGAGGGATGTCCTAAAACAATATGAATTCTATTTCCAACCCTTTCCAACCGTATTTTCAATTTCCATGGGGTTCCATTTACGGATTTGGGGACTCAAACCAGCCCATATCCACCTCATCTACCGATCCCCATGTCTTTCTCATCTTCTCTATCAGATCTGCTCTGCCTTCGACAGCCAAGACCTCCATAACAGCACGATACGCCGAGTTCAACGCGCCAACAACCCACGCATGACCACTGCTTGTAGCCTCGCCCGCTGTGTGTAGTCTTCCGTTACAACTCGGCCGCATCAGGGGCGGGAGAACGTCTGAAAATTGTGCGGGTGCAAATAGAGCATAAGCACCGACTGAGTATGGTTGGCTATACCAGTCCCACAAATGTGCTTCCACTAGCTGGTCTTGGAGAAATGACACGGATACGTTATGTAGACGTGCCATATCCTCCAAGACTACATGCGTTATGAATTCTTCCTGATCTGTACTTTGGTAAAAGGCAGCTAGTCGATCAGCATCTTGACTCCATGTATAGCTGGCGATCATTGTTCCTGGAGCATCGGGGACATTAAGCCCATAGGATGGGTACACGCAGCGTCGGATAGGAAGGTCTGTGGATGATTGTCCGCCGACAAAAGGAGCAGGCAACACATCAGGGTTTTCCCACCAGCGAGTCTTAAACCAAATTCCGATTTTGCCTGCGTCATCGTAGGCTAGAGCTCGCCACGCCATCGTGGTGTTGTAATAGAGATCTGGCAAAGTGGATGTATCGAGGACCCTTGTTGCTCCAAGTGGGATTGTGCTGATTACGTGGTCATAAGAATGTTCAATTGTATGGTTGACGACAACCGTCAGGGAATCCACTCGTCCGGGATTGATGGCAGTCACGCGATTGAGCAGTTTCGGCGGTTTATGCAGGACTTTCAAAAGTCCATGGATTAGTCGCTCGAACCCGCCGTTGATTGTGACCCAAGAATCAATAGGAGCAGCCGTGAATATCCATTGTTCGATGACTGCCTGAGCAAGGGATGCTTTATCGAAGGACAACGTTCCTTCCTCAATAGTCTCCAACCAGTTGATCTGCGCGTTGGTAAAGCCTTTCTGCAAAAGGTATGCCCGGACGGACAGCTGGTCGAATTCCATGAGCTTATTAAATCCTTTATCGATGTTTTGCTGCAGTGCATCCACCAGTTCGGCGATTGCGTCGCTGTATATCGTATCGGGACTGACAACGGCGAACTCGGAGGGTGGAATATTCCCGCCTTCAGTTGTTAGGACATGGAATGTTGCGGCAGAGGGAGTCACGTTGGCATGAACAGATATATTGTTGTACAGCTGGAATGTATTGTTGGTAGAGAAGATATATGGGATCAGATCAATTGCATCGGCTAGGTCGCTGACGTGCGAGTTCACGTAGCTGACGACGGACCAGTTTTGAGCCCCAACCACTCGGTCCATATAGGGCATAACGGGAATTCTCATGGCACCCGCATCCTGGATGTCCAATTAGTTTTGCTACCAATACCCTATCCAGTTGCTTCTGTTTACACTTACATAATAATTATAATACGCAGCCTCCTGTGGGGTCGAATTCTTCCAACTCTCCAGGTCAAAATAATGGGTGTAGATTCTTCCGCCCGCGCGTCCGTCTGCCTCTAGGATTTCGAATTCGATATCCAGGCTCTGCAGCAACAGAGCTGAATACAAGCCCGCAGCACCTGCACCAATAATGCCAACCTTTAGCGGTGGTGGCTGTGATTGGCACTTTGGGTCACATGGTAATGCTGGAGGACCAGGAGGAAATTCGTTGTAGACTCCTGCGCGAGATATCAACTCACGGAACAGTTGGGCCCGGGCGGTGCCGACGTCAATGGCACTTTGGGCGCCGTGTAGGCACAAGAAGAAAAAGAAAGCAGAGAGGGAGAGTAAAGGCCCCATCTTGGCAGCAACGGAAGAATGCGATGATTCTCAAACCAAGCACACGATGGAAAATTATGATGTCTATAAAGATAGAAAGAGACAAACAGCCATTGTCTATCTATGTATTACATTCCACTTCTCCAATGTGGGGATGGAATGTGCATAGCATATTCACATTTAGCTTACTAGTACAAAATTTGCAAATATGATAGATCCACGCTTGGTATGTAGGAGAATTAGGCAATAACCTTATTCGTCTATGGATTATCACAGGCTGATACGACCATTGGACCCACGTAGCTTATCTGGGTTCCTCTGAACACGGGGGAATCTTTTCCGAGTGTTTACTCGTGCCATATCTCGCACTAGGGTCGACAATAGTTGCTCCTTAACATTTACTACCCATTTCAGAACATGCTCTTCACCTCCAGGCATACGTGAGACTCTTACACTGGAAAATCCGTTCAAAACTCCGAGGAGCTCTCGAAAGAACCCCATGCATCGACCATGAATTCTCCACCCCGGCGGAACCTCCTGTAGGCAGCCCCGCATCGATGGCCTTCCCACATACTTGAACACTACGAGACTATTTAGATGAGTTCTCCGTCGGAACGTCGATTTCAACGACGCGCTTCCTTTCGGATTCGATAAGGATACACTACCCCTGGTCACATTGACTTAAACACATCAACCTGAGCTTAATGGTTAAACATTTCAAATGTTCTGGTCCAGATCGTCAAGGTCGCGGCGAGAAATTTGTTCTTGGCAAATTCTTCATACTTGGTGGCTGTCATAGAGTGAGGGTGTAATCACGGTAAATTATGCAAGGGGCTGGATACTACGAAACTAACACAGCTCGGTGGGAACAGCTGAATTTGATGACAACCTGGACTCTCCGACGCAGAACTAAACGACGCTTGATTAAGTTGTCCGGAATGAGGGAAGGCCAATTAGGTATTCGACGTTTGAAATTTCTGTAGAAAAGTAAAAGCTTCTTATGTTACACGACGAGGAGTAAAGTTAACCGAGAAAGGTATGTTTGATGCTACGTTTAAGGTCATTCTTTAACACCTATGAAGATACCTTTTCTGTTAAGAGTATTAGGACTATATATTTATGAGCGGCTTTGATAACTTGCTAATTATGAATAAACAATGAATAAGAATTCCTATTCCCGTAGAAATCTGGGATTGAGGGCGACAGGATGGTACAGGTACCAGCTTAGTGCGTGGACTAACATCCTTATAGTGAAATCCAAATTTCTCTAGAGGAATCTAGGGCATACGCAAGGATAAAAATTTGGGAATTCAGCCGAAAAACTTAAAAGGCCAAACATTTAGCGTCTGCTCCTCTTACAGTCGTAGTAGTAGTATTTGATCTGCCACCATACAAAGATCGCGTGGGCAACGAAAACCCAGATCAGTCACTATGGGTAGTCGCACGCTTGTTAAATGGTTCAAAGGTCCAAAGAAAGCATTACGATTTAACGAAAACAAATATTGTATTAATACGTAGCGAAACACTAACCAACGATAATCAAAAATCCACACTCCCGTTGCAGCTTCAATTGTCTCTCAATTCCAAGCAGAGTCTGGTACTGTCACAGGCTGCGACGGAATCAGCGTCGATACTGATATATGCGGCCAGACTAGCTGGTCGAATACCAAATATACAATCTGGGAATACTGAATCTGTATTGAAGTGACAATGATCGTCTTGGGCGAAGTGATAGCATGCGGAGGGCTGACGAGGAACACCGGCGCGGGCTGAGATGCTGGTGAGACCGGGGAGAGTTTCATCGGGGCTTGTCCGCGCTTGTAGATTGGAACTTTGAGCTTATATTGCACCGTCTCGATCCAGAAGGTAGCATTCATTTGGATTGCATTGGCATTTGGAGTCGTAGCGGCGGGGTTGCCTTCTAAGAATGCGATGTTCGCTGTTCCACCCCCGAACACCGGAGGCGGAGGCGCCGTGGCCACCGTAAAAGTGGTGGTCTGGATAATAGTCTGTCCTTCGATGGCGTTGCGTAGAACAGTGTTTGGGTCATTGAGCATGTCTTGGGTGATGGTGCCGGCAGCAATGAATTTTGAGAGATCCTGTGGCAGTCGAAGAGTGGAGATCTCTGAGGCGTTCAGGCTATCAAGCGTCAATAGAGGACCACCGCCCACAGGGAATGGCGCTATGCTGGCTGGTGGGATCTCGGGTGGGCCTGAGAAATTCGTGGTAGGCGCTAGGCATTGAGCATTGATAGTTGTGCCATGTGGAATAGACGCCATACGCACGAGCGATTCGCCAAGGACTGGAGTATTGTTCGTGGGCGGGACGTTCATCCACAATCCAGGCTCGAAGTGAATGCCAGTAGGAGAACCATCAGCCTTCCCAGTTTTCTCGTTTGTAACATCGTTGACAGCCTGTACATAAGATACGCCATTGAGGAAGATGTCGTTCTGCGAATCAAGCCCGCGGTTAGGCACGGCGCCAAGATCGTCGGAGAACGTTATTGCGTCTTTTATGAGATTCAGCTCCAAGATGTTGTCGCTGGGAAATGTTGTCGTGTTTGGCGGTCCGCTATTCGGGCGAAAAATTGTGTTGAAGCCTGACCCAGTAAAGCTTCCATTGAAGTTCGTCAGCACACCCAGTCGCGATGGTTCTGTGGGCGCCGGCGATGCCCCTATGAATTGGACCGCCTCAAACTGGAAACCGGCGGGAAGAGATATCGCCATAGCTACTGTCGCAGTTCTCAAATGATGCTAGGCGGTTTGTTATCAGTAAAAATGGAGCAGAGTGGATAATTCAATTCCAGAGAATAGAACAGATTCTGTATGGCATGGAGGGTATTAAATACGATTTAGGGAAGGGTCATCAGAGACGCTTTATCTTGTCCTATTTCGCTCATACATTCTAGTGCTGGCCTGTTGGCTAATCGGATGCTTTGTTTTGGATCGTTGTCTGGTGTTGAAATAGTTCCTCTTGTAGGCCTGACCACTCCTTGACGCCACAATAGATTTTCGTAATCAAATAGAATGTCAGGGGAGCCATGGCAAGCCAAAACTTTTGCAATGAAAGGGTTGAAGGGACACCTGGCAATGTAGGGAAAGTATGGAATGTAGCGAGGTTTTGGAGGTTGGGGGATGTAGCCTGTAGACATTGACATGGCCCACCCACGGTAGGAAGTCCCACGCATACAAACTTGGGAGAAAAAACAGAAATATGACAGGTTAAAGAGTGACTTACAGTAGGAAGTTCAGATAGGAAAGGAAATACGGTCAAGCAAATAGCCAGAAAATAACACAACAGGTTAAGATAATTCATGCGAGCTGCCCGCACAAGCGAGACACGCAGTCCGAAACATAGTAAATGCGATATATCCTATATTTCTATCCCTGGAGATGATGAGATAAAGTTATGGATCGATGTATCAGAGAGAAATAATTGTATTCATGAATCTAAGGGCGGACGGAGAGCAGAAAGGAAGAGAGAGAGCTAAGCAGATCCTGGAGAACTGGAATCATATGATCCCAAGACTATCTCAACAACATCGTTTTCATTTTATCTCACTACTTGTCGATGGCTATTAGTAAGACGTATTAGTACTATGCTAGTTAAATAATGTGGAAAATCTTAGAGTGTTTTTATGCAGTATCCGAGGCCCACAAAAAGAAAGTCCGACACGGCCATCTTCAACAGTACGAAAACTAATAAAGCATCTCCAAAAGTATATATCCTTCTTCAATAGTGCACATTCACCGTGGGTCACTTGTTTCTGTGGAACAGGATCGTAGCCAAATGTGTTCTCTTGTGATGCGTCTTCGACGCCCGTCCTCGGGGTCGCGCTGATTGGTGAGCCACCTAGTTTAAAGTTTTGGGGGGGTGGCGTTTTCTTGCTTGGCCACGATCTTGGGGCCTCGCAGGCTCTGGCATTCAAAATCCGCTCCACAGAGGTATTCCAGATTAGTCCAGAATGGAAAGCATGGGTGGACAGGGGCTCACACATCCTGTGTTCCTCTGTGGCTAGACGGATCATTTGAACTATGGGACTCCCAGAAAATATCGTTATTGCACCCAGACTTTGCGACCCCGTGTTAGCGTAGCATGAAGTGCAAAGTTTGGCGCGAAAGTTACTGGAGCTCTGGTAACTAATGAAAGCCCAAAATACTTTAGCCCGTACCCCGTATTCTCTTCGATTATATACTTTTCTTCGCTCGTGGTCCTCTGTCGAAATGCAGTCTCGTCATCGCCGGTTGCACAGATGATGGTCTCTCCACTGCGTAGAATTCTACAAACGCGTTTTAGTCTACAGCATCAAACGACTCGAGCCATACCTTTCTGTTGCTGATATTTCTCACTGGCGTCAGTAAAGAAGATAATTTTGCAATGGCCCCTGAACCTTCCTCCTTGGGTCAGGAACCAGATGGGCTTGTTGGGGGCTACCAAGGGGACAGCACCGGTATCAAAGTGATCATGGGCATCCTGGTCGCCATCGTGTTGTACAATTCAATCGAACTCACGGTCCTCATCCTCATGACATTCCGTCGCTACAAGGGTCTCTACTTTTGGTCACTCACGCTTTCCGCGACTGTTGGGCTTATAACCAGTGGCATCGGCAACCTCCTACACTTCTTCGACATTGGGCCGTTGAGTTTGGCCCTCGCGCTATCTAATATCGGGTTTTACTTCCTGGTTCCCGCTCAATCCGTCATTCTATACTCGCGACTCCACTTGGTCCTTTTCAACCAGAGACTCTTACGTCTTCTCCTCCGCGCAGTGATCCTCAACGGTATCGTCTTTGCCATCCTAGTGACGATTATGTCATTCGGCTCAGCCTTCATGCAGACCGGCCCCTGGAATGCGGGGTATAAAGTCGTGGAGCGGCTGCAAGTGACCTGGTTCTGTGTGCAAGAACTCGTTATCTCCATGCTCTACATCCGGGAGACTCTCAAGTTACTCCAGCTTCGCCCTGCGAATAACAAGCGCCGAAAAAATATCATGTACCAGCTATTAGCCATCAACATCCTTATCATCGTCATGGATATCCTCGTTGTCGCGATCGAGTTCATCGGCTTGTATTATATACAAGTCTTGTTGAAGGTCACCATTTACAGCATTAAACTCAAACTTGAATTTGCTGTACTTGGAAAATTAACTACAATTGTGCAGGCTGGTCATATTGCGCCAACCAATCCGACGGAGTCACATATATTGTCAAATAACGCCAGATCCAGCTTCGAAGTACACAACGCAAATACATACGACCACCTAGAAGGGTTTCGTCTAACAGGTAGCACGTCGCACAGTGGAAGATCTCTCTATATACCGCAAAGCGCACAGCACAAAGACTTTGAACCACAATAAAGGATTCAACCTTTTCAGAATGAAAATTTATTTCAATATAACTGCTTCTCTATATCTTTCTGTCGAACGGCATATCGTCGTGCGTCGGTTTTCGGATGAGACTAGTTCGTATCTATCGATCGACATACAGGGAAGGAAAATCATTCATAATTACCAGGCAGAGGAAGATCGTGTAACGCCCCAGATGGAGAATTTGGATATCTAGAGAAAGCCTGACCGAGGTTTATTTTATCCATTTTGACAAACTGACCTCAGTAGTGAAGTGCGTTATCCGAGAGTAAGACGGCAGAAAAGCGGTATGTATCCTTTTATTCACTACTTTCTATTAAGGCTACTCGGGCCGAAAAGACAGATCTGAAAGAGGAGAGTTGATTGAAGAAGGAACTATCTGAGAGAGCGATCTGGAATTCGTTAGTTATAAACTAGGCGGGGTGGATACCTGAAACACAGGCCCTAGGGCACCCAAAACTGTCAATTCAAATAGATCTGACGGGATTCACATTCTCCATGTGAGAGGCTGCGCCTTTGTCTACCACCTCGGCTAAACCCATATGAAGGTCCCCGGCGTTATAGGTCTTTCGCATTTCGATCTTCTCTCGTCGCATCTCCTTTGATTTCTTGACGCCGAAGCCATCGTCGAAGAGGGTGAAGGCTTCGTCAACCGATAGGCCCTCTAGAAAAGTAAATTAGCAACGCACCATGGCTTGATCGACGGTCATTTCTCACTAGTTTCAGGGTAGCAGAAGTAGGCAATAACAAGGCCGATGATGATGAAGCAAAGGTATAGACCGTATGTGCCGCTGGGAGTCAGCTGTTCGAGTCTGTAACCGGGTCAGCCAAATTGCCCAATGCTACAACGGGAGAGAGAGACGGACTCGCTCAGGAAGGACACGGCGACCACCAAATTTGCTGTAAAGCTTGCGGTCGTGCTGATAGCACTGCCCGCAGCACGAATTTCGAGGGCGAGGTACTCGGACTGGTACCAACAAAGGTGTGCGTAGGTGGAGCCAAAGCCGGCGACGAAGATGACGATTCCGGCGATGACCAGGCCGACGTCTTTCTGGGGATATGGGTAACCCTTAACGAGGACGTGTCCTGTGGGCTTGCACATGAAATAGAAAGCGACTAGACACCAAGTGAGACCGATGACCATGATGGGACCGAATCTCATCAACAGCCCACGGCGACCAATCCGGTCCACCATGACCATGCCACAAAGAAGGAAGAAAGTATTAGTGACCGAGGGGATCAAACCGCCAACAGACGGATTGGAAAGGCCCAGGAGTCCGAACAGCGTGCCAGCGTAATAGAGCAGGGTGTTGTATCCAGTGAATTGACCAAAGACCTGGATAAGGCTAACAGCGAAAATCGAACGGCGGTAAGGCTTGTGAGTCCACAGCTTCTTCGAACGTTGCCAAAAAGTGGTCGAGCGTTGCAGAGCCTTGGTGGCGGCAATGTGATCTTTGACGATACGCAGCTTGAGCTCGATGATCTCCGGTGAGGCGAACTTGTAGATTGTCTTCAGTACTTCTCGAGCCTTGTCGTCCTGACCACGAAGGATAAGAACACGAGGCGACTCCGGCAGCTTATGCATGAGGGCGAGCTGCAGAAGCGAGGGCACAACGCCAAGACCGAAGAGGATCCGCCAGTTGCCCCTGACGTGCTGCATGCCAGCACCAAGAGCGACAGCGACTGTCTGGCCAAATGGAATGCAGAAGCCGTTTGTACCGACACACCGCCCACGAACGGCAGTGGGAGCCAGCTCTGTTATGTAAAGAGGGCATATAACAGCCGCCCCGCCCACTCCAACGCCAAGGATAAGACGACCAGCGATGAGCTGACCGAGAGAGAAACTCGATGCGATCACGATAGCACCGGTGGTAAAGAACAAGTCAGAGACCAGTAAGCAGGTCTTTCGACCCCATCTGTCGGCGAACATGCCCAAGATGGCAGCCCCGAAGATAGAGCCGATGGTGGTGGCCGCTGTGGCAATCTCCTGTTGAGGGTAGGAGAGTGCATGACCGCCAAAATCTGTCCCAATATAAGGAAGTGCAACACCGACAACGCCGGCGTCGTAACCGTATAGGAATCCACCAAGCGCCGCCTAGGGTTTGTCAGTCGATTCACAAAGGCTAGTACGCGTCATATCTGACCGAAGCAATCAAAAAGAACAGGTAAGGGGTCATCTTGTCTTCATTTTCGGCTTTGATAACGTGCTCATCCTGGAACCCTGATTAGTACTCTCCCGCGCCGTAATACGGTCGAGGACTTACGACGAAGTGACGTTGTTCGACTCCGGCAATCCCCTTTTGAGAAACAACAGATTGTGTCCTTGGTGGCTGATCTGCCGGGACGGTCTCGACGTGAGATAACATATTGTAGAAGCCCAACTGATTGTTTGGGCAAAAATAGAGAGGAAGATGATGGAAACTAAAAGGAGATCGTCGTTCATCGACCTATATATACATAACCTTGGGGATCCATTGCATCGTAGAAGTCGTACTTATCGTGAAGGTAGATGTTCTGTTGCGGGAAATGAGTTCCGTTAGCGTTGTCAAGGCCAGCACCCTACCAGCTACACATTCGGATAAAGTTGATGAAAAACCGAGGTTGACCTGGTTTAACAGGCAGAGGGTTTTTCTAAGCTTTGTGAGAGTGAGACTGCGTAATGGTATTGGAGGCAAAATTCAGAATCCGGGGTTGCTCCACCATCCATAAATCATTCATTGGCCGGTGACTAGTCTGATCAGATTGACTTTGCTCTATGCCTAGTCGAGATTTCCCACGGCTACCTAGGTACCTAGGTACCTACATGTAGGTAGATGGCCACCTTGTACGGAGTAGGTCCGCGACGCCCCGCCGCCTACCAATCGGCTATAAAACCGGGTGGTCCCAACCGAGTTTAACGTTCCGTCTCCACCGCGATCGGCGGGGATGCGGAGGCGGTGTTCAAAAGCGTGCTCAATTTTACTCTGAGATCAAGTAGCGGCAAGAGGTGAGCACAAGGGGAAAGTTTTCGAGTGCCAGGCATTATCCGGTACATATGCAGTTGTATATACCGGATTTTCGGCCGTCCATGTGAATTTCCCGATCGGGGTGCCACCGCTTTATGAGGGCGCTGAGGGTCGGGTCATGGCCCTGAGAGTCGAGTCGCACCATCAACAACCCTACTTTCATGGAGGGTTAGGGTCAGGGCTCACGACCCAGCACCCTCCGTAGTCCGGGCCGCCGCGGGTTGTGGCGAGGTCTAGAAGTGCACCAGCGTCGTATCCGTCAGTGTCCCACCTCACTGCTTTTCAAAGAAGCCTGTGGTATCCATCTGGCTGATCCCGGGATTGGGAGTTGAGGGCGACGCTCACCTGGGACCGAAGGTGCAACACCTGTCCCGGTTACATATCAAACCTCCTCCGCCCAACCTCCGTCAAGTAAACCTCACCCCCGCAGAACAACTCGATGAGGTAGCGTCCGGGAGCTCTTCGCGAATCCAGCCAGGAGACCTGGGTGAAAATGTGACTACCCAGGGTATCGACCTGAAAGGATTGTCTCGGGGCACGAAGCTTCGCTTTGTGTCAGCCACGGACGGTGATGCAAAGACTAATGCGCCAACCGTGGTGGTGATGGGGTAACAAGACCCTTGTCCTTATATTGACAAGTTCCGGGCTGGGTTGAAAGAGAAAAATGCTCGTTCGAGACGAGAGCCGACAAATTGTTGGTCGACGGGTTGGCGTGATGGCGACGGTAGAAACGGGAAGGGAGACCACTCCGGGAATGAGGATTTTGGTGGAAGAGCGGGCCGTCCGTTTTACCTTCGAATGTGTGTAGCTCAGATAAGGAGAAGAATTCTACTGGCGACGGGCGCATATGTGATCAACTTGAAACCACCCCGATAGAGCGCGCGGATAGGGCTATAGTGGAGATGTGGGGATCCTCGCAGGTCCCCACCAAGCCGGGGAGTCTCCGCCGTCAAACACGTCGCTGGGCGTCTCGGGATGTCGTGGACTCAGGGGAATCGCGCCCAGAGGTCCCATCGAAACATGAGTTCGACGTAACAAGATCGAAGCGGTGGACTGCACAGGTACTTATATGTAGTCGCTGCATGGTCTGCTTCTGTTCCCTCTGCGTAGAGGTTACAGGCATAAATTTCTTTCTTGATTGACATTGTTTCCTTTTCCAAGTGTTCATTATGCCGGAGACATTCGATGTAGAGCATGTTCTAGCGAACATCAGCGAGCAGGACAAGATCGCTCTTTTATCCGGTAACACAAAGACGGTGATCTTTAGGGACGTCATCCGCTAAAAAAATGGCAGGAATTGATTTCTGGCACACACATCCAATCCCCAAATTCAAGGTTCCCTCGATTCGCGCCACCGACGGTCCCAATGGCATCCGGGGCACGAAATTCTTTGCCGGCATCCCCGCCGCATGTTTGCCCTGCGGCACAGCTCTGGGCGCCACCTGGGACCGAGATCTGATATACCAATCGGGGAAGCTGTTGGGTGACGAGTGCATTGCGAAAGGGGCGCATTGCTGGCTGGGTCCGACAATCAACATGCAGCGCGCTCCCCTCGGTGGCCGCGGGTTCGAATCATTTGCGGAAGATCCGCATCTCTCGGGCATTCTGGCCAAATCAATCATCCTCGGATGCGAAAGCAAAGGGATCATTTCCACGGTGAAGCATTTCGTGGGCAACGACCAGGAACATGAACGCCGGGCGGTGGATGTCCTCGTCACGCAGCGAGCCTTGCGCGAGATCTACCTACGACCCTTCCAGATTGTGGCGAGAGATGCCAAGCCCGGCGCGCTCATGACCTCGTATAATAAGATCAATGGGAAGCATGTGGTGGAAGATGCGCGCATGCTCAATCTGATCCGCGAGGAGTGGAAGTGGAATCCGCTGATTATGAGCGACTGGTACGGGACCTACACAACCATCGACTCCATAAATGCGGGTCTTGACCTGGAAATGCCGGGGGTGTCCAGATATCGGGGGAAATTTATCGAGTCCGCCGTGCAGGCTCGACTGATCAAGCAATCGACTATCGATGCACGAACGCGAAAGGTGTTGGAATTCGTGAAGCAAGCGAGTCAGGTCCAAGTGTCAGAAGTGGAGCGAGGACGGGATTTCCCAGAGGATAGAGCGTTGAATCGCAAGATCTGTGCCAACAGCATCGTCCTCCTCAAGAATGAAGGCATCTTGCCCCTTCCAAGAGAGATCAAAAAGATCGCCCTAATCGGATCTCACATGAAGACTCCCGCAATATCGGGTGGTGGCAGTGCGTCGCTTGAGCCATATTACTCTGTCTCGTTATACGACGCCTGCAGGGAAGCACTTCCCAACGCGGAGGTGCTCTATGAAGTGGGGGCATACGCCCATAAGATGCTCCCCGTGATAGACCGTCTCCTGAACAATGCTGTCATTCAGTTCTACAACGAGCCGATGGGCAAGGAACGACGTTTGATCAGCACTGAGCCTGTATCGACGACGGCGTTCCAGCTCATGGACTACTATGCTCCCGGCCTCAACCGATCGCTCTTCTGGGCTACACTGATTGGCGACTTCACGCCTGACGCCTCCGGGCTTTGGAACTTTGGCCTGAGTGTATTTGGTACCGCAAATCTCTACATTGACGACGAGCTCGTGATCGATAACACCACGAGCCAGACACGGGGGACGGCATTCTTCGGCAAAGGCACCGTTGAGGAGCTGGGATCGAAGGAATTAGCTGCTGGGACTACATACAAAATTCGGATTGAGTTCGGCTCTGCCAACACTACCACAATGAAAACGCTGGGAATGGTGAATTTCGGTGGGGGCGCCGCAAATCTGGGGGCCTGTCTACGGATGAACCAGGATGAAATGATCGAGAATGCCGTGGAAGCTGCGGCAGAGGCCGACTACACCATTCTGTGCACTGGGCTCAACAAGGACTGGGAATCTGAAGGGTTTGATCGCACGCATATGGATCTGCCACCAGGAGTTGACCGGTTGATCTCGAAGGTGTTGAAGGCCGCCGCATACAAGACCGTCATCGTCAATCAGTCCGGTACACCAGTTACCATGCCATGGGCCGATCAGGCCCAGTGCATCGTGCAGGCCTGGTACGGAGGTAACGAGGTGGGTCATGGAATTACCGATGTCCTCTTCGGAGAGGTTAATCCATGCGCAAAGCTGCCCTTGTCCTGGCCGGTGGATGTGAAACACAACCCAGCCTACCTGAACTACGCCAGTGTGGGTGGCCGAGTGCTCTACGGCGAAGACATCTATGGGGGTTATCGATTCTACGAGAAGACCGGACGAGAAGTCCTCTTTCCATTTGGGCGAGTTGGCTCCTTTGTCTCCTAGTCTCATCTAACCATATCTCATCTAACCGTATTGTAGTCACGGCCTGTCATACACGACCTTCAAGGTCTCACCGAGTGTTACCGTCGCCCCGGAGATCTTCAACATGGACCGTCCTGCGGTCGCCACCGTACAAATCAAAAACACGGGCAAGCTGGCGGGCGCCCAGATTCTCCAACTGTACATCTCTGCCCCCGAATCCCCAACCCCGCGCCCAAGCAAGGAACTGCACGGTTTCGAAAAAGTATTTCTGCAGCCTGGGGAAGAAAAAACGGTTGACATCCAGCTGGACCGATATGCGACCAGCTTCTGGGACGAGATCGAGGACATGTGGAAGAGCGAACAAGGGTTGTATGAAGTGTTGATTGGAACCTCTAGCCAGGAAGTGGTGGCCCGGGGCAAATTCCAAGTGGATCGCACCACGTATTGGCGGGGACTCTAAGCATATTCATCCCGCTTTGGGTGAATTGCCCGGCTAAATGAGGCCGTCTTGGCTTGATTGGAGGGATGATTCAGCCATTCGCCTAGCCCATCACCAATCACCGACATCGTCGTTTTTCTCTTGGCCTTTTACCAACCTATGTTTCTCTGAGTATCCCGTGTCCGACTGCAGGACGCCCCACCAGGAAGAATGGACCCTTCGTCGACTGCGCGACCTCGCAAGAATACTCGGGTGCTCAGCGCATGCGATGCCTGTCGTCTCAGCAAGACTCGATGCGATTCGGCACGGCCAGTGTGTGCCAAATGTATACAGCGGGGTGTAGCTTGCGAGTATCCAGAAACGGATGCCATCTCAGTGTCGGTTCCCATAGAACTTTTTCCATTAGCTGAGGCATCTAATAACCAACAATTTTATCTAAAGTCTAGATACATGGGGCGCTAGAATCCTAGACGCAGTAGAACGTCAAGAGCGGCTTCTGTCAGAGAGCCTGTCTTTGAACCGGGGGCCTCCTCTTTTTTCGCAACAGGCGTCGCCATCCCCAGTGGACGAAGTAGATCCCGAGTCAATCTCGCGCAATGATGCGCTCAAGACGCCTATTACCGGGTCGGACATGATTCTCAGCTGGCCTATTTTTCCGAAAGAGAAGCCTGTGTCGACTTTTCCAATGGCAGCGTATTCCGAGAAGCCAGATCGCTTTCAGACGGGTATGGTCTTCTCGACGCATCATATCCCAGAATAGAATACTAATGGGTCGTTACAGCTCTACCAAGCTTAGATCCCCAAAGGCTCCTCGAACTGCGCGAGATTTTCATGACCAAGATCTGGACCAAGAACCCGATCGTCGACCCGGACCAGCTGGACTTTTATATCGCTCGAGTGCTGGAAAATGGCATTGACTGGTCCGCCTCGTCGTGCTTGGTGCTACTTGTCTTTGCGCTTGCGGCCATCTGGGGGAATTATCCCGACGACGAAACCCGCGAGGTCTCGTACAATGAACCATCATTTAGTCCACCGGTCACTTACGTGACGATGTCGGTTCCGGAGCACCGAATGAAGGAATCGTTGACCTTCCTCTCCATGGCGCGTAAGCGCATCTCCACTGCTTATCTCGACGATACTTTACTGGGAGTGCAGTGTCTCTGTATATTCGGGTGAGCTCCTTCCTCTCAACTGCTTCGAGATACGAATGTCTAACTCCCGCGTAGAATTTGGTATCAGTTTAACGTCGAGCCGATCCCGGGCTGGAAAATGTTCCGGACAGCATCCATGCTGTGGCAAACGTATCGTTTGAAGCACCGCGAGGGAAAGACGATTAGAAGTGCGCAGGAAGAGAGTGGGTGATTTAATCTCTCCATTGCGGATATGTCTAACTCCCCCAGGTCTGGAGCAGCGACTCTACTGGACATGCTTAAAATCCGAATGGTATAACATACACCACAGACCTCAAATCCTCTCACAATTGCCTGACATACAATAGTGAGGTTCGATATGAACTGACGGATCTCCCACCCTGTGACCTCAGCCTCTCCGACTTTCCTTATTCTCTCCCGAGCTTCCCCACGAGACAACAATCTAACGACACCTCTGGGTGGATGTTTTCCAGTCCCTCGTCCACAGACCTCGAAGCAGCATCTTCCTACTATTACCTGGCCGAGATCTTCTTGCGCAGGCTTCTCAACCGGGCCCGCAATGCGGTCCGTGTGCTCTCCCCGGATATCGACCTGCCGACCATCAAGGTTCTGGCAGAAACTCTGACACAGCTGGAAGGTCAACTCCAGCAGTGGGTAGACTGTCTCCCACATACACTCCGGTTCAACATGCCTCTCGAAACCGCCCCCGGACCGAAGGAGGGTGAGCTCATGAAGCTCAGCCGTGAGCGATACGTCGAGGTGCGCGAACTGCTCTGCCGCGCGTATCTATACCTGTGCATCCATGTACGACTCGACCCAGGGATGGCGGCGCTGTATGGGGTCAAAGCGAGCGAGGCGCTACTTTTGGCAATTTATCGCATCCAGACCGAGGTGGCATTCTTCCGGCATCCGGGGTCATGGGGAGCATGTCGAGTCCGGTTCAACCATGCGCTTTGCCTGATTGCGGGATTTCGCTCAAAGCTGACGCAGCGCCCGTCGGCTGAATATGTGAGCATCCCTCCCGACTGGGCAGACTGTGTGCGGGTGGTGATTGAGCGGTTGAAGATTTGGGGCGAGGAGGGTGGCGGGATCAAGGAGTTAAGTGTGCTGCTGGAGTGGCTGATGCATGGCAATTTGGAATTGTAGAACAAAACACAAGACGTGCATCTGTTTGTAACGGATCGCAGGATTTCCATACATGCTAGTACTGAGGGAACCAATTGAACGAGTTGATTGAAGAACTATCCTGGAGATCGCTGTTGACAGGGTCTCACAGCCTGAGAGGCTAGTATTAGCGTGTTAAAACGCGAGGTATTCCGAGATGACCCAGTTTACCTTACAAAAACATATAAAGGAGTGGGTAGTCGCTGAATCAGCAAGTTCTTGGTGGTAAAATACCCTCAGCTCGACAGTTTGTCTCAGCCAAATTACTCCTTACAGAAGAGCTGCTACAGCTCCGTTTCTCTTCGAGCCGCAACGCATCTCCCACACTAGCGCACTAGCGGCGACCGACATCTTACTCTTGGCCCGAGGCTCTCGGGGAGACTCCGCGAAGTCCCTGTAGCCTTCTTTAGGCTAAGATGAAGTGCCAAGACTCTCGTGGGATTGGCGTCGAGCAACCATATCCATAAGCTTGCAAGCCAGAATCCCGCCCTTCTTTCCCCCCACCTTCCCCACCCACCTCCAGCTACCCCGTGGGGTGGTGAAACTTTAATCCCTCCAGCGGGGATCGTACCCGGATTTTGTCTTCATCGATACGATAGAGTGAAGCCATCCAGCCCGTCTGTGCATCACCTGATGGGTCAGACGGACCTTGGCTGTTTGGGGCTGGGCCAACTTGCCGGGTCGAGGGGTCTCGCGCTGGATAAAGAGCATAGAACGGAAAAGATATATAACCATTATTCGGTTCCGGCGAGTCTTCAGGGGTCCACGGATCAGCACTGTTGTGAGCATCCGAATATCAGCCTTTCAACATGGTCGTGGTGGGAAAACAGCGCGAGGAGAATGTTGCCGAGCCTGTGCTGGCTAACTTGCTGATCGATGACCGTACGCCTTGGTACAAGAAGCCGAATCTGAGACGGCTCTATTTCATCTTGTTTCCGGCGTGTATGGGTATCGAGATCACGTCGGGATTCGACTCGCAGATTATCAACACGGTGCAGATTGTGTATACTTGGAACAAGTGCATGTCTTCTCGATCCAGGATGAGCTCTGCAGGAGACTAACGGTGCGATGTAGATTTTGGTCATGCAACCGGGAAGATGGTGAATGGACGCCACGAGTACGCCATCGAAGCGAACCTCAAGGGCTTTCTGGGTGCTGCATACTCCCTCGGAGCTATTATCTCCCTGCCTTTTGTCCCATACCTCAATCAGCGAGTCGGACGACGATGGACGATCATGTTCGGTTCATGCGTGAGCTTGGTTGGGGCCCTCATCCAGGGCTTCTCCAATGGAGGTATTCACTCCTCTCCTAATGATTTCTGTGACATATCTGATGGTTCCCAGTGGCCATGTACATTGTCGCGCGTATCCTTCTAGGATTCGGAATCCCGTTCTGCATCGTCGCAGGGTCATCTTTGCTGGGAGAGCTGGGTTACCCCAAGGAACGACCGATTCTCACCTCGCTGTTCAACTCCTCCTACTTCATCGGCCAGGTCATCGCGGCAGCCGTGGGCCTGGGTACGGTGACCATTTCGTCCAACTGGGCATGGCGAATCCCATCTCTGCTTCAGATTGCGCCCGCCACGGTCCAGATCGTGACGGTGATGTAGGACGCTCCCCGCCGCTATCCCGACTGCTCCCACTAACACACGCCCAGGTTCCTCCCCGAAAGTCCCCGATACCTGATCAGCAAAGACCGCTACGATGAGGCCTTTGACATCCTCACCAAGTACCACGCGGAGGGCGACCGCAGCTCGGTCATTGTCAAGGCCGAACTGGCGCAGATCGAACGCACCATCAAGATGGAGCTCGAAGAGTCCAAACAATCCTGGTGGGACATGTTCCGCACGGCCGGTATGCGTCGTCGACTGTTCATCTCCGCGTTTCTCGGCCTGTTCACGCAGTGGTCCGGCAACACGCTCATTTCGTAAGCATCCGCCTGTGGCATCTGCCCTATATACCTTTCCCCTTCGCTGATCCATGTAATAGGTACTATCTTAGCGACCTCCTGAACATGGTCGGAATCACCGACGGCGTGACCAAGTCCAAGATCAACATCGGCATCGCCTGCTGGGGTCTCGTCTGTGGCACTGCGCTGGCACTGACGGCGCCGCGCTTCAAGCGTCGGCCGATGTACTTGACCTGCGCAAGCTGCCTGCTGTGTGTGTACATCGCATGGACCATCTCCATGGAGCGCTTCATGAGCACAAAGGCTCAATCCGCAGCCATTCTGACCATCTTCTTCATTTTTGCCTACTCGCCCGCCTACAACCTCGGCTATAACGCCCTAACCTACAGTGCGTGTCCCTTCCGTTTCATAGCGTGTGTATATACTGACATGAACAAGCGTATCTGGTCGAGCTGTTCCCTTACGTGGGCCGCTCACGCGGTCTCTCCTGGTTCCAGTTCTATGGCCGCGGCGCAAGCTTCTTTGCCACCTACGTGAACCCCATTGGTTTGACGCGCATCGCCTGGAAGTGGCTCCTGGTGTACTGCTGCTGGCTGGTATTTGAGCTGGTTTTTATCTACTTCTTCTTCCCCGAAACTGCGGGCCGCACTCTTGAGGAGCTATCGTTCTGTAAGTGGTCTTCCTGCTCTGCTGCAAGAGACATAGCTAACGTAAGCAGTGTTCGAGGACAAAGACAAGGCCAATGAGGTCGCTGCAGCCGTTCACAAACGGCTCGATGAGGATGACGAGAAGAAAAATGACACGGCACATGTGGAGGCCCAAGAGACCAAGAATGCTGTTTGATGGTGTCATGATTGCTCTTATATAAGGATGGTAGGATGAACGTGTGGAACAAAGTTAGGGTTTTAATACCGAGATTGGACGCTTCGAAGATCCGAAAGATTTCATAAATTATACTGTAAGAGACGCGGAAATAAATGTTTCGTGTATCTAACTTCAACGCAATTCACTCCAATTTACATCTTTCTAAAATAAGGATAAGAACTTAGTGTACCTGTCTGTCTCATGCGAGACGGTTGCCGCTAAAGGAGGATAGAGTAGCCTAGCCAGCCATCTAGTCAGAGTGCGTTGCCTGGTCAAATACGCCATGCAAACCCAGACGTGATCTTCCCGTATATGTTCATGATCATGATATAGTATATCCTTATCAACGAATAGATGCAATGCCGAGCGCTCTGAATCAGGCAGCTGCCGCCAGAGAGCTACAGTCTTCTCTTCTCCGAACTCAAAACTGGTACCAAAAATGCGGTATACCCGGCCAATCGGATGCACAGCCATCGAGTGCCAGGACTCGAGAGTCCAACTTAGTCGAAGGGGCCAAGGTATCCTGCGATGCTTGAAGGACCGGCTCCAAGAGACTTCTAGTGACATTCGAGCGGGTCCGGCCACGGCATGAACGGCACCATTAGTTCCATGTGCCACGTGAATTAATAGTCGATCGACTACCACATCTACTGGGACACAATCCACGCTTGAGTCTTTCTCGGGGTTACTAAACCGAGATGAGAGACGTATCGTCCGCGATGGGACTAGGGCAACCGCAGCTGCAACAATAACATGGGGGGCTGACATAGGGTGACAGAACTGTCGGTATGGAAAGTATTGGGCTGGTTCAATGATTGATGGCCGTATGATGAGCAGGTTCTTGTTGGATGAAGCAAATGTACGTGTCAGCAGACGCTCTGTAAGGTGCTTTGCGTATGCATAGGCCCAAGGAAAGTCGTGGGACTGGAAGGCAGATGAAGATCCTGTCTTTCGTACATTGCTCAATTCTTGTTGCAGAGATTCATCTATGTCGTTGCCGTTTGCGGAACCATATAGCGGGTACAAGGATTCCTGGATTTCAACGCCCGAGGTTCCATCAGTTTGAGAAAAGAGATGACCATTGGCATAAGCTGAAGAAACATATGCAAAGCATTCAAGCTGATCGCATTTCAGCGCAATGTGGGCTAAGCGTTCCGTGGCATTGATGATAGGACCAACAAGTTTCTCTAGTCGGCTTAGGAGTGCAATTGAAGATGCCGTATGTATAATTATATTAGCCCGACGATGAAGCAGATCCAGATCATCCGGTCCTAAGCCCACGTCTGGGCGCAACATATCGCCGTCCATGACTGAAACCAGTCGAGGATCGGTCATCTGCTTCACGATATCGGGTGGAAGATATTCACTCCATCTCTGGATGAGTCTCCTATTTTCATAGAATGAGTGAGTCATAAATCAAACGTTGGGGAGACCATGCAACCAACATACGGAAGACCTCCTCGACAAAGGATGTAGAGATGAGATACAGGGGCTTGAGTGACAAGACGGTAGACAAGGGCCGTTCCCAGAAAACCCGAACCTCCGGTAATGAACACCACCTTTCCTGTGTAGTAGTCCCACATGACTTGGAGAATAGAGGTGGGCACAGCTTTTGTTGAATAAATATTGGGACAAATGCGACCCGTGACTCTTATATAGTTAGTGCCTACACTACTCCAGAATACATGGCAAATAGATCGGCAAGAGCATATTGATCGTCATCGATAACCTTTCATTTCAAGGGGTATGCAGTGGAATCAGACCGCTTGATAATATACGTAATTTCCCAACCAAGAAACCTTGGAAAGCATCGTTGTCTTACCATGCAGTGCGATGTACTAAACCTTACCTCGCAGAATAGTAACTCGGAATCTAGAATGTCTATCACAGTACCCCGTATTAGGTACTCTACTGTGCAAAGGGTTGTTGTCTCCATAGATCTCATTCGGCTCTTGCTGCTCCTCCTTTCCCCGTCCCCCCAACCCCATTCTACACGGTAAAATCGACTCCAGGGGCGGAGCTTTGCACCACAATGGTATAGAACCAGTATGCCTGGAATTCCCAACAAAGACGCGCCTCCCAAAGATGTTACACCCTTGGCAATACCTATACTTGCTTTTGAGAAAGACCATTCAAAATAATATTCAAAATATTTAACATGTTTTGTAAGACGCTTCTAATTGAATGAGAATGGTGGCGAAGAATAATCATGTCTGATTTTTACCTAATTAAAAGAGGAAAAAGGAAAATAAGCCAGAAATTCACATGGGGGTAGCATCATCATCATCATCCACGAAATTACTAGGGCTTTTTCTGACACAATCTCAAGTTTATCCCCAAACCGGACCATAGTAGGTGGTGAGGATATCGTGTGGCGCTACAATGTGCACCAAACCTTGCCTAACTGCATACATATGCAGAAACGGGTAAATTTTCCAGCAACCAACCATTATTAGAAAAAAGCGTTGATCATGCCGTTCAATGATTTTCTTATTAGCTAAGTTTTGAATTATTCTCACATACCGTGGCTGCCCGGTCACCGGCAGTGGCTTATCATAATCATGTTTTGATCGATAGCTTTGGAAGGGAAGCAATATTGGAACGAACAAAACGCAGAAAGCTTTTCTATGTGTAACGTATGTCGAAATAATGGGTCGAACTATGCAGATCCGTTCCAGATCTGGACAAGAAAGCATTGAATCATGAAGTAGGAAAGATTGCCACAGATATTGCGTTCGTGATGGTGGCAACATCCAATAATCTTTGGAAGTATGGACTAAAATAAACCTATTACATATTCTGATGATATAATTGAAGCTGTATACACCGTAGTAGACATTTTACCCATAGCATTGATGGTGCAATAGTTTTCCCGTTCAATGGCTCTAGCCCAGTCTTCATCAAATGTGTTAATATAGGAGGTGCGATAGATGGCCCATTCCCATTGTCAACCTCCACTCTAACTAGATTAAAAGTCCAAGAAGCGTGGTACAGACTTCCACTCTGGTTTTGCATGTTGTCAGTTGCATCGCTCAAAGAGGGTTTCTTCTGGTGGAAACTCAGATGAACACGATGGTGTAAACTATGATTCGTCATGAAAGATACTAGGTGAACGTGGATTTCAGGGCATAGACCCTACACTGTTGTTGTAAGTGGATGCATGTAGTTGGTTAGGAACCTCCAGCGCCTGGGCGTCAAATCCTCAGAGTTCAGCTCATGGCCTAATTTATGTTTCAAGATTGTTCCTAAGCTCTAAAATAGTCGAAATGAATAATAAACTGATTGACCCATTCATTTTTTGTAAAACATAGTGAAAGAAGTAGGGTGTTTATTGAATACGATTGGCCTGACAACATTCTTCACCCCAAATCACGCGCATTTTCTAATAGTACCTAGGCACAACTCCCATACTCACCCAGAGAGATGTCTCCTAGAGAAGCCTGCGCCATGTCCACTTTTACCCCATGTTGCCCAGGCCTCTAATCCAAGTCCCCTTCCAACTAACCCTAATAATTATGAAATTCGAAACGAACATACCTTTACAGCAATCTTCGAGGTGAACAGACCATTGTCAAATGAGTTTCTTTCACTATAATTGCCGATACTTGTCTGCGATAAATAAATTCAAAGTTAGAGCCACATATACTGTTGATGGGTCCAAAATCAACCCAATCGCATCAGTTTTGGCACGTAACATTCAGTACAGACATTGCCCAATGAGCATTTAAGATGCGGAGAATTCCATGACGAGCATCAAACTGCATGAATTATGAGCTAAAATAGGGCTGTTTAACTTGGGGCTAAAGTATGGTTGCATCCGCTATAAATAGTACTTCTCGTGTTGCTCGTGTTGTTAGTGGCCTTTAGGCAAGTATGAATTCAGGAACACGAACTTACGAGAAAAGATCAACCAAACCTCCAGCTAGTGCCTACCAGATCCCTTGAAGTTGTTATTTTTATAAACGATCTTGGAGATCTCGGTCAGTTGGGGTCTATAACGCGAATCTCACGGCGATGATCAGAGGCTGGAATACGAGTGAAGGCTCATTTCGTGCTGCAAGTGAAATACGAATCGACCATCAGCTCGATAAACACGAAGAACACGGCAATGGGGTAGAGATGTTCTCGTAGCATAGCATGAATGATTTATCTATAAAAGCTTCAATGTCCATCGCTATTCGGATACATCTTCTTCAACTCAGACCCTCTAAACCACAGAGAACAAGAAATTCCTATCACAAAGACATACAGCCCAGCAATTCATCATGCATTTCATTTCCCTCATTGCCTTCTCCTTCACGACCGCCATAACAGCGGTCCACGCCTACCCCATCACCGGCACCACCGTCAACTGCCGTTCCGGTCCCGGAACAAGCCATGCGGTCGTCAAGTCATACAAAAAGTCCCAAGACGTGAAAATCACCTGCCAAACCACCGGAGACACTGTCTCGGGGAACAACATCTGGGACAAAACATCCGACGGCTGCTATGTAGCCGACTACTTCGTGAAGACCGGCAGCAGCGGCTACGTGACCACCAAGTGCAGCAGCGGTGGCGGCGGCGGTAGCAGTGGAGGCAGCACCGGCACTGGAAAGGCCATCATCGCTGCAGCCGAGAAGGAGAAAGGCCTCCCATACGTCTGGGGCGGCGGTGGCTGCAAGGGTCCCTCCGGCGGCGGCTTTGACTGCTCCGGTCTGACGCAGTATGCTATCTGCCAGGCATTGAAGAAGACGATTCCCCGTGTTGCGCAGGACCAGTATGACTCCAGCATGGGCAAGCGGTACCCCCGTGCGCAGGCTAAGGCTGGTGATCTCTTGTTCTGGGCTACTGGTGGTGACTGCAAGAACAAGGTTGCTCATGTTGGTATCTTTATCAATGATAAGTTGATGATTAATGCTGCTCGCACTGGTACGCCGGTTCGTGAGCAGGCTATTTGGACTTCGTATGGTGGGGAGAGTATCTGTCCTTATGTTATGAGGTATGTATTTCATTCTCTGGTTTCTGGGGTGTCATACTAACTGGGATATAGATTCACTTGAGCTTTGGATATGGGCTAGTTGGTTCGGATTTCCTTTGGAGCTTACGATTGAGAGATCAATATTGGGGAGTTTATGAGGATCTTTTGTGTTTATTGGATTTGTGTGGTACTTTACATAGATGGAATATTCAAGTCTTCTATGTTCTTTATCCACTCTTGAAACAACATCGATCAATGGTTGCCAAATCACAACATTGAAGATATGCCGGGACTGGGTAACAGTCGAGAGAAAGAAGGAAGGAAGGAACTTCTATGGGAAATGTATAAATTAGGAAGGTGGACAGGTGACATTTGGTACCTGGGAAGGTACGTGAGGTATAAAAGGGCATCCACCACCTTTCCTCCTCTTCTCTTCTTCCTTTCCCCAACCCTCTCGACCACCATCTCTCCGTAGCCCCCATGAGACAGCGTAGGCGGAGGTTCCCGTAGCACATGGTGCCTCGCCGACCCACATGGATATCAACCACGTTGAGGTCCATGCCCGGGTGCAGGTACGCGCCGACATCAAACCGGGCTTTCTCGTGTGAGGTCTTTGACAAAGTCGTGGCTGAGCCTTCGAGCTCTCCATAGCCACTTGACGAGTCCCACGGAATACATGGGGGGTGTTTTATCACATCCTCTTTCATTGTACAGCTATTCACCTAGGTAGTCACCCAGTGTGCGAATGAGATAGACTTGGGCTTAATTTCCTGAATTTCATTTGTGCTCTACCTAGGCAATATTGAGATATAATCTATGTCTACATTACCCTCAAAACCGCGAAACGTCCCGACCAAAGAACTTATTCAACGTCCACCGGAAAGCCACACGCAGTTTATTGCGCCAACTGATGGACATGCTGATGTAAGCCAGCTTCCAAATGAGGGACGCAGTACGTCCCTTAATACCTTCCGGCAGGAAGCTGTTCGAACCACGGTCACCGTTATGGGGTATTTGCATCAATGCGCGTTCGTCACCGATGTACGCCATCGTGCCCAGGTCGCGGAAAGAGAACGGCGGAGTCTGACCTACGCCATCTTTGTTCAAGCGATCAGCTAGCCACTTCGCTTCTTGGTTAGCGGCCTGTGCTGTGGCAGGAGGAGCACCGTTCTCTGGCATGGCGTTGTCACCCAATGCGAACACGTCCCGAAGAACGGCCGTCTGGCCTGTTTCGTTTTGCAGCTGTACCCGCAGATGCCCGTCGACAAGAAGGGGACCTTTCTTAGGAGCTTTCTTGAATTTCCACGATGCGTTTTCGGGATTTTTGGGTGCTTCTGGGAAGGCCTCGATGCTATGGACTGAGTCTTTGGGGAATGCGTCGATTGAATCAAGCGATTCAGTAATGAACTTGGGCATGGCATTACCCGTTACCCAGACACACATACCAACGCCCGATTCACCATCTTCTTCAGTTGTAAGAGTCAGACAGCGCTTGGGGTCCATGTGGTATGGCGGAGGTGCACCAGGCGCGCCCCAGCGCAAACTTTTGACATGGTGTGAGGTCTTGATATCAATTCCCTCGCTCTTCATAGTTTCCATCGCATAGCGGGAAAGCGACTCATCGAACATCGAAAGCACCTTGGGCGCAACGTCATACAAAGTGATCTTTGGGATTTCATCAAGGCTCGGGTATAGCGCCATCATATCGGAGTAGATGAAATCGCGTAGCGATGCCGCAAGCTCAATGCCGGTTGGGCCAGCTCCGACAATCGCGAAGTTCAGCAGCCACTTTCGCATCTCTGGCGTAGTGAATGGCAGGACGGCCAGCTCGAAGCATTCCCGCACGCGCCGCTTCACCCTTTTCGCGTCCCCGATATCCTTGAAAAACATTGCATTCTCCCGCACCCCCGGTGTTCCGAACGTGCGGCTGACAGCGCCTACCGCAATGACAAGCTTGTCGTAGGGTACTTCGAATATTTCTCCCTGTTCCCATTGGAGATGCGCTTGCATCGGCTCCTTGTTCGTGGTCTCCGGGCCTTCCTCGGTCCCCCGCCGCTCTTCGGCCGTGCGCGGTGACTCGGTGACACCGCTCTTGACGACGGTTGCTTCGCATAGAACGGTCTTCTTTTTCAGGTTGACTGCACGCGCAGCTCCTTGAATGAAGTCGACTTTGGAGCGCGGATCGCGTACGGGCTCCACGATGTTCGAGAAATCGAGGGATCCGCTAGCCGTATTGGTGAGAAGAGGAGTAAAGACAAAGTATGAGCGAGGTGAGATTATGAGAGGTGCGTAGGTCTTCGGAGAAAGTCTCCGCGAGAAGGTGTATCCACCCCAGCCGGATCCAAGAATGACGACTCGTTCTTTTTTATTCTCAGACTCCTGAGCTGGGGCGGACTGTTCAGCTCGTGTTGCGAGGCATCTCTGGCCTGGTGTATGAACTGCCGGGGCAATGCTAGACGAAGATATGTATGTAGAGTGGAGAGGGTGGGCAAGGGGAGGGAGCGGATTCCGGATACGTAGGGCCTGGAGCCGCAGAGGGAGCATCGCGCTCAATGGCCGGGTTTGCATGACAATGCAGGACTAACTCAGTGTGTCAGTAGATGGAAGGTAGTCTGTTCAATAATAATCCCAATTCAGTAACACCTGCTATCTAAATACGGCATTGGTACTCATAAAGAGGTTTACTCTTCCGCTGACACATCGATGACTTCACCATCGGTAGGACAAGGAAAGGAGATATCCGGAGCGGATCTTTGGCCTGGCCCACTTGGTAGGATCCATATTCCATCGGATACTTGTGCTCCCGTGAACATTTTGGGAATTGGGAGCTGTTGTTACTGCTCCATCTATCAAGCTCGTGGACCCCCGGAACCCTTCGGAGCAGTCGGTGAGAACGAGCTGCACGTGCCGTCGGAGACGATCGGGATATTCTGGCACATGCTGTTCACATGGCACTGAAGAGTTTTGGTAGACGTCTATCAGCTGTAAATGATCTTGAGAGTAACTTGTGAAGAAGAGAGGGGAAAAGAAAGTTATTATGAGTTCGAGGGGAGCATCATACGATGGGGTTGAGCTAGGGCTTGGCAAAATCACATGAATTTTATAAACCAATAATTTGTGTTCAAGGATCTCCGAGATTCTAGCAGCTAGAAGCTTTGATAATGATTTAGTTTTCGAGGAAACAAGCCTACAATCAAGTCCCGGGTTGTTTTCTTGCGTTGTCTTCCGCAGTCCAGGAGATGCCATTGTGTTCGAGGATATGACAGCTCAGCTTCGTCGGCATTGCGGAAGAGACCGGAATCCAAACCTGTCCCGGTTATAACACGTCTCGATAGTCTCCAAGCAAATGGCATGAGATTAAAGCGAGCTTGTCTGTCCATTCGCATCATGTATCATTCCAAAATTATCACGTCGCGATATTTTGCCCCCACCTTATAGACGGTGGGCAGGGCGGTAACAAATAGCGCGGAGTTATGACACATCATATGTGGCGCTGTGTGGCACATACGTGTAGTCTGAGTGGCGGAACCCCTATGAGTCAGAAGCTCGGATTTAGGGGCAGTTTGCCTAATCGGGATGGTCTTTTTTGCTCCGTTGTATACTTCAGCCCCACCAATATATCTTTATTCGCCCCTCTGAGTTTTAGATTTCTCGTAGGGTCGGAGATCATCGTTTAAGGCATGGTTATCACCGATATATTGCTACATCGGGACCAATTCTCGGCCCCGAGCCTCGATGGCGAATTTGCGTGAAGATGATGCGCATGGCTAGGCAGGGCTGTCGTACGTATACTTCCAGAATGACGTTTAAAACGGCTGCCTGGGTGTATAACCAGATGCATATAAAGAGCCGCCTGTTGCTTCTGTTGATATATAGTATCAGATCAAGTGTCCTTCACTTTTCTTCGCTTTTCTTCTCTGGCTTTCTGATATCTTCCAACATAATCATTTTGTCTCGCAAGTTACATATTTTACATCAATCTACCACTTCAAGATGGCTTCCATCTATCAACTCAACCAACCTCCCAATCCGTTTTGGGACTTTGTCAACGGCAATCTAGAGGACCATCCTTTCTTTGCTCCTCACGGCCACCGCGGACACCACGGACATCGTGGACGTCGTGGATGGGATAACCCCCAGCAGAGCGACAATACCACAAGAGGTGCTCAAGCAGGTGAAACCACTGAGCCTAACGCCGACATGGAGAAAGACGAAACGTCGGCATCAGACTCAGATTCCCCAGACAACCACCACCATCGCTGCGACCACTGCGAAAATGGTAAGGGCATAGGCAGGAGCCGTGGAGGCCCCGGCCACCACGGTCCAGGCCCATTCCGTGGTGAAGGTGGCAAGGGAAAGCATGGACATGGCCCTGACGCCGAGCCATATAGCCACCACGCCCACCACAACACCTCCAAGGAATTCTCACAGGACTCTGAAGTACCCCAAGCAGTCGGTGAACTCTCCGAACCGAATGCGGTCCCATTCGCCTCTAAAGAGAACATCGAAACCCCGGTATCGGACTCTGACTCTCCCGGCAACCATCGCCGCCACGGCCACGGCGGAAAGTGCAAGAACAAGGGCCATGGAGGTCCCGGCCACCATGGACCAGGTCCCTTCCGCGGCAAGGGTGGCAAGGGAAAACACTGCCATGGCCCTCACGCTGGACCATATGACTTCCACAGTTACGGCCATGACCACCACCACGGCGCCGGTGCCTTCTGGGGCTACGGACGCGACGGAAAGGGCAAACATGGACATGGACACGGTCCCCACGCTGGTCCATACGGCTTCCCCGGCCACCACAACAACGCCGGACCCTTCGGTTTCGGTCCCCGTGAACATGGTCACCACCACAAAGGAGGCCCCGGTGGTCGCGGCAGACACCATGGCGGATCTCCTTTCGGCGGCCCGTTCGACTTCCTGCGCCAGATCGGTGCAGGACTTGGTTTCCCCATGAACGGGCCTACCGCGGAGGGTGTTGACTTTACGCCCTCCGTTGACGTTTTTGATACCCCTGCCAAGTACATTGTGCATGTCTCACTGCCCGGGGCTAAGAAGAGCGATCTCAGTATTGACTATGATGCTGACGAGTCTGTTCTGCATCTGGCGGGTGTTGTTTACCGGCCTGGCGTCAATGAGGATCTCCATCAGGCTCTTGTTATGGAAGAGCGGGGTCAGCATGTTGGTGTCTTTGAGCGTGAGGTCCGTCTTGGGACTCGTGTTTCTCCGGCTTTTATTATTGTTGATGGGATCTCGGCAAAGCTGGAGGATGGTGTTTTGAATGTTACTTTGCCAAGAAAATTTCAGGATCCTGAGGTTGGAAAGAAGATGGTTTTTGTGGAGGATGGTAATTTGGAGAATGAGAAGGAGGCCATGGTCGTGAATGAGAGGACTCTCACTCCAGTGGAATCTGAAGAGAGCGATGTTGAAGATGGTGAGGCGAGAGAGTATGTCAATGTTCATGTGCAGTGAACACCAGTCTGGTTCCTATGATTTTGGATTACTTGAAGTTTTTGTTACGACCTTTGTTTTCATCTATGGTTTAATATTTGAAATTGTTTATCATGAAATAATGAATCGCCGCTCGAAATCGGGTGGAATAATTACCAACTTTGCTCTTGTCGTAAAGTCTTCTGAACCAGAGTCCCAGGACGAATATCTATCAATATATTGGATTTTAAAATCACTTAACAAAGTAGATCGAGGTCATTTCCCAAAGACCCATCTTCTCGGCCATACCAGCCACTCCCTAAAGCCGGGGTGGATCTTGATCTCAATCTCCTCCAGCAATTGAAGTGAAGTGCCTTTGAGGAACCAGGAATCGTTAACAATATGCAGCAGCACACACCAATGAGCCAGCAGGACCAGAGCTGCAGGATGGCATGCTTCCATATCATCTCGGAATTGTTTGGAAAGTGAGTATGCCCACATTAGGACCATGCCAACCTCCACATGGGGCCCTGCGAGCTCTATCTGACGAGTCGAGTTCTCAAAGAACTTCAGTGAGTGCTTGTAGTCTGTTCGGTAATCGAGAGGACTTGGCAATTCATCCGAGGTGGTCAAGTTCTGGTGGGACTGGGGTTGTATATGAGGGAATGGATAATCGTCAATAAACCGATGGAGTTGTGATATCCGAATCTGTATGTCGGGGGGAAGCAGAGACTGCTGCATGGCTGCTGGGCTGAAGCGGGGTTAGTTGGTTCAGTTCAACAATTACCATCCCCCCGGAGTGGGATTACGAGAACTCAAAAGCTCACCTTGCCATGAGCGGTTCATTTTCAAGCCAGACGCAGTTAACAAGCGGTGCGAGCTGGGTTCTTCGAAGAGAGTGTAACCACGGCTCCATAATCGTCTGCAATCCCTTGACGACGGAAAAGAGCTCCACCACATTCGATATCGGAGCTGGCCAGCGATCCTCGCCCAGTCGGATCGGCGAGGCACAGACATATACCATGATCATGGAAGCAAAGCAGAAAACAGGCTGCCAGTTGCTAGGATCGATTGGGGAGGAAATGAGCTCCCGAAACTCTGTTAGCCCAGCTGCCTGGTGGTAGGCAGACGCCTTGATGTTCTTTTCCCTCTGGGTTGGGAAGAGAAAGGCGCGGTGTAGGGCAGATAGAGCCAGTATTCCGTGCATCAAATATCTATTGGAATATCCCTCCACTGGGAGAACAACGCGCCAGACATGGCGTGAGTCTTCGCGGATTGTCAGAGTGTTGCATGTCACGGTGCAGTAATGATGCATAAGTTCAAGGTCTGATGCCCAGTCATCCGTGTTCAAAGCCGGGATTTCTTCTGGCGAGTCGGACAAAAATTGCAGTAGACCAGATCTACTCTCTGACTTACGCTGATCGTGACCCGGAGCTCTCGAGCTCCCAGCCGGAGTTGCCGGGTATGACTCTACGTTCAATGGCGAGGGCAAATAAGACGATGCCAATGACTCTGACCGAGTATATGGAGTATCAGCCGGAGTTGATATGCCACGCTCAACATATGAGCATTGAATGGCATGTTTGGTACAGTTCGTACATGGATATTGCTCATCGCACTGTGCCGGTTAGAAAAAGCGCAAGCCAGAGTGGTGTGCGCCGCACCTTTAGTCTTCGTGCCTTGCATTGTGGACAGCCAGTACGCGACTTCCGATGTGATCTCCTTGGGCCCATTGTCAAAGGGGTTTATAATCAAAGTGATGAGGAGGATCAAGCTATTCGAGTTCGAGTGCGGATACGGGGATACGGTGAAACGAATACGAAAACGGAGACGGAAACGAATTCGCGGAAAAGCCTCTTCAACGCCCCACTTCGCTTGTTTAAGCTGCGCAAAGCCAAGACGCTTCCCAGATTATAAGAATAACGCTCGAATCAATGCATTCAATTAGAAGGTCGCCTAAGTTTATAGTGGATCGCGGAGGGGCCATGTTTCGGGATCAACGCTATGGGCTATGGGCTATGGTAGCGATGGTTGTTTCCCAGCCGATGGCTGTTGCCCACGTTCATATAAAGTCCAACTATGTACCCCAATTAGCATAAATAGACTAAATTTCTTCGAATCTCCAACCCATTTCATCGCAAGATGTCCGAAAAACACAATATCTACGGGTACAATCCCTCCCTTCCCGCCGCTGTCATCTTTATCATCCTCTTCGGCGCTACGACCGCTCATCACGGCTATCAGCTTACCAAGTCACGATGCTGGTACTTCATTCCATTTGTGATCGGCGGAATCTGTATGTCAAGCTACTTTTGGCTGTGATAAAGCGCCACTAACTCTCTGTCAACTCATACAGTCCAGGTCATAGGATACATCTGCCGAGCTGCATCGCATGACAACTTCTATGGAATCCCGCTGTACGCCATGCAGACACTCTTTATCCTACTCGCCCCGCCGCTGTACGCGGCATCCATCTATATGATCCTCGGGCGAACAGTGACCTACCTACAAGCCGAGCACCTAAGCATGGTGCCAGTCAAGTGGATGACCAAGATATTCGTGACGGGAGATGTGTTCTCGTTTTTCTTACAGTGCGCTGGTAAGTAAAGCCCATGTCATCAAATCAGACAACAGCCAGCCATGGACTGAGAACATAAAAGCTAATTACATCTCATCTTAGGCGGCGGTCTCATGTCTACGGGAGGCTCTATGCGTGATGCAGGCTCAAACATAACCATCGGTGGTCTCGTCGTCCAGCTTCTCTTCTTCGGCTTCTTCGTGATCGTCACAACGGTCTTTCACTTCCGCATCTCTCGTCAACCAACCTCCAAATCACAGTCAGATCGTGATCACACCTGCGGTGATGGCTGGAAACAGCGCAACTGGTTCACCATCCTCATCGGGCTCTACATCGTCAGCTTCTTGATTTTGGTGCGGTCTGTGTTCCGCTTGGTCGAGTACAAAGAGGGTTACAATGGGTACACCATGACACATGAGGTCTTCATGTACATCTTTGATGGATTGTTGATGCTTATCGCTATGGCTGTGATGAATGTGTGCCACCCCGCTGAGATCTTGGGGGATGGGAAAAGTGGAAGCCGAGAGTATTCAGATGTAATGCAGCTAAGCTAGACAGCAATAGCTATAGTTTCTAGTGCTGGCACGCTTTACTTACTAATAAGAATTTTTTGAATTCTCATCAAAACTTCTTCACTTCTCATCAGAGCTTTAATTACTTTTAGCGCTATGTGTACGAGAATATATCCAACTTTTGCCCATAGATCGAAACAACAAACTGACCAAGACAAAATATCCAATTATTAGATGCCATAAATCATATCATCGTGATCTGTAGTCCAGGCTAGACCGCAGATCGTAACTTTTTTGCACAGTGCCATTGCCTAATCCACCGACGTATAGATCAGGGCGTCTCGAGGCCCCCGTGTCGCGTGTAGAAACAGGTAGCAGACTACCACCATATCCAACATCGATGCTCCTCCGCATGCGCGACAAGCTTATAATTTTCTCCATCTCCAAAGCCTGGAGCGTGTCCTCACCCCGTTCACTCTTCGCAGACACCTTCTCCCGGTTAGACATCCAGCGCCGCCCGCCCACACGGAAGAAACCACCAATATCATCAACCGTGAGAGCGACCCAGACAAGTGGGATGGAGATTGCAAAGCCAATACCAAAGGTATACTTTGACACATAACTGAGATTCAAGTTCTCGAATTCTTTCAGGTTGATCGTGAAGATGGAGGCGATAAACGACAACGGCAGGAAGACGATAGTAACAATAGTGAAGACCATAATTGTCTTGCTCTGGCGGGTTGTACCAGCAGCCTGATCACGGGCAAAGCGTGCTTCAAAGGCATTGGCGTGTTTTTGTTTGAGATCGAGCAGATCCGTGATGGAGTGGTAGATGCGCTCGGCCTGTTTATCCATGCGGTCGATGTCCTTCAGATGCATGTCGACCATGCGCTGCTGGTCTTTGAACCGCTTCTTGACCTCGAATTGTGACCGGTGCTGGCCTTGGTAGGTCTCGCAGACGACTTCTTGGAAGTCGAGCAGGACATTGTTCTGGTGCTCCAGCACCGTCCGGATCATGTTCAGCTCATCTCGGATGTCCTTTGTCTCCGCTAGGAGATTTGTTTCCTGTCCGATATCCAGGAGCCGGTCGACGAATAGTGGCTGGCCGTCCTCGTCGCAGTAGTTGCTGCTTTCGTCTTTGTCGTCTGTCCCCTTGCGGGACTTTGGCGGAGAGCTGAAGGAGCCGTTCAGCTTCCGGTGGCTTTTCAGCCAGTCTGATGCCTGTCCGGAGGCGTGGTTGAATTGGTTAAAAAGCACGGTCTCTTTGTCCGTAGCTATACCAATGGATGACTCGAACATATCAAGGAACTGGTACTCCTCGTCGCCCAAGCGGTGTCGGTCAAAGACTCCCGAGCATCGATTGGTGATTATCATGGCTAGATCATAGACGGATTTGACAGGGTCTCGGGTCTTGGAATTGATATCCTCGATAATCCCATCCAGCACGTTAAGCGGGTCATTCTTGGGCTGGTCCCATCTCTGCGGGAAGGCTGTTACAATTAGATTCGTGCCTAGAACCCACATCCACAGTTGATCAACCATGAATATCTTGGGGTCTGCGCCCATTCCAGGGCTTTTTGTTTGGTACCGGTACACCACTTGATCCTGATCACGGCTCTTGGTATCGATGTTTGGGTAGAAAAACTGGTCCAGTGTTCGGCGGACATGCAGGGAGGTCGTTGAGGATGATAGATGTGCGTCGATGAGCATTTCGTCTCTTGTACGCATTCTCTTCATCGCATTAGATACAAAATCCAGCGTTTCTGCTCGTGAGATTGCATCCTGCATCTTTTGTCTGCGCTCCGTGGTTTCGAAGTGCAGATACGGCATGAACACGCAGACGTTACATGCAGAAACCAGAGGGTGAGGATCTTTGCAAAAGGTTGATGAAGACAGGGGTGATGACCTCGCCTGTTTCTCGCTCTGGCCCCATGGTGACTTCCCCTTCGTCTCCTGCTTGGGAGTTCCCGGTGCGCTGCCCGACTTGCCACGCTTCTGGTTGTTTTTGCTCTTTTTTCCATGTGCCCCGTCATCGTGGAAGTAAGAATCCGCCTTGTCAGGCTTGCCGCCTGTGCCTTTTGACTTTCGGGCAGCGCTATCCATGGCCTTCACCTGCCCTTGATCAGACACAGGCTCCTCCGAAGTCTCCTCTTCATGTCGCCGCAGCATCGTCCGCGGCGTATTCTGACACAACGGCCGCATAAAGTGCGAGTGGGTCCTTTGACCCCGATGTTGATAGTTGAAAGACTTCTCCAGCCCCTTGAACCCATCAACATCATGGGCCCCCTCCTCAATAAAAGACTTGGTAAGCAGAGCTTCCACCCACGCCATATTGTTGGCCGGTAAGTGAATCCACCGGAACTCAGTCACACGACTATCAACCGGCACAGTGGTAACAGCCTGTTTCCTAGGATTCTCCCGATCCCTCCCATAAAGCAGATTAAACACCGACATGCGCTTAACCCGATTCTCATTATGAAAGTTTCCAAAATCAACAACAGTAGCATCGAACGCCGCACAAGCCTCCTTAACATCATCAGAAAGACTCTCGACATTGTTAAACGGCGCAAGCAACAGCACAATATCCTTGCGCTTGAACTGCGCCGCGCGCAAAAACGGTGTACTGCCAAAATTATCTTTAACCCGGCGCTTCAGATCGGGCCTCTCGAGAAGACACTCCACAACCTCGCGATGACCCCCCTGCGCAGCAAGATGCAGCGGCGTGATACCATTTAGAAGCTGTGCATTGATATGCGCGCCTTCGCTCACCAAAATCCGCACAATATCCTCACACCCCTTATCACAGGCATTATGAAGCGGCGTCCAGCCACCATCACTCGCAGCATTAACAGCCGCCTTGTGCGCAAGCAGCAGCTGCACGATATCCGCCCGGTCATGAGCCGTAGCAACATGCAGCGCGGTCTTACCACGCAGCTCAACAGCATCGATCTCCGCCGGCCCCGGCCCCGGTCCCGGTCTCCGCCCCTCCCCTTCCCCCTCACCAGCATTCCTCGTCAACAACATCTCCGCCAACCTCCAATTCCCCGACGCACAAGCCCAATGCAACGGCGTCCGCCCAAGCTCATCCTGTCCCCCAGGCCCATCAACAAGACACTCCGTCCTCAACAACAAACTCACCACCTCATCCCCCCAACCCCACCGACAAGCCTTATCAGCGGCGAGGTTATGCAACGCATTCCGACGGCGAAGATCACGCTTATTAACGTCTGCGCCGCGCATAATGAGCAGATGCAGGATATCAGCGTGGTTCTTCCATGCGGCCGTCATGAGGGCCGTGCGACCTTCTTTATCGGCGGAGTCTGGACATGCGCCGTGGTCGAGGAGGAGACGGACGATTTCGTAGTGGTCGCGCTCGACGGCGCGGAGGAGTGGGGAGGCGCGGTTGGAGGGGACGTCTGTTTTGGCGCCGAGGGTTAGGAGGCATTCTGTTGCTGCGACGCAGGCTCGTTCGGCGCTGCGCATTAATCCGATGCGGAGGAAGTTGTCGGTTAGTTGATTGTACTCGTGGGCGAGGGCTATTATCTTTTTGAGGGAGTCGATGTCGTTTGATTCTGCGGCGCGTAGGAGTCGTGGCTCGAGGCGCTCGTGGCTGTCGCTCGTTATGCTGGAGCGGGAGGGTGGCATGGTGGGTAGAGGTGAGGTGAGGTGAGGTAAGGTTATGAGGGGAGTTGCGATGATTAGAGTATATATTGTTGTGTATAGGGTGTCGTTAATTCATTTCCGGCGTTTTTTGTTGAGTTATTGAGGCTCTTCGACTTTTTTCCCCAGTAAGATAAGATACTTGGGGATGGATGGTTAGGAGAAATTGGACAAAGCTAAACTTGAATCAAGCTCAAGCGACAGCAGATGGCCCTTTTCCCGGTCCGGAAGAGATCTGCGGGCGTGAAGGTCCTTCTTTTCTTAGCCCCTAATCCCATGGGGATTCTATAACCGACGGTGATGAAGGAAAGAGGCTGTGTGGCTGATCCTCTCGTATTGCCTGCTGTAGTGGGTTTGGCCTCGGCATATGCATGGTTTCACGGTTTGACTGGTTGAATCCTTTGATTGGGGGAGACGAAGGACATTTGTGTAAAAGTGCAGGTAAATCCAGGGTACGGCAATCTTGGAAGGTCCAATATAGTAGATAGAGCGCTGGTGTAAATAAAGAAATTAAGAACCTGGTAACTCAAGCCGGAACCATGGATCCGGGACAACTCAATGGCTTCAGGAACTACAGGAACTGCAAATACAAACAATACGCAATCAAGTAGTAAATAAACCCTCGTTCACTGAATTGAACAGACATTAGAATCTATATTTCTATCGGGCAGCTTCCGGCGTAACTAACTACGGCAAACAGGGGGAATCCGAGGCGAAGAGAGAAGAAAAGCAGAAAGAAAAAATTTAAATGACAAGGTGAAAAGAAAAGAGAAGCCCCTCCTCCAGAGATGCTAAAGCCGATATGCTGATAATTATGATGTGCTTCTCCATGCATGCTGCCCCCGATGAATTAAAAAGTTCTTGCTTTTTGTTTTCGCTTCCCTGTGCATCGCGCCGATCCCGCCTAGTAGTTCATGTCACAAAATGCGCCTATCAACAGAAAAATGAAACGGTCAAGAGTATGGAAGTCAGAGTTACAAAACGAGTTTGTATTCTGAATGTGCAGGCCGTAACGTAGTGCCATAGAATCTAATCATAGAGAAAAGACACAAGACAATGGTATTTAGTGCTTCTTCTTGTCCTTCTTCGGGACTTCCTTGAGAATATCGTCGAAACTCATGTTCGGGTTGAATCGACTAATCGGACGTGTGGGGGGGCTCGATAGGGGCAATGCCTGCGGGAAGGGGCAAGGCTTCCAATCCGGGGTAGAATGAGTGGCGATGCTCCGATCGTTGGGTAGCGGCAGGCGAGCGGGTTCGTGGAATCGCTGGAGGGGGCGGGGTGAGCCCACCAGGGACCATCATAGGGTTCGGGTAAGGTTCCGAAGAAGACCCTGCCGACGATTGATGGCCTTGGTAAGGTGATGATATAGAGGACTCCTCATCGTCGTAGGCGGCGTCTTCCACCATAGGTGGATCAAGAAGAAAGCCCGCCTCGGCCCACTGCTCGGCAACTTGCCAGCAATGACTGCGACGGTATACACCTTCCACTCCATTAATGACCACATCAGATGGCAAGCTAACAACACCAGCACCACCTGCAACCCCGAACCAGCTGCGAGCAGTCTTAGTGTCGTTGTGAATCCAGGGAGCACCGCCACGTGGGGCAATGCAGAGGAAATACTCCACGCCCTCGTTGAAGTGGACATCAGGGACATCCACCACCAGCATGGGGAGGGCTTGAATGACGGCGTATAGGAAGATCCACTGGCCACATCGGAGGTCGGTGATGTCATTAACATTCTTGCCCTGCGCGGAGCGACGCTCGAATTGCATGAAGCTCTCAATGAAAGGAGTGGGTCGCATGGCCTCCCGGGTATAAGATCCCATCAGGACAGCGTTGATGTCGGAGTTCTTGAGCTTCTTGCCGCTTTGCTTAGCCTCCTTCTTGGCGTCGAGCGGTTTCCGATGCAGGGGCTGTAGCGAAGGCATTTGTGGAATGTCAAATGGTATGGGAGGAAGCACTGGTGGTGTGCTACGGTCATATTCGGAGAGAACCTGCCGCAAGGCACGAACGGTCATTTGCTTTGGATCAGATGAATCTGTTGAGTCATTGCCGGCGCCCGAAACATCAATTGTACGCGTCGTCAGGGACGTGCGGTCGACCATCAAATCGTAGAGATCGGTGAAGTCGTGGTACAAATCCAGAAGGAGAAGACGGTTAAGTCCGTTCTCCTCGAACTCGTTCTTCTTCGACCGAGCCTTGGGCGGCCACGAGCCGTACTTCTGTCGGTAGTATTGGATCGTAAACCGGCGGAATTCTTGGAATCCCGTCCTCCAGTTCTTGAAGCGCACCACCTTGCTTTCCAGGGAGGTAGTCGAGTTGGCAATACCCGAGAAAACGGAGGGGAAATCGAAATCTTCGAGTTTGCCGTAGAGACCGCGCAGGCGGGTGTCGAGATCAATGAAGGCGCGCTCCATGCGTTTCTGCGTGATAGGGTGGATGAAGGTATATTTAGGGCTCCGCAGTTGCTTGAGCTCATCCAGCTTTCCAACACCGTGGACGAAACCCTCGACATAGAGCGGGTAGTAGCGCAGACGTTCACCCAAGACGATGGCCTCGATCGTCTTCTCCCTGCTTCGACGGACATCTGCGAGGCGCAATTCTTCACAATAGTTGCTGAAACTGGAGGTGGCAGTCTCACCAAAGTTGGACGCGTCCAAGTTCGAGAACTCGAAACGGGCCAAAAGGACCGCCACGTCCATGAAAATAGAGAAAAGAGTGGATGACTTGGGTGAGGCAATTAAAGACTGGCCGAGCAGGAATGCGAAAAGGTTGCGGAACAAAAGCAGAGTCTCTGTGTCCTCTGGAGTGAGCCTTGCTTGCGGGTTGGACACATCACAGTTGAGCGGAATGGGAAGATAAAGATGAAGTTCCTGGACTTCCTCAGGTGTATCTTCGAATGCCATTCTTTGGCTTCCAGCACTGTCGTTATCGTTGTCGTTTTCGGGCTGATGGTCCAGCGGTGACAAAGGCGGAGACATTGGGTTGAGTGATAATGTTCGGGTTGGCTGCTCAAGGCCGCTCTTGCCATCGTTGCCGCGGGCTAGATAGGTGAGGGAGGGAGATTCGGCAAATATCGTGGAATCGACCTTGAAAGATGGGGCGCGGCCGGTATTCTGGGGGAACATATACACGTAAGTGTCACCCTGTTCGTTCCATAGTTCCTGGATCTGGAAAGCAGCAAAAAAATGATTAACCTCTAAAGCACCTCAAAATGGATTAAGTTTGCATATGCATACCTGCTCTCCTCTGGACAATGGACCCAGATCATAAACAACCTTCTGGTCCAGTCCTGCGATCCAAGCAGCCGGAAGCATGGGAGTTGGCCGCTTATCGATTGAGCTAGCGCGCGAACGACCGGGCATCCAACTTCTGCGCTTCGACGGTGTGCTAGGGCGGGAGTCCGGGTTCGAGCCAGGGATAGCCAACCCTGCCGAGCTAGAGGGCCTGCTCATATCGCGACCTCTGCTCTGCGGGCGGCCAACGGGTGAACTCGGAGCGCTGTTGGCCAGATCTTGGTTCACCGCCAGCAGTGAAGGTGGCGGGGGTAGGCTCTCCATGTCGAGGGTATCGGGCATGGTTCTGGGCTCCGAGGAGAAGACGGCATTGGGGGTTGAGACATGGCGAGTAGGTTTTGAGCCGCTCTGGCGTCGTTTGTCGATGGGGTTTTCTGAGGAATTCACAACTGGCGAAGAGACGGTCGAGGATTGGGAGTCCCGATCTTTGGATCCCAGCGAGAACAGAGACGAGATCCGCTTCGCCGACTTAACGGGAGCTGACAACATCTTGGGTGGTATGGATGTTGGTGGATAAGTTTTTTTTTTCGGGAGGAAGGCGACCCGGAGGTAGAGAAGGACAAGCCCGCATGGGAGCCCTGGAGGAATGAAGTGTGTCCTTGGCAGGTGATGGAGGGTTAGGGGGTTGGGGAATGGATCGGCAGGAGGGATTGGAAGAATGACAGGAAACTTGATGCCCTTTCACTGTCACAGGGAATGGATCAGGCTGAGCTGAGATCCAAACAAAAAAAAAATTAAAAGGGAAAGAGAATTACAAAGGGGAAGCTCAGGAGAAGTGATGAAAATAATAAAAACAGGTAACATCGGAGCCTTATTTCATGTATTCTATTATTTTACTATTTAATAATATTACAACATAATACATCCAATATTCATATAATACAGAGAGAGAAATCCAGTTATTGCCAATAATAGAACTATGAGAGTGGTTCCCTGGCTGTGCATGTCTTGGATGTGGACCCAATAAAATACACATTTATATCAAAGAAGAGAATATAGGCAATCACATTTACAATTCCTTTGTATATTGTGAGAAAAACCGGGAAAAACTGGGGGAAAATATATACATGTAGCATACTAATTAAGGAATATATATGTTGACACATTAGATTATCAGAAGAGTAACTTGGAAGTAGAAACTACATCACTAACATACCTGACTCCAAGCAAGCATCCAATAAAAGCCCATATGTAAAACACGATCATGTCCGCTATGATCCGACATACCCTACCATCTGGTGTACCAATTGGGGGATACCAAGTGCATACTAGCCTGGTATCGCCAAGGCACCTTTTTATGACATGCTTCGATGCTCTATATATATATCTCGAGATGACCGGAGTACTTTATAAATGTAAACTTAAGATATACTTAAAATATACTCGGACCAAACTGCAATCTCTGTATATAGATCTCTCAATATAAAACATAACAGCCAATACTAATGTTCCTGTGCCTGTTAACCCCCCTGGAACCGTTCAATTCCCGATCTCGGATGCGTCGGTGCCCACCTCGCCACATCCCAACCTTGGAAGCCCAAGCTCTTACCCAAGCATTAAACTATTAGTTTTAACCTATACATAAGCACATGATATTCACAATCTACTCCCATTAATATCCCATTCGTCATGACCCTCACCGTTTCCCCCGACCAGCTCATCGACCTCCAAAAAGGCTGGCCCAACCCCGCGCTCCTCCCCGCCCCCAACCTCCGCCACTCCGCCACGACCGTACTGTCCAATCCTTCCATCGCAAACCCAGCCCTCCTCTACGGCCCCGACGAAGGATACGAGCCGCTGCGCACACACATAGCCGCATGGCTGAGCGATTTCTACCAGCCGCGCGAGCCCGTCTCAACGCAGCGCATCTGCATAACCGGCGGGGCCAGCCAGAACCTAGCATGCGTGCTGCAGACCTTCACAGACCCGGTCTACACGCGGAATGTATGGATGGTCGCACCAACGTACCACCTGGCCGCGCGCATCATGGAGGACGCCGGCTTCGCTGGGCGCCTACGTGGGATCCCCGAAGATGACGAGGGCGTCAACATAGCGGTGCTGGAGAGCGGTTTGCGCGCTGCGGAAGAGACTGCCTTGCGCTATGGGAATACTGAGCCGGTAGGACAATCCTGTGCCCATGACTGAGTTGACATGACCGGCAGTCACCGTGCTATGCCACTGTGCCATCGTTTATTGAGTCTCGGACTGACCCTGCCCCTCTTTCCCTGCAGAAAATGAAACCGCCCAGGCCCTGGCGCAAAATCTACAAGCATGTTATCTACGCCGTGCCGACTTTCGCAAATCCCTCTGGGAAGATTATGTCGCTGCGTAGACGTGAGGCGCTCGTTCGTCTCGCCCGTCAGTACGACGCGCTGATCGTTACGGATGATGTGTACGATTTCCTTTTGTGGTCCGCCAAGGCGGAGGGAGAGGCGAATTTTGGTAACCGCGCGTGTGTTCCGCGCATTGTCGACGTGGACCGCTACTTGGACGGTGGTCCACAGGATGAATGGGGACACGCACTAAGCAACGGCAGTTTCAGCAAGCTGATCGGGCCTGGCGCCCGCACCGGCTGGGCCGAGGCTTCCGAAAAGGTTGCCTATGGATTATCACAAACGTACGGGGCACCGCTCGGGATGACTTGACTGATTACCCTTACCCTTTTTCTCGGATCCGGATTCACAGACTGACCCGATATCGCTTGCAGAGGCTCTTCCCGATCGGGCGGCGCCCCTTCCCATCTATGCGCCGCTATCATTGACCAGATGTTGCCAACAGGGATCCTACAAAACCATATCCGCGATGTCCTCCAGCCGAAATATGCCGAGCGCTACCACATCTTGTTATCGGCAATCCACGAGCATCTCGTCCCGCTGGGCGTCACAGTCCTAGCACCCGCCGCGGCAGCGGGTGGCTACTTTGTGTGGATTGGTCTACCAGCGCCGCTGCTCGCCTCCGACGTAGTCCATCTAGCGGAGACCGAGGAAAAGCTGCGTTTGTCTCCGGGTGATGTGTTCCAGGTCCCGGGAGACCAGGTGACTGATATGGGGTTTGGGGATCATCTGCGCCTCTGTTTTGCGTGGGAAGAGCCACGACACTTGACCGAGGGGATGCGTAGGCTAGCGCGTGTACTTAACCGTATCACGCGTACCCGGGTTTAGTTATATATTGTGGCGCTGGATTTGGATCCACGCCACTTCAGAGCCACGCCAGCTGGTTCAGAGCACGGTCCGTACCGTGTCCACTAGGGACGCGTGGCGCATAGAAATTTAAGTAGACAATTTACAACGTACCTAGGTAGCCTTGCCAGCTCATACAAGCCTCTTGAGTTGGATATTGGATACATTCACGAGTGTACATCGTACATTTTGAGGCATTGCATCGGGCATTGCGCTATAATGCAATATTGAGTTGGCCCCCCGGCTCCACGCCCTGGAGGTTATTTTTGGAACCCTGCTTAGTCAAAGGTCAACACTAAGCCTTGAAAGTTCATGTATGTTGTACAGAGTACGGACTAATTCTGCCAGAAACAGGGGCCGGAATAAGACCCGAGACAGTTTGAAGGATTAGAAGGGCAAGCCAATTCCGAGCGGGTCTTGATCCTGGCTCAGGGGGAGGCAAAGCTTGGCCTTGACACTTTCCCCCCTCTCTTTATTTTACAACCAAGCGCCAACCCTTAAATTGACCTTTGGGAATTCCAGAGGTCGTTGCCTAGTCATCTTATGATCTTACTTTTTTGTCCGTCATCAGGAATCCTTCAAACCTCCCCGGAATGTTCATCCATAACTTGAAACGCCCCCTAACAACACGCGGGGGATATCCACTACTGACTCGAGGCATCAAGTCTTGTGCTACAGGGGTACATGACGCAGACAGACACATACACATACACATACACATACACATAAACTGACATGCATTTTGAAGCAAACGGAAAAAAACCCGTGCTTGATATTTTCCAAACATGATGCTTGGGGAATCGCGAGTACCATCGGCACTATTGAATTATCGTACATATATTGGAGGGGATCCACCCGGGTCAAGGGCATAGTGATACGCGATAACTCGCAATGCTCGTCCTGTCCCCCTGTGAGCATAACCTGCATCTCAGATGATTGGAATGGGTAACCCGGCATACCCCGTTTGAGTTATGAATCTAGCTATATAGCGCGTAGACCCGGAGTACTCTGCTATTTGTTTTATTTCATTTGGATGCTGTTCTGCTCTACACTGGAATTGGAAATTGCAAACCACCTCAAGGCGACCCCTAAATTGTGATTCGAAACACTTCCCGGCGCTATTTTACCCGAGTCAACCTGAATCACCGATCTTCGTTTCAACTCCCGATCACACGTTTCAAGCTTCCAACGCTGTCGTCAGGTCCGGGATTGTGATTGGTGGGGTGTGGTGGACTTCAGGGCCGTGGTGTGTGTGATTGGCTGAAAAGGGGAAGTTTGTAAACGCTTCGCTTTCTTATAGGTATGATCATTTATCCCGTCTCTATGATTGTGTATTTGGTGTCTTTCATGCTCTTTCGTTTCTTTTCATTCTCTTCTATTCATTCCATTCATTCATTTCTTTGAGGCACTCCGGCACTCTACTGTTTTGTCTTTTCTATTTTGGGAAGGAACTTTGCATTTGGAAGATTGACTCTTTAAATCTTCTCTTGCTTTTTCCCTGCATATCGCTGCTGGTCAAGCGTTGGACTCGATTCTTATTTTCGGTTTCTGCAGCGCTGGTTGCTGAACTATCTTCATTCCCTAGACATCCTTTGTTCTACTTCGCTGCTGGTCCAGCGTTATTCCATTTTCAATATGGCCGTCTTCCAGACCTCCATCGCGATCTTTGTCGCCCATATCATCCTTTTGCTCGGTTTGCCAGCCTCTTTGGTAGCAGCTGTGCCAGTCGCCGTTCCCGTCTCTCGGGTTAACAACGTGTTGGCGACTACCGAAAAGACAACTGCCGCCTCAAGCTACTGGGTCGCTGATATTGAGCGCCAGGGTATCGTCCCCTTCGCCAAGAGTGACGACTACAAGATCTTCCGAAATGTAAAGGACTTTGGTGCCAAGGGTCAGTTATTCATCCAACCTCTATAACCTTGGGCAACGTGCTAACTATATCATAGGTGACGGCTCCACTGACGATACTGTCGCTATCAACAAGGCCATTTCTTCTGGAGGCCGTTGTGGCAAGGGTTGTGATTCCTCTACCACTACTCCTGCTATCGTCTACTTCCCGCCTGGTACCTATGTTGTCTCGAAGCCCATCGTTCAGTACTACTACACCCAGATTGTCGGTGATGCTGTCGAACTGCCCATCATCAAGGCCTCCGCCAAGTTCGCGGGTATGGCTGTGATTGACGCCGATCCCTACGAGGACAACGGCGACAATTGGTTCACCAACCAGAACAACTTCTTCCGCGCTATTCGCAACTTGGTCATTGATCTGACCAGCGTCCCTGCTGGCGCTGGCGCCGGTATCCACTGGCAGGTCGGCCAGGCTACCAGCTTGCAGAACATTCGCTTCGAGATGGTCAAGGGTGGTGGTGATGCCAACAAGCAGCAGGGTATCTTCATGGACAACGGATCCGGTGGTTTCATGTCCGACTTGACTTTCAACGGTGGTAACTACGGCATGTTCCTCGGTAACCAACAGTTCACTACCCGTAACTTGGTCTTCAACGACTGCCAGACTGCCATCTTTATGAACTGGAACTGGGCCTGGACTTTCAAGTCGGTCCAGATCAACAATTGCGAGGTTGGCCTGAACATGTCTACCTCGCCTTCCAACCAGACTGTTGGCTCTGTGTTGATGCTGGACAGCAAGCTCACCAACACCCCCACTGGTATCGTCACTGCTTGGACCCAGAAGAGCATCCCCGTTGGCGGTGGTGACTTGATTTTGGATAACGTGGACTTCTCTGGCTCCAAGGTTGCTGTGGCTAGTGTTGATGGCGAGACCATCCTGGCTGGTGGATCTGTTGTCGACAACTGGCTCCAGGGTAACACCTACACCCCGTCTAAGACTGTCAACAAGCGCGCCAGCGTGGCCCAGCCTGAACTGGTCACCGTTGTTGAGACCGTTACCGAGACTATTTTTGCCTGTCCCGCTTCCTACGGCCTTCCCAGCGCCAGCCTTGCGGGAAGCGACGTCCCTGCCCCTGCGAAGACTGCAACCCTTGGATCCGCTCCCGCTCCTTCGCCTGCCCCGGGTGCTGGTACCAGCAGCGAGACCGATCGCGTTTCCAAGCCTTCTTCCATCCCTGCGCTGAATAGTATCCTCTCTCTTCTCGGTGGAGGCTCTTCTGAGGCTTCTGAAGTCCCCGAGCCTACTCCCGTAGCTGCTCCTTCTACCGAGGCCCCTGTCACTTCCACAGTGCCTGTTGGGTCTTCGCCCTCCAGTGTGGTTTCTGCCAACCAACCTGCTGTGCCTGTCACCTCCACCGCTGCGCCTGCTAAAAGTACTGGCAGCGGCTCTGAAGTTAGCCAGCCCCCCCAGTCTGGTAGTGATAGCAGCACCGCCACTTGCGGTGCCCCGCTTGCTGTTACCTCTGCACGCACCCAGAGCGCTCTGAAGACTGCTTCCAAGCCCGCTAGCTTACTCAAGGGTGGCGCTATTTTCGAACGCTCCAAGCCTCTGTACGAGGACGTCGCAGCCTCCTCTTTTATCAGCGTCAAGTCCGCTGGCGCCAAGGGTGATGGAACCACTGACGACACTGAGGCCATCCAGAAGATATTTGACAGCTACAAGGATGGTCAGGTCATCTACTTTGACCACGGTGCCTATGTCATCACCTCCACCATCAAGGTTCCCAAGGACATCAAGATCACTGGTGAGATCTGGCCCATGCTCATGGCACACGGCAAGAATTTCGCCGACCAGGAGAACCCTGTCCCTGTCTTCCAGGTCGGCCAAAAGGGTGACACTGGCTCTGTCGAGATGAGCGACCTCATCATCACCACCAAGGGTCCCGCCGCTGGTGCTATCCTCATGGAGTGGAACGTTGCTGGCTCTTCCCAGGGTTCCGCTGGTATGTGGGATGTTCACTTCCGCATCGGTGGCGCCGCCGGGACCGAGCTGCAGAGTGACACCTGTCCCAAGACCCCCAAGGAGGAGACCACCCCTAAGAAGGAGTGCATGGCCGCCTTCATGCTCCTGCACATTACCAAGGAGGGTAGCGCCTACCTCGAGAACACCTGGTTCTGGACCGCCGATCACGAGCTCGACCTCAAGGATCACAACCAGATCAATGTCTACACCGGCCGCGGTGTGCTCATCGAGTCGCAAAACCCCGTTTGGTTGTGGGGTACCTCCTCCGAGCACCACCAACTGTACAACTACCAGGTCTCAAGCGCCAAGAACGTCTTCATGGGCCTCATCCAATCCGAGACTCCGTACTACCAGTCCAACCCGACCTCGCTAACCCCCTATACCCCGCAAGACTCCTGGAATGACCCCGACTTCTCGAACTGCACGACAAACTCCTGCCGCAAGGCCTGGGGTCTGCGTGTTCTCGGCTCTTCGGACGTCTTCATCTACGGCGCCGGTCTCTACAGTTTCTTCGAGAACTACGCCCAGTCTTGTCTTAACTCTGAGGACTGCCAGGAGAACATGGTCGAGGTCGATTGCTCGGATGTCAAGCTGTATGGTCTTAGCACCAAGGCCGCTGTCAATATGGTTACCTCGTCCAATGGCAAGAGTCTGGTCCCCCAGAAGCCGAATGAGAGCAACTACTGCTCTACTATCGCGCTCTTTGAACAGTCCGCTTAGATTATTCTCCTTTTCCTAGATTCATTTCTATTCCCATCCTTATTTTGTTCTCGTTCATTGTTGTAAACAATATCATCCATATTTTGTATTCCCCCATTGTATGAGATCTAATCTCCTTTTTCTATTCCGCTATCATCCTGTTCTTATGTTCGCCTTAGGCACTTCTTTCTCTTAGATTGTTATTGTGCGGGATCCGCACTTTGGAGGTCTTTTGTTCGCTACCATTAGACTCGGTTTCTTTCGTTTATGAGTTCATGAGATCTTTAATAGACTAAAAAAACATCTTTCGTTTTAAAACATAACGACGGAGTCCGTGGACCTTTAATAACTTTCGAAATATTCTCTCACCATAAGATAGATTCAGCTCACGAATCACATCTTGAAATGGCATTCCCTGGGTAGCCCAATCTCGTCGAATAAAGGCTTCAATATCCGGAAAGGATAGGCCCCGGAGAGGGGGACGGCCTCGTCGACGCCGTATAGGAGGGGAGGGGGAGGAAGATCGAGCCCGGGGTATAATCCGCTAAACGGTATTATATTGAAGGCCGACAGCTCTCGCAATTCGAATTGTTGAATGCTTGATATATTGTATAAAACATGATCAACCGGATCATATTAGCACTCACCCGGGTATTTGGTGAGTGCCAGCTACCATCCGAAAGGCTAGTACGGTAGTTACTAGCAGGGTATTCCGGGTGATCCTCCCTAGTTGGAGAGGGAGGGAGATCAAACCTAGGCGAAGAAGAAGGCATAAAGTAAGGCATAGTTGATGAATTTAATGATGAATTTCTTAGTATATTCCTTAGTATACGCTCCCTTTGAATTTATATCTCAACCTAGCTAGCTAGATCAATGATAGTCCCAAATAGGAAGGCTTGATCTTAATGATTATTGGCCTGAACTTATAGTATGATTTCATAGATTGATCCCATTGCTTGCAAACTGGGTATTAAAGGCATATCCCCCTGAAAATAGCAGTGATGTAATAGTATATATTATAGTGGTATATGCAATACGCTCCGCTAGCAAGAATATGTGTAGTCTTGGCGGAGCCACATTAACAGAATTGTTGCCAGGGAAGGGGGATAGATGCGCCACAATAGCCTCTTAAAAAAATGGGGCGCTCTTGCTTACTTCTCTTCATGTTCTCTATGTCTTGATTCCTAAGCTCTCTCCGCCTTTGTTCGCCTTTTGGTTGTGATTATGGTGCAAATAAGTATAGAATACTCCGTTTAACCCATTGTTCCCACGGTGTGGACCAGTAGTGTGCATTAGCATCCTGCACTAGACAGGGTTCACGATAACTACTCCAAATACTCTCTAGTCTTATGCCGGTCAAAGGGGTCATCTCATTACATAGCGGGGGTCCTTTAATCCTGGTTACTCGAAAAATAGCATCCGCCCCTTTTTTGCGACCTCACTTTCTCAAATCCACGAAATTTGCCTTGCTGTCACAACTCCCTCCCCCCGGAAAGCAGCCGCCACCTGCCCCAAACAGATATTTCTGCTTGATGCCCCCAGGTGCAGCATGGCAGGAAATTTCACTTTTCCAACAGAAGCCGAAAGTCGTTTCAGAGTGGCAGACCTGGTGAATGTAACCTGGGATGTTGTCGCTCCTCTGATTTCGCTTTACGAGACCTGTGGCAGTAATGACCGTGCTCAAGAAGGTGAGGCTGTCTATTTGATTTGTCTTCTTGCTTTTTACCGATAATCTGACTATTCCTATTAGAGAGAACAACCAACGAGTATAGCTACGTGTGGATAGCGACTCGCAAAAACTACTTAGAGTCTGGCTGTAGCTTCATGCTCCAGCCGTTCACTACCGAAGGCGAGTCATATGGCGACAATATTACAGGTATTCTATTTGGGGTATCGAAGAGATACACAGATGATCCATCACCAGTCTCGTACAATTTCATCAATGCATCGTCATCCACGTCTACAGGCTCCACGAAAGCAACTTCCACGTCTCTCGCTACCTCGGCTAGTGTCGAATCTATATCATACCCAACGACTACGTCAACTCCTAAGTCTAGCCATGGCATGTCGAAGACGAGTAAAATTGGAATCGGCCTTGGTGTTCCTTTAGGCGTTTTGTTGGTAGCTGTCTCTATGGGCGCGCTCATCTTCTATCGGCGGAAATGTCGCCAGAAAGAAACTCAGGGGGTGTCTGTTACAAATCCGCCAAATGATGAACTGGCTCCACTTCCTATGATTTGGTATAAAGAGCCTCATCATACGCGTCTGTCACAGACGGAGACAGTGGCTTCTTCCCTCTCGAAACTGTCAAACGATAATCAAAGATCGGAAGGGACAGACAGACGGCTAAGTGAATTAATGTCTACTGAACGAGTGGAGATAGGCTGATTCCAGTACTGGGTTGCAATCTTCGAAGTAAAGGGGTTGATATTCTGAGGGTCTTCACCCGACGCCATCGACTCACTTTGCCTTTCTAGGCTACCTGGGCTTTCAAAGTCCATGGATAACTATAGAGTAGCTTAAATTAATAAGTTCTTGGATCCCCAGAATCCTGTTTCTGTAGACTTGTTTGTTTCCTGTACTTGCCGTTTCTGGATAATTTGAATACCATGACATTCAAGACCGCGAAAGGACACTGTAAAGATTCTGTTGGGACATGTTTCTACTTGCAGTTAACCCGGGGAGTCATCCTATCCCATAGGATGCGGACGTTCCAGGCTCAAAAACCAAAGCTTTCACAAATACTGAAGAACCTCAAGGTATGAAAAATTACTCTCGAGGGAAGAAATCTCGCTAATCGGCTAGTAATAAGCTCCCCTGTTTTTGACGCCTCAGTCTGGCCAACCAGACATTCCAAATTGTCTCAAAATCAGGTATCATGGCTAATAATAGAGCATTGCGTGGTACATTGAACTCAGAAGCTAATAATACCCCTACAAACGACTGTACCGGCGACCGGGGCACGAAAGCCAATCCTATTGTTATAAACGACGATGCCGACGCCTTAGGCAAGCAGAAAGGCCAGTGCAGAATAATTTTACCAGGGATACGGAGCCTTTAGGTACGCTGGAATTTGGGGTAATCTTTTGCAATTTAGGCGACTAGGGCTTCCACGTTCTATAGAACAAACTTATAGTGACGGATTTGGCTTGTGACTTGCTATCATCCTAATCGGTCTATGGTCAAATCTCCGAGTGTACCTATTCCCCTAAGCCTGAATTAATTCCTAACGACTATCTGGAGGAAGCAAGACCCGAAGTCGCCTAGTCTGATAATAATAAATAAAGTACGTTTATTCGAACCACTGAATCTTAAATTTTGTTTTGGTAACGAGACTAATAGCCGTAGCCCTATAAAATAAAGATAAGTGCTGTTGTCTGATAGCAGAAACCAACACGACACCTTATGGTTAACCCAACTTTTCGTGGTCTAGTCGAGGGGATGAGTTGGAACCATCCACTAAGACTAGCTAGGACGGATGAAACTAATGTGATATATTCCTAGAAATTCGGAGCGTCATTTTCTCAACGTAATAAAAAAATCACAATATAGTCTTCTATCAAGACACTACCCACGTAGGCTTGTTAGGCGTTCTGTACATTGAGACCCTTATAGAATGAGTGCCACCATACGCTTGACTGATATTTTTATCAACACTCCTTCAGCGTGTGTTCGGGGCTTTAATAACCCTCGCAGTGTTAATTTGTAACATGTGAATGATAGTTTGGAGAATATAACTTACGATTAATAAGAAAAGAAGGAACGGATAGCGGTAGTGATATAATAATCAGTTGTTTTACGTAGAATGGTATCCTCGTAAGGAGTGTTGCAGTTACTCTTCGTGCTTAAGGTAATATTGTTACTACTATCGGTAGAGACTATGACCGATTCCGTGTCGATTCCCAGATTTTGGCACTCGGCTTCCGAATCTCCAACCTCTTTTCCCGCTCCCGAATAATCCGATGTGGTGTAGGAAGTAACTTATCATAGAGCAGACGCTACTGTGGCTATTCCGAGGACGAAAAGAGTTTCAAGGAGGATGATATCAATGTCTAGGTGAAATATAGGATATGAAAATACCAAATTCGGGTTCGGAATACTGTGGAAAGTCGATTTTTATAACTCCTAAGGTAGAAAGGTAACTTTGCAGGCTATACAGTCTAGTCTCCAGTCCTAGTCTGGCTAATTCAACAAATACGTCGCTGAGCTCTCTCTTCCAACTCACTGCTCCCAATTCACTGCTCCTAATTCACTGCTCCTAATTCACTGCTCCTAATTCACCACTCTCCCTCAATTTATCACTCTCCCTCAATTCGTCTTTCACCCCAACCTATTGCTCTACTTTCTCATCCTTTCTATGATCAATGCCACGATATATACAATGCCATACAATCTAACTTACGATCTTTATACTTGTAGCTCTCCGTTACCCGTCAATCGTAGCTTCAATGTTGTTTCTTTGTCCCTCGCCCCGTGGGGGTCTTAATAAAGCAAAAATCGCGACTTTGGGAGGATTCCTGCTCCTTTTCCAAGGATACGGAGAAACCAGAGCGGTTCTTTGATTCCATTAGAAAGCATATTTCTGAGTCCAACACCTGCGATGTGAATAAGAATATACCCTCTCCTTCGAGAAAGCCCTGGAGAGTATAAGCCAGGAAATGATTTGTCAGAATGGATTACAATTCTCGAAACACGGAGAAATAAGAAAACGGAGCATGAACTGTCCGAGCCAGTGGTGTTATGACTCCCATATTATAAATTCTCCCGGTTAGGGAACCCAATGCCATAGGGCGATATAGCGGGTAGATCGTGAAAATCCCCCCGTCTTCGGAACCCGAAGCCCCATATGCTAACATGTGGGTCTGATATACCTAAATCCCCGAGTCGGTGCAACTGGATCTCCCTTTTAGTATACATAAAAGACGTACGATGAGCTCGGATTTTGCATTCGCAGCATCTGATCAGTTTCTCACCAAAGCCAGCCAAACAAAATGGCACGAAGACCAGCACGCTGTTATCGTTACTGCAAGAACAAGGTTAGTACATACTAGATAACTCCTCACCTTACACAAGAACTATAGCCAACTAAAACCAATCCCCAGCCCTATCCCAAATCCCGGTTCAATCGCGGTGTCCCAGACGCCAAGATCCGCATCTTCGATCTAGGCCGGAAGAAGGCTTCAGTGGACGATTTCCCCTGCGCCGTACACCTCGTCTCGAACGAATATGAACAGCTGAGCTCCGAAGCACTGGAAGCTGCACGTATCTGTGCCAACAAGTATGTCTAGCCTCCCCTACCCTCCCTTATTCCCATTTAGATTGTATAGCTAATGCTAACTGATCTTCTTCAAAAAGACATCTCGTCAAAACCGCCGGCAAAGAATCCTTCCACATGCGCATCAGAGTACATCCCTACCACGTAATCCGAATCAACAAGATGCTCAGCGTCGCCGGGGCCGATCGTCTACAAACAGGCATGCGCGGCGCATTCGGGAAACCCGCTGGGAAAGTTGCTCGTGTGAACGTCGGCCAGATCTTGATTTCTGTGCGGACTGTTGATCGGCATCGTCCCACTGCGATTGAGGCGCTAAGGAGGTCGATGTATAAGTTTCCCGGTCGGCAGAAGGTTGTTGTTAGTAAGATGTGGGGGTTCACGCATTTACCCCGTGAGGAATATTTGAGGTTGAAGGAGGAGGGTCTGGTGAGGAATGATGGGGCTTATGTGCAGTTTTGTCGGAGGAAGGGGGAGGTTTTGGGGAATATGAGGGACTTTCCTGGGGCTTATAGTCAGGTTGGAATTGGGGCTTGAGGCTTGAGACTTTGTTGGTGTTAGTTTTATGTATGATCTCTTCGGTCTGGAGCAATGCTACTTCTGGTCCAATCTTAGTTGTTATAATCTCTTTTCACTCATAACCTTTGATTATGACCGAATAGGAAAAAGAAGGGAAATGGGGGCCAAAAACATTATGACTCGACTAATAAGCGCTAAGATCCTTGGTGTTGGATGCTATTCGCCAGGTTTACATCGTCTGGGCCTCATTGAATCGAATCAACGTAAGTTGTGGCTGATTCATGACAGGGATTATCTCCAATTCTTTTGATGGACACATTTTTAGGCAAAAAAAAAAGAGTAAAAAACCCGGAGGTCCGGTGAATGCGATCTTCATCTTCATAATGTTCATGACTCCTTCCACAGAGACCTATATGCAGACGCAGACGCAAGACCAAAATCAAAACACCAAAAAAACCCAACGACTTCCATTTCGGAGTTCATGTGACCCCTGCGCAGCATCGAAGGTACGCTGCACCAAAGAGCAGCAAGGTTGTTCCCGGTGTGTTCAAAAGGGCCTCAAATGCGTCTATGGACGATCGCGACGAAAGGGTAAACCGCCCTCCAACAAGACTGCCTCCGCCCATGCGCCTCTCAATCCTCCGTCTTCGCAAGTCCCGGTATCTCCTCCAGCTCTCCCAGCTCCGACTCCACCATCCTGGTCCACGGGTCCGAATCATCACCAACCCAACTATAACCACAGCTGTAGTTGGTACCGGTCTACAAACCCGATCGAATGGGAAAGAAGAACAAGAAATAGCTTGAATCTCAGCTTGACTCCCGGCTTGACTCCCCATCAATCACCACCAGACGACGATGCAGGGATCTCGCATTTGCCAATGCCAGGATTTCCTTGGCCTGATATGGCCGGGTCAGATCCAATGGTGACCGATGGCGACAACCTCAGTTTCCTTCCAGAGATTAGAGAGATAGACGACGAGAACGGAGGTGCCCAGGAACGAGACGAAGTGCGACAGGACCCGGAAGATGATCAAAATCTTCCGCACACTAGTAGCTATCACTAAGACCATTTCACAAGCAATAGGTCTGCTTGGTACATCACGAGAGCGATGCCGCTTTGCCAACTGTTCTCCAGACTTTTCAAACCCCGGAACAACCAGGAGAAGGTGTGGTCTGGAATGAAGTTTCGCCACAAGAGCGCAGAAAACCTAGCTGTATAATACCACGAAATCAACCGCCGTCCAGACTGAGGATCACAGGTACTTTCGTAGTAGGAAGTTGGCGGATGGTCATTTGAACATTCTGGTTGCACAAGGGGCAATGGTTCAAATCAAAATGATATTCTACGTTCTTGCTAGGTATTCTAAGTATGACAGCGCATATGTGTTGGGGGGCTCTACACGGACATAAAAAGCGGACTTGGTTGAGTATAACCCTCGGTAGCGCCGAGAGAATGGATTGTCTGGGCTTATTTGGTTGAAAAGGTGGTTCAAAACAGAGCCGCAACCGCCTTTTGGGGTCGACCCTGTTTGTGCACTCCAAGCCACTAAGAACTGCTGCTCAAGAGTTCTACCTAAGTACCTTTTATTGTTTCTTAATGTAGGCTTTTCCCAAAATATGAGCCGATATCCCGGAGTCCCCAAACCCTGCGCTGGCATAGAGTGGACAGCCTATGCAAAGCAAACATTACTGCGGAAGAACCGAGTCGGAACTCTGCTCACGCCACGCCTTATCAATAGCGCATTCTGCCAGCCGCTTCAGCTCGGCCACGAAGTCAGCTACCAGCTTAAAGTGGACGGCCTCATCTTTAGGCAGCTTCTGCGAGAAGATGCGCTCCATTATGGCCGTGATCATCTTCAACCGATCTAGATCGTCGCGCGAGCGCGGGTCCAGCGGAGTCTGGAGGATGCTACAGAATGTTGTAAGCAGTGCCGACATAGGGTAGAAAACTAAAGCCCTAAACACATAGAACATGTAAGCAAGAGACGTAGTCAATAACCTGGGCGAGACTAAACCTACCGGAATACACCTTCAATCAATACATGCTCTGCCGCTTCCAGATAACAGAGAGTTGATCGACTAGCTTCGACGGAGAGAGCAAGACTCGAGCTCACCCCGTCCATAGTCCCATTGCCCTTTATCCACGCTTTGCACCGACTGCCCGCTTGGTGGATGACGGTCATGCAGAGATAGTAATTCAAACGTTGCACGAGCGAATGCATGCTCACATTCGGGTCCGAGGCCTTGGGTGAAAAGGACATGATTGGGCGCCAATCGGGCGGAATCGACAGCCGCCACTTTTCCAGCTCGTCGTCCAACTCTCGGATAGACTTCAACAAATCCGCGTCAGACTTTTGGAGTGCGCTCACAGAGTACAGATGGCTATATGCGCGGGACTTGATTATGCTCAGGCGCAGGTCAAAGGGGAACACCGGCTCCATGGAAGGATTATCGTCCTTCTCAGGATCGGAGAATGCTCGGTCCAAATAGCCCGGTGGGAGGGTCAAGTCACAATTCTCATCGGCAATGATAGGTGGCTGCCCTGTACGAAGAGCAACGTCCTTGTCTATTGTGTAGCATATCCAAAAAAGATTGCGGAGTTGGTGTTGCCGCCTTTGGCCATACTCGCCTTGATGAGAAATGTGGTTGTTGGTCAGATTGGCACCCAGCATGAAGAGCTGGCGCGCGGCAATTGCACCAAAATAGTTAGTAGCCCGTATGTTGCCTGATAAAATTCCACAGAGGGTCTAAATTGGGGGTTGAGCGTGTTAGCCCTTGTCCAAAAGGTGCCCATATCTGACATCAGTGTGGATGCAAGGTCTTACCAACATAGTCACTGCCTGTGCTCCATCTAGATTTGTGGGGTCTTGCAAAGTCTGAGCCAGTAGAAACTGACTCCTACTGGCTAAAGCATCGTGATCGACTGGAGGAAATGATGCATCGCTGAATTCCTTTTTGAGCGGGAGAAAGCGGGCGGCAAAGGCCAGGAAGGCGAAGATGCACGCTCGGCTGCTGGCCTGTCCCAATCTGAAGGTTGATTGTGGCTGCTGACAAGCCGCATGGATTGTCTCTTCGAACAGCTTGACATCCACGACTGGGAAAGTGCGCTGCATCACGGCGGAGCTCTTGTAGGCCTCGAAGTACACACGCACAACCCGCCAGTCCGGCAGCTCGTGGAGGTTCTGGTTAGGATTATTCATTAAGAAAGTGTAAGAGGTCTGTTCTCGCTCTTCCTCCCACGGTTCGCGCGCGGGGCAGAGCTTATCGCTCGAGATAGTCTGCCCAGTCCGAGCCTGGATCCATTCTTGGCCTCCTGGTAGAAGAAATGGAAACCCTGTAAGTAGATTAATGACACCCAGCTCTCTCCCAGCAAAATGGACGCCCACCGAAGACGAGATCAGGGGCTGATTGCTGCTGCTGGTGCTACGCGAGCTACTAGCAGTTTTGTTACCATCTAGAATCTCAGAGAACTTCGGTGGGACTATTTCAACTTAGTTACTCCACCAAAATCTTGCATTTCATGGTTGGGAAGAACATACCTGAACTGGGGTCCCGCATCAGATTCTCCGTTAGGAGCTGCTCGATGCGGTTGATGCGCTCTGACAGACGCGAGACCCGGGGCCGACTATGCCAGAATGTCAGTGAACGAGGAACATACTTCATGAAATAGGGTCACAGCAAAAAGGAAGACTTACATTCCCCCATCTTCCTTTTTTCGCTTTCTCTGAAACACTCGATCGAAAGTACAGGGCAGATTATGGTGGCAACACCAATTGCACTGCGGGACCGCCGCATCACATTTAATCTAGCGAGTCTCTTAGTGCCATCGTTAATATAAAACGTAACCAGGCTAGCTCAACCTTTCGTTTGTAACAGGAATCGCAGGCGCCCTCCGTACGCTTATGCATCTCGTTGTTGTTTGGATGCATAGGAATTTAGGATCTCAACGGCGATCTTTCCGGAGGACCTTGAAGCGCTAAGTCAGCGGAAGCCGGCGATCCGTGTGTGGTTGATCGACCGCTGGGATTGGCCTTCTTAAGCCAAGCTGGAGCAACACATTGGCTCCTATCATCAAGGTAAACTACAACATATGTTGATGTGATGCTGCACTCGGCTGGACTACAAACTATTTAGTGAGCTAGTGAACCTACGTGTGTGTCTCTTATGGCCTGGGATATGACATCGCCATGCTTTCTCCGCGTGCTTGACTAGAACGAGCAGAGATCGACGGGGAATAAACTGGCCAGGCTAGTAGGTGGTGGCTCGTAACTATCCGGCAAGCCGCAAAACTCCGCTGACTCAGCGGGTCTTCTTATGCCGAAGTGGGCACGGGCTGTCGAAGATCTTTTGCCCTCGACCCACTGTTCCAATAGTAGCAGGGCAACATGACATCCAAGTATGACCATAGGGAAAACTCAATGTCGTATGCGGTCCCCAGAAGAGCCGAGACTTTAAATATCTGATCAATTTTACCTCCCATCAATGGTTTTTAGTTTTGTTTTTTAAACTCATGTTTGAAGAATCCTTCTGCAATCCATTCACCTCATGCTTATCGCCTTACCCTATATCGCCACGATGGCGTCGGATACAAGCCCTTTCGAGCCTAGGAAGAAAGACGAAAGGAATTCTTCCCGTGCAGGAGATGATTCCATAACAGACACCGACTGTCCCATGACCCTCATCGATCACGTCGATGTTGAGGTATTTATATTTTCCCAGTGGCTTAAGGACGAGGAAACTGGGGTAGGTGACGAGTTTTGACACAAAGGGAAGGCACGACGTGACATGGGACGCCTAAATCGATCAGAGTCAAGATAAGACGATTAGATATATGTAACCTCGAGCGAGATAATCACCTAACTGTCGCATGGGCTCAGGCTTCAGGCTGTGTTCCAGCAGATTCTCACTCAAAGGGTCTTACAACCAGTTGATGCTAGTCCCTTGGGCACTACCAGAAACTGCTGATCGTCGACACCTTGTCGGTCAATACATGGTTTCCTAAAACTGTTCTTCAGGCTGTCCTTGATTCGGGCGGTCTACTCGAGATTGACCATTGACGACCATTGTGAAGACTTCAAGACGGCACCAAAGATATCAGAAAAGGTACTAAGGGTTCAAGTCATTATGAGATTTTTTGGAAACTATCCATTGCGCAAAAGAATTGAAACAAGTAACAACAAGGTAATACTCTCCCAAATAAAATAACACCTGAAGAAAATTGAAATAGATGGACTTCAAGTGAAAAATGTCCAAAATGAAAAAAACAATCCAAACTTCTATGCCAAGCAAAGCCTCTAGAGTTCCTTTTTCAGGGAATGCTCAGGCTTGTGGGTGGTCTCGTAGTCAACATGCACATAGGCACGCTCAACGTCGGGAAGCGACTCGAGCTTAATCTGGAGCTCTTCGGCGACATCGTGGGTGGCCCGCAGGGATGCCTCCGCGTCCATGACGACATCCACCTCGACCAGCAGACGAGGGCCAGAGGTGTATGCACGAACGGTGTCGATGGCAGTGATGACGGGTGAGTGGGTCATGGCTGATAGAAATGTTAGTGGATAGTTTTACCAAGACCCCAAAAGAACCGAAAGGGAATGAACATACAGATATAAGTGATAAGCTGCTGCATTTTGGTGTCTGCAGTAACGCCGACGAGCAACTGGAACTCGCCATAGGCAGAGTGCAGCCACAGGGCACTGACCAGCACGGACAGAAGAATAGCACCCATGGGATCGATCCACCAACGCAGCTTACTACCACCCACAGAGGTCAGAATACCGAACCCGTTGATGAACAGATCGTTGCGGTGATCCTCCCACAGAATGCGGATCTGCGAGACCTGGTTGCGCAGGGCCCAGCAGTACAGGAAAAGGCCGAACTTGGTGGCAAATGCGACGGCAACGGCAATGACGGAGGGGAGGTGGAAAGACTGGGTTGCTTCCTCAGAGCCTGTTACCAGTTCGCGAATAGAGAAGGCGATGATGATGAAAGAGACAGCGGTCATAAGGAAGCAGAAGCAGATATTGCCAGCAGTTTCAATGCGGGCCTTTCCAGCAGGGAACTTGCGCGGATCAACGCGGTTGACGGCCTTATTGCACAGCAGCAGGGTCAGGTTGGACATGGGGTCGAAGACGGCGTCAGCCATTGTGGTGAACAGAGAGAGCGATCCGGATGACACGGCACCGTACACCTGAATGACTGAGAGAATGATGTTCGCGGCAAAACTACCGTAAACAGCAATTCTGTACTTGAGACGGTTATCGACGCTCAATTCGCGGGCGGCACGTCGATGCTCCTCGACGGGCTTCAGCATACGCTCAATGTTTTCATTTTGGGACTCGTAGAATCCCTGCAGCTTCTTGGTGACAAAGGCCTGCTTCCCAAGACGGGCAGTGTCTTGCACTATGGAACCGACTTTCCGGCTTTTGTTTGCAGTGGTGGAATCCCGTTTCCGTGAGGTATTGGCTTTCATGTGTCGGATCTCATCCTCGGTCTTCAGTTTCGAGGCAAGCTGGAACGGATCGCTTTCAGGGGTGTAACGTGGCGGCGGTTGACCTTCTTCATCACTGGAACTGCCACTCCGGTGTTGCTGTATGGTGGTGAGCTCGTGCTCGAGGGCGGTTGTGGTCCCCTCGTTGATGGAAAGTGGAGTCGATCTGTCGGTCCGATGTGACGGTGAGCTGCTATGAGAGTGGTGCAAGCTCTGGAAGGCATGGGGGTGGTTGGAAAGACTGTGACGCAAATGTTCCTCCATAATGAATGAAATGAATGGGGTGAATTGGGTGGATGGGACTCGGGATGAAAGAAACCCTTGATGCAAGGGGAGAAATGAAATAAATTCCAATCGTGGCAGTGCATATCTTATCAAGATGATCATGCCCAGGCCCCACTTTAGCTCCTTGGCGCCTCGTCGGTGCATTTTGCATGTACAACATACATACATACATATTGTACATTACTATTGCAGGTATTCGGATTATTATCATTAGATTTGGTCGTACCTGGATGAGGTATGCCAATAGTGTTGAATAGTATGCTCACTGGCTCACATGACAACCCAGATATCTCGATTCTTCAGACCCCCGAGGTCGGGCAGGCAGATTGGCTCATTGTCGTTATCATGGACAGGAGGCACGAGGAACAGTGCATATGCCTGCAAATGCTAAAATGGCTCCGTTAGGATGTTAGTTATCCTTGGAGCCTATGTTGAATTTGGAATGGCCGAGTTGCGGCAAGGTGTTGTTGATATTGCCCCTCTGTTTGTCTGCACTTGTGGTTGTGGTTCAAATAGGTTTGTACTATGGACGAGGAATCTATACGAAGGGTCGTACCTATTTGGTGCCTTGGTATTACTAGAGACGTTTGGCAACGTATACTATTTATTAATCCATTTTTATACCTAAATATGCGTGATCTGGACTTTAATGTGCCCTTAGATGCCGCATTAAGTGCTCTCAATGAACCTCCAATTCCGGCTCTGAAGCACCACTTCTATGGTCCCCTTCGCCTACACCTGGGCACCCAATACCCCCCGATTTAGGGCTCACCTCTATAGCCCCAAGCTTTTATATATGGGCCCTCCCAACTAGCAGCTTTGTTCCCGAATCTTAAGTCTTTACCCACCAGCCAATTTCCCACCAAAATCGACCAACTTTGAACCCTATTCTCTCAAAAATTTATATAGAAAATAATAGTTTTTAAGAAACTTTGCAATAAAATTTTAATCTCAAATTAATAAAATTCTTCTTTCTGAATCATTAAATATGTGTGGCTGTTAAATAGTCACTAATTGAAATATTCATGTTCGTTGGAATGTAGATCATATATATGGGCGCCCATACTAAACTCGCGATCTATATCCTTTGTCAAGGTTTGAAAATATACAACTCTCTATCTAAATTACTTACCAAAATAATTTATATATAGTTTACTCTGGCTGTGCAATGTTAACTTATTTAAAAATAATTTAAAAATATGTTATAATATAAATTTATGAAAAAAAGGTGGTTCAAAGTTGGTCAGTTTTGGTGGGAAAATGGCGAGTGGGTAAAGACTTAGTGGCAGGGTCTGTATGTATCATACAAAGACTTAGGTCGTCAAGATGGATTATGTCGCCGCATAAAACAATGACCATAGACATGAGGCGAACGACCATAGACAAGAGGCGGCGACATAAGGATATGAAAAAATCGTCGGGGCGACCCGAGTCCCAACGAAACGCAGTGCTCGCTATAAATCCAGTCGTTTGTCTCTTGTCTTTCTTCTTCTTCTTCTTCTTCTTCTTCTTCTTCTTCTTCTTCTTCTTCTTCTTCTTCTTCTTCTTCCTCCCATCTTCATCAACTGAAAAGTTTCATCCCATTATCATTTTCAGACAGCTCCAACGCAATCAAACTTAATTCAATCGTTATCGAAATGGCTAAAGAGCCAACTATCCCCAAGGTCAAGGCCAAGGCTAGCAAGCCCGTCAAGTCTGGCATTGTGAAGCGCACTCCTGTCAAAACTTCCCCTGCCAAGCGTTCTCCTACCAAGCTCGAGTCCTCTACCATGGAGAGGGACGTGGTCTTCTTATGGAAGTGTATTAAGCTTTCTAACAGCTTCAAGGTAAGTATCTGTCAAATGTCTTAACATGTCTGATCAAACACACAATACAATTTCATGTGCTAACTGATTTGTCTTAAGATTGACTGGACTGCCGTCGCCAAAGATGCAGGCAAGTCCGTCGGCACTGTGCAGAAGCAGTGGTCTCGTCTGAACCTCAAGATTGAGAGGAGTATTCCAACCCCTGCTCCGGGCAACGACTCCGACAAGGATGACAACGAGGAGGGTGACCTGGTCGCCACCTCCAACGACTCGGAGTAGATGGAACGGAATTTTGGTGGCAACGCATGCTGAGGGTGATGATGCGACGGATATGACAGACTCTGGATGAGTCTTGGGCCACCATTTCTCACAACGTTCACTACGTTCTCGTTATGTCTTTAATTCTTTATTCACTGTTCTAGGGTGCACTTCAATGTGCCCCTCAAGTCTTGTACTTGTGACGGCAGCATCGTTACAATGTCTGTGACGGTCTGAGACTCGTTTTTCAAGACCCAATCCAATGAAACTTTCACAAATCTATTCAAATCGTAGTTCCGTAAAAGTATTGATAGCTTTTGAGTATACCATTCAAAGTACAAGTTGTTGTTAGTTGTTGTTGACGTTGATGTACCATTGCGGTTGAACCTTCGGATGAGAACCCTACAAGGTACCTATGCATCTGACATCAACCCTTGTCCAACTATGTCCAACTATATGCCCTGATATGTCCAACTTGAACAATTCACCCCTAATATGGCCTCATTCCTGCATGTCCATAGATCCGAGCCCCTCATTTATTTACCCCGCCCCCTTCCAGCTCCTCCGTCTACATACTTCTCATCCTACAAACTCCTCCAATTCATCATGTCCAACCCCTACTTTGATATTGAATACACCTCAGCTGGCGGACAGGGTAAGTTTCACTATCTTGTCTCATCTCAGTGACACTAACTCCATGCAGTGGAAAATTGGGGTCGCATTGAGTTCAAACTTTATGACGACGTTGTCCCTAAGACCGCGACCAACTTCCGCGCCCTCGCAACGGGCGAAAAGGGCTTCGGCTATGCAGGCTCTGCTTTCCACCGTGTAATTGCCGGGTTCATGGCCCAGGGTGGTGACTTTACTCGCGGGAATGTCAGTCGCGGTGTCGTGTCTCCATGACGGGAAATCCGAGCACCGGCTAATCTCTACTCTCTCTTTAGGGCACGGGCGGTAAGTCTATCTACGGTGAGAAGTTCGCGGATGAGAACTTCAAGACAAAGCATACCAAGGGTGGTTTGCTCTCTATGGCAAATGCCGGACCGGGCACCAATGGTTCCCAGTTCTTCATTACGGTACGTCGAAACGATGCTAAAATAACTGGGAGACGTGTTGTCTGACTGGATTAGTTTGTGAAAACTCCTCACTTGGATGGCAAGCACGTTGTCTTCGGAGAGGTTGTTTCTGGTCAGGATATTATCCAGAAGATGGAGAGCAAGAGCTTAGATCGGTCTGGAAAGACTGATGGTACCATTAAGATTGCTTCTTCGGGAACAGTCTAAGCTACCATTGGGGAAATGGTGCTTTCTTCTATCTGAACAGCATATTGGGTGGCAATGTGGATGTGAAATCGTCCATCGTCTCATCGATCCACACAAGCCATTTTCTTCTATACTAGACTTTATCAAATTAGGTAGAATGAACACTTGGAAGCCCGAGCAAATAATTCTGGCATATACTCCGTGACGACGAAAATAACCAGTAATAAAATGCTATACATACACAAGTAGACCTCCATCCAAATCATTTCACGGCAACCATAAACAACCGCGGATACTTCAACAAGACCCTCCCATCAACAGAAACCGGATAAACACCCTGCAAGCGCCTCAAATACGCCTTCAAGAAAACCTCCTCCTCCGCATCGTCTAACGGATCCAAAAACGGCCTCAACCCCGTCCCCTTAACCCACTCAATAACCGCCTCATGACTCTCCAGCGAATGATAATAACTCGTCTCAAAAATCTCAACCTGACTACAAAACGGTTTAACGAGATCATAAAGTTCCTGCGGCGACTGAAACCCATCTCTCTGCACACCAGCTAGTTTTCCCGCCCACGGGCCGTCAGCAGCCGTCTCGCGCATAAGAAGATGTGAAGGCTCGTTCAGATTATGCGGGACCTGGAGTGCGAAAACAGCGCCCTTTGCCTGGGGCTGTAGCAGACGTTTAATGACCGCAATGCGATCATCGGCTTTCAGCCACTGGAACACCGCGTTCGAGAAGAAGAGATCGACGGGCTCAGCTGGGTCTGGCCTGTAGGTGGACAGGTCTGCGACGTGGAAGTCCCGGTCTGGGAGAACTTTCTTTGCGCGCGCGATCATGTCGGGCGATGAGTCTAGGCCTGTTATTGTTGCTGATGGGTATTGCTTTGCTAGGACTGTTGTCGAGTTCGCTGGGCCGCAGCCTAGGTCGATTATTCTCTTTGGGGATGTTAGGGGCACGTGTGATAGGAGATCCCGGGCCGGCTGGGTGCGTTCATTTTCGAATTTGAGGTATTGGCTTGCGCTCCAGTCTTTGGTTTGTTGCGACATTGTTGTGGTGAAATGTCTGTAGACTTGTGGGAGTGGGGTTCTTGGGGAGTGGGTGAATAGTCTGGTTGCTGTTGGGTTCAGGCGACAGTGCATTTTTTTGATGATTTAAAATACTAGAAGATGTTTGCTTGTATGGATAATATCTGCTTTTATATTCAATGAGGTAAGTCGAAGAAGTGGCGATGTCGGATGTTCGGTGATCTCTCCGATATCGCAATGAACGACGTTGCATTGGAATCCAGGACAAGGGATAAAGCATGGTAAATCTGACATTTAAATTACCGATATATCTAGCTACTAACTAATGTAGAAGATACAGGTAGATCCAAAGCTGAAGACGATGTGCTTCTGACATTATGCTGCCCACTTTTTAGTGGGCCATTCCTCACGCCCTCCGCGTTTAGTTACCCACCAAGTTGGTGAGCATGGCCTGGATCCAGGCCAAGACATCCGAAGCACTATCAGTGGGGAAAGGCAGGGCCGAAGCGCTAGCGGAGGGTTCAGCGCTGGCGGTAGGGACTTGCGACGCGGCAGAAGTAGCCGATTGACGGGCAGTGGTGGCGAAAGTAGTAGGCTGGGCAGCAACTGTAGTGGATGAAGTAGGCTGAGCAGCTGTAGTCGGGGTCTGAACAGCGCCAGTTGGGGCCGTAGTAACAGCAATATCCGTAGCGCTGGAAGTGGACGACGCCTTCGACGACGCAACCGGGGCAGAGCCACCAGATCCACCAGATCCACCGAGAGTGAAGTCGATACACGACTCGTAGGTCTGGTCAATTGACTCGGCGAACCAGTACCACTGCAGCACACAGTCACCGGCGGTGACACACTGGCTTCCGAGATCGTCGGGGATGGTGACGCTGAAGCTGGTCTCGTCGGATTTGACGCCGGTGGCGGTGGACGCATAGACATCCCAGGAGATCAGGGGTGTGCCAATGACTTTGTTGGAAGAAGTGTCGACGACAGAGACATTAGCGACACCGGTGTGGGGGGCGCGGATGTCGACGGTGAAGTCGACTTTCTCGCCAGCCTTGTACGACTGGACGTTGTCCTTGTTGTCGGCGAACTTGTAGCCCTTGCAAAGCCAGATATCGCACTCGGCGGCTTTGTAGTCGTTCTGGTTGGAGGCGATTTGCAGCTCGCCTTGGATGTTGCCGTACTTGTCGGAGCCTTGGTTGGACAGGACTTGCTGGCCACAGGCGGCTCCCATTGCGGTACCGGGCTGGCGGGCTTTCGGGCTGGTGACGAAGCCATGGCCGTTGACCAAGGAGACGATGCTGGCGAAAGCCAGAGCGGAGGTGAAGGACTTCATGTTTTGAGTTGGGATGTCGGGGGAGTGAATGGAAATGATCGGTAAACCGGACCGATGAATGAATGTATACTTGATGAACGAAAGTCTGCACGGTGTCAAACCGGAGGAAAAATGAATGTGAATGTGAATGTGAACGAAAATTCAAAAAGGACTGGCCAGCATACTCAACTGGTCTTGTGTCGCGCTGATATGCCGCTGCTTATATAGTGGACATATTCAAAAGAAGCTATAGCTGAGCTGCACGGAGTACGCGACATTAATCAACTACAAACAGTAGCTTGACACTTATCAGAGACATCGCGAACAGCGAGTAGGGCCGAATGCATGATGCTATCATACTGAAACACATCGGACATACCCAAGGGACAGCGCTCCCCCACCGGGAGGGGAACGGTGAGACTGGCGGCAATGTTAGAACGCATCACCGGAGAAAACATTGCCTCGGGTGGATATTGAACTAGGCTGGATGATCTTCTCTCCCGAAGTGAGGCCGACGCTCCTGAGGCTAGGGTTGCCAAGCCTGGCTCCACGCGCCGAACAGGGATGCGCCGAGTTTCACATTGATGGGACCTGCACAGGTGCCAATGGGGGGGACTGACAGGTGAGACAGGGATTCGATGGGCGCTTTAAGTTGATTAAGAACGTGGAGATGGAATAAACTTGACTTTGGCAGGTCTGCTCGGACGTTTATCCAATTTCATTCCAATTCCATTCCAGGATTATCCCAAGTCTTAGTACACTCGGTGCTTTGAAAATCAAACTAAATCCGATGAAACTGACTAGTTACTTCTTGATCTATCAAGGGTTTCATAATAAAGTGTAATAGAAAAATATCACATTGCGCAATATCTGACTCTTTCGTTGCGCCTTTTGCCCAATTTCCTAACATTGGACATTTTCGCATATGCAAAGGATACATTATACACAATGCGTCCGAAGAGCGATAAACTTCAGTCTACTACTTTACAGCTGGATATTGTGATAAACGAAGTTTGTCGAAAATGTCACTACGACCATGAAACCAGAGTGCTGCTTGGATCAAGTACTTTATAGAGCCTGCATTGCAGAGTTCCATCTAATCAGTCTTGGGTAACTATGAGTTCTGCTACTCTGATTCCACTAACAAATCAATTTTGACGGCATTATCAACGATGTGGTCGAGTTGGGATGCGATGTTGGCGAGACAAGAAAAGAGAACTCCCAGATGAAGCAATGGATAACATTTCTAGCACAGATTAGGCGAATCACAATCATTCACATTAGAGAATTCTGATTGCGACAATATGATTCAATGGAAAATGAAATGGCAACTAAACAACATTCATTATGCTTCCACCACTACCCGTGACCAAGTCTCCTTCCTCGGTCTCGTGCATTGCAACAGTGCTCGACAAACATCAGTCTCCGATTCCTCAGCTCCTAGTGATTCAGCGATAGATCAAAGACAATCTTGCCCTTCGCATGCCCTCCATCCAGTCTCTTGAATGCCTCTTCATACTGCTCAATAGGCCAGACACTATCCACCAGTCCCCGACACAACCCCTTCTCAACCAACTTCGTAATCTCCTCTAGCTGTCGCCTTACAGGCTCCATAACAAAGAACAGATCCTTCACACCTTCACCCTCAAAACCATCCGGACAGACCTGCAAAGGCGGCTGATAGATACTCAGCACAACACCACCATCCTTAACAGTCCACCACGCATCCCCAAGAGACTTCCCCCCAACACAATCAACAACAACATCCACCTTATTGGATGGCGACTGCATAGCCCACTCCTTCAAATCCACAACCCGATAATCAATCACCTCCTTCGCACCAAGCGATCTCACAAGCTCCACATTCCGAGAACCACACGTCCCAACCACCTCGGCACCAAGCAGAGTCGCCAACTGCACAAGCCAAATACCCACACCACCCGAAGCAGCAGTAACAAGGACTCTCTTTCCAGCCCAAGCAAGCTGAGCATCATCCAAATCCATATCTCCCCCAAGAGCATGAACAAGAAGAACCTGCCAAGCCGTCTGCGCGGAGAGAGGAATCGCAGCAGCCTGCACCCAGCTTAGATCCTTAGGCTTGTGCGCCAGCTCGTCCGTAACGGCGATGGAATACTCGCTCGCATTCCCGGGTCGGATATAGTTTGTGCGCGCGTATACTTCAGCGCCTGGTTGGAAGGGCGAGTCTTCTGGTGCCGAAAGAACGATTCCGGCAATGTCTGGGCATGGGATTAGAGTGCGCGGTGTTGGTGGGGGGAAGTTCTTTGGCCAGAGGAGCTCGCCGGCGCAGGGGCAGCAGGCTTTGGTTTGGATTAGGTGCTCTCCCTTTGCGTGGTTTGGAGTTGGGAGGGGTGTGGTTGTTAAGGTGAGGGTTTTGGAGGAGGCGGTTTGTTGGATGATGCTGTGCATCTTTGAGGGGAGGGGGATTGACATGTTTAGAATTTGTAGATGTGTTTGGAAGTTGTAGAGACGTTGTTGTTTGTAATGATGAATGGATCAGTTGTGTCTTGTTCTTGGGTTATATAGTTCAATTGTCGAGACGTCATCCGGCCGGATTCCCGCATAGCCTATTTGATAGCCTATGTCCCCACATAAGCTACACCCAAGTATGTTGTCTTAGTTAATCAGAACCAACCTAGATGTAGCCAGCTGCTTCGTATTTCTCGTGTCAGAAATTATATCTACGAATCATAACTATATCTACGAATCATAACTTAATACCCAGCCGGAAGGTCGGGCCATCTCTCTGCCGTCGAGCTTAAAACACCCGCTAGGTAAGCTCAAACCTATAAAAGCGATAGATATTGATAGACATAGATTTTTTTTAATACGATTATTGTCTGAAAAAGTCCCAGTCAATAAGCTTTGATATTCTTGAATATAACCCTGTTTCAGGGAGTGGGTTTTAGCCCCCAACTTGGAATTTCTGCAGAATTCCAGCAAACAATAGACTTTATATCCACACTTCCTATTGGTAGATAATTGTACTTTTGTCAATTCACATGCAACTACCCAAATGACATCCAATCCGAGGACTGACACCGACCGGAAGATGCTTGAACCCCACAATCACCCCATATCAAAGCCCACCATTCAAGCCTATGATGGGGGCAGGTTTCGATGTAGTTCCTAATATGGTTTTTGACATGACAAGAGCGGGGTGCCATGCGGTCCGATGCCATTGACCGATCATGTTTTGGATTCTTCACCTCTCAGACTTTGACACCTTCAACTTTGTTTTTTTTTTTTTTTTTTGAAACTTCGAACGGTTTCTACAATGGATAAAATACATACTGAGCCCGAGGATGATATCGCCGTGGTATGTGCTGCTTTCTTTCCAGGGTTGTTTATTTATTTTTCTGATAATTATTAGGATCCCTTAACCCATGTCACGACCGTTTACGGCGACGACTGGCAATCGTAAATATTATGTCTTTTGCCTATATGAAAAAAGAAAGAAAATCTCACAATCTCAGGGAAACCACTTCGATCGGCTCCTCGCTTTATCGCGGGCTACTAGAGAATGGTCGACGGTATCAAACATTGAGCCACAAAGAATATCTGTACGCTTGGATTTCTGAATCGAAGTATTACCTGCTTACCTCCTATTAGGATCCCATCGGATGAGAAACAATTCGAGACATACGAAGCTGGGTATGCGAAATCCTTTATATATGATCTTTTTTATTTCTTCTAATTATAACTAACTATTACAGCCATTTGGTGGCCCTCGTCATGGACTCAGATCATGACAACCCGCTTTTCCGGGCGCCTGTTAAAGATCCTAAACATATCCTCGACCTTGGAACAGGTCTGGGTAACTGGCCCATGTATGTGGAAAGCAAGAAACACCCTTTATATTCACAAAGAACTACCACTCACCCTCTTCTAGCGATGTAGCCGATATGTTCCCAACAAGTAAGTCCAGAATCCTCCAATTCACCTATAAATCAACATATTAACCAAAACCCCAGCCAACGTCCGCGGAGTCGACCTCTTCCCACCACCAGTAACATGGATGCCACCAAACTGCATCCTGGAAGTCGACAACATCGCCGAAGACTGGACCTGGAACGAACCCCAAGATCTAATCCACATGCGCATTATGATCGGAGCCTTCGACGACGCAGAATGGACCCGCGTCTACCAGCAATGCTACGAGTAAGCCACCACCACCTTCCCACTATCCCACTACCATCCATCTCCCTACCCCTTATCCCACCCATTATCACATCCATCTAACCCAAACCTCAGCAACATCCGCCCAGGCGGCTGGATCGAACAACTGGAAGCAAGTCCCTACATCGAATGCGACGACGACAGCCTACCAGCCGACAACATCCTGCGCACCTGGGGCCCCGCGCTATCGGAATGCGGCAAGCGTGCCGGCCGCCCACTGGAAACAATCGATATGATGCAAGACGCGTTCCGCAAGGCTGGGTTCGTGGATATCTGTGAAAAGGAATACAAGTGGCCCATTGGGCCCTGGGCCCGTGATCTGAAATATAAAGAGGCCGGCACAGTCAACTACCATCATTGGATGTCTGGGATGGAGGGCTGGGCTATGTGGTTGCTTTGTAAATTCGGGGCTCCGGAGCCTTGGTCCCAGGATGAGGTTATTGTTTATGTGGCGAAGCTCAGGGCCGAGCTTAAGAACCCCAGGTATCATATTTATGAGCGCGCGTATGTTTTCCTTCTTTTCCCCAGCGAGTGTGGGGTGGATTTTGCTGATCTTTTGCAGGAGACGTGTGTGGGCGAGGAAGCCTTTCCCTGAGGAGATTGCGGAGAGGAAGAGGGCTGAGAAGGAGACTAATGAGAGGGTTGGTATCAAGACCGAGGAGTAAAGGTGGTATACTTTCGTTGTTGAGGTAAATGGAATAGGTTGTCAGGATATAGGGTCGATTATCCCCTATTTTTGAGGTCAAGAGATGAAGGTAGTCTTTACTGCGTCATCATTTGCAGGTTGCGGGATGACATGTCTGATAATTCCTGGAAATAGCCACAGATATTTGGATGGCCCCTTGTACCTTTTGGACTCTTTGTAGCTGCTGTTGATGACTTCCTACCAATGCATCCAATCTTTGCTTGTGATGCAAGGCTTGTCTATAACCCCGAGCTGTGTGCACATATTATGATCTAAAGGGACACTGCCCTTCACACGGTACAACACTGGATCACCGGGGGTATAAGACTCGCAAGTATGTATTTGCCTGGAAGATATAGTATGTACCTATGGTACGAAACGACGACGCACACTCGCGCTCCTATAAATCAAACATGCTGCTAAAGGTGTTCGCAGTAAAAAGCCAATGAATATGTGTACTGACAATGTGCAAGGTATCATGGAGGGCAGAGGGCAGGGGAAAAGAACCAAAAGAAAAAGGCAAAAGCTATGCGCTTGCAAAAAATAGACAAACCACAACCAAAGTTGAATGAATATAACCAAAAAAAAAAAAAAGAGTCCAGGCGCTGGGCGATGAAAAAAAAAAGAGACGTGCTATCGGCGACCACCAATTGATCCCTGCATCACACTAACGCTCCTGATCAGTGGGCTGGGGGCGCACGCGATCAGTCTGCGGCTGAGAATCACCATGCACCCGATTCCTCTCATGATCCGAGTCATTCGTGGCATAGTCATCGGCAAAAGGATTCCGCACCTGGAAATCCTCCGAGTTGTACTCATACCGGTTGGTAGTCGTAGATCCCGAGACAGGATGGGAAGCAAGTGGACGACCACCCGCCATGGCGGGAGAAGGCAGCTGTGTCGCGACGGGTGCAGGGGACTCAGGGCTCCGTGTTGCAGTCCGAGCTGGCGGCGCGGGGGGAGGAGAGAAATTCGTAGCGGCTGGTGCGACAGGCTGCGGCGTTGGCGAAGGACTATTCAAATTGGACGAGCTCGGCGACGAAGATCCTCTGATCTTGCGCGCCTTCAGCATGGCACGCTGCTGCTGCGACAGCGCCACGGAGATCTCATCATTCGTCTCAATGAGCGTCAACAGGGTATCTTCGTCCGGAGCCGGGTTGGTCGAGTGGATATATCCTTGAACAACCCGCGAGCCGGTCCTGCAGCGGTCAATGAACTCCTTGATGAGATCGTTGTCTTCCAGCTCTACCGGCGGCGTAGACTGGACGAACTGCGTCAGCAGCTTTGCCGAATTTCGCGCCTCCTCGATGCGCGCTGCTAGTTCGACCGGACCGGGGAGGGTATTTGCCGGCGCGCGGGACTGGCTGTATGGCTGCTGATGGGGATGGTGAGGCCTGGTCGGGACTTGCGGCGGGATGACGGAATTCATTGGGAAACGGTCAATCTGGCTAGGTTAGAGTCTTGGACGGAGCGCAGAGAGACGATGCTGTGCTCACCAAACCGTTCGAGGCTTTCGTCTTCTCCTTCGCCCACATCTGCAGCAGCAGTTTGAGATCTTCGTCCCATGCGCGCTGTTGCTCAAGGGTGTCCAGATACTGGCGGAGATAGCTCTGCACGTGCCAGTCGCGTCCTGTGCGTAGCAGCTCTTTGATAGTCGTCACGAATTTGGCATCGAAGTTGCGTGTGAAGGTGTGGCCCGGGTTGTCGACCAGGATGCGCATGAGCATGATCGCATTATACTGGGTCTGGTTCGGGGTGCCGGCGGGATCGGTGAGATACTTGCGAATGCGCAGAGCCGCTTCCTTGGCGGCATTGGGGCTCGACTCGGCGGTTTCAACGATTTTGGGGAGGTGGACGAATTCGTTTCCCTGCTGGGGTGGTGAAAATGCGATTGTCAGTCTCGAAAAGGAGGGTTATTATCGTCTCCGAGGCACATACCGCGTCGCGCAAAGAGCCATTCGCATTCGCATTCGATTCGCAGAAGGCAGTCTGGAGAAGGTGTCAGTGTGTCTCATTCAATCTCTCTGGAATCAGTACACACCAATTCTTTCTGGACAATGGCTTCTGGTGAGTCTTCACGGTGTTCGACGACGTCGATGGAGCCTATGTTCAGGTACAAGTCAGCGAATTTGCGGGCCTCGGGGGAACCGTGGAGACGGTGAGACACTCACTTGAGCGCCTGCTCAGAGATCCCAGGAAGCGCTTCATGGTGATCGTACAGTCTCTTGTTTTTCAGGGGAAATTTTGAGGGGAAAAGAAGGCTCAAATTGTCAAAGAATAATTCTACCCGGGGGCCAACTGCCGGCCTCGAACTAGTCTGCAGGGAACTAGCAATAGGCGCCCTCGCTAATCAAGAAAACAGGATAACAGAGATATATATAAAGTCAATATCTCCGGTCAAAGCCACATTCCACGCACGCATCCAGGTGTTCTGCATTGCCAAGCTGATAGCCATCCAGGCTCCAGGCAATTAGTCTCAGGGATCCATGCCATGGATTGTTTTGATTGGTGACTCAGCCAGGTGCAGAGGTAGACAGTACATAGTTTCAATATCCATTGACCATATATTTAGAAGTACCGAGTACTTGACGCCACGTACTATATCACCCCTCTACTCTACTTCAACAGCATCAGCCATCTCCCCCAAAGTCTCAAACCGCCAATCAAAGATCGGATCCCCAGTATTCCCCATCAAAGCCCCAGGCCTCTCAATCCAAACCGACTTAATACCAACCTTCCTCGCAGGTTGATGATCATGGAACTGGCTCTGCGCCGTCTGCAGAACCTGTCCAGCCCCAACCCCAAACTCACGCTGCACAGCACTCAACATGTACTCAAAGTTCCGGGGATCAGGCTTATAACTGCCAATATCCTGCGCGGTAAGAATCATATCAAACGGGACACCCTGCAAGCTGCCGGCATTGGACTTGGCGAATGAAGCCCGGTCCACGTTCGACAGTACCACCAGCTTGTAGTGCTTTGATAGTCGGCGCAGGGCATCGACGGTGTCTGGGAAGGCTGGCCAGGTTCCGACGGAGTTGCCGAATGCGCGGCTTTCCTCGTCGGTTGGTGGGTTGAGGCCTAGGCGCGCGGCGAGGGTGGGGTGGATTGTTGATAGCAGGTCTGAGTATGGGAGGTCTGGGGTTGCGGTTTGCTGGGTGCTTTCGAGGTCTTGGTATGTTGTTAGGAGGTGTTCGCGGGTGAATTGGGTGGTGCTTTTTGAGAGAATTGGTGCTAGTGCGGTGATGATGCCGCTTTCCCAGTCTATTAGGGTGCCGTAGACGTCGAAGCAGAGGAGGCGGTAGTCAGAGAGGTTGGTCATTTTGGTTTGATCTGGTGATTATATATATATAGAGGGAGTAGATTGGGATTATGAAGGAATCTCGAATTTGTATTTTGTTCTGGGCTACTTATACCCCCGCATCCATGTAGATCCCTGCTTATAGATTAATATTCCCCTTGGCATGTTCCCAGATAAGGATTGTCGGGGACCAGAAGTGGTATAGGCAGGGTTTCCTTGGGATTATGGATACATATGCCAATAATCCCCTCATATAAAGTGCATATAGAGGGTAGCCCGTAGTTCAAGTCATCAAGCCATCAAGTCATCGCTACAATGGATCGGATGTTAAAACAGAAAAATAAGATCATATTATATGACCGAAAGATCGGAACCTCGACAGAGGTGTGCAGCTAGACAAGACAGAAACGGAAAACACTCTCTATCAAAAGAGAAAACACTCGATAGAGTCACGGAGAAAGAACCACGTTTGTATCATGATTGGATCGGGAAGTACAGAATCCTATTTCCATCACCCTGGGCCATATCGTTTAAACTTTTTATTGGGTTCTCCTCCGAGTGTTGGCGCCATGACCTTAAAATCTTGTATGATCCGGTATCGATTCCGTTCCAACATACACAGCTGATGCACAGAACTCCGATCCTTCCCGTCCACCGCAAAAATCTTTTCACATCACGTCCCCTCACACCTTCTTATGGCAATCCGTTTATGCCTCAATGAGAGCACGGCGGATCTGGGTGCCACGCTGGCGGGAAGAGAGGCGGACCTGCTTGTCGGTGCTGGCCTTCTTGACCTCCTCGGCAGCCTCGGTGAGGATAAGCTCGATGTGGCAGGGGTTGGTCATGTAGGGGTTGATCTGGAAAGAAAAGGTCAGCATTTTTGGATACACTCAACCGTAAATCTTTGGGAAAACGTACGCGACCGTGAGCACGGTAAGTGCGGCGGCGACCCTTGGGGGCCTGGTTAACCTGAATGCGCTTGATGATCAGGGCGGAGGTGTCGAGACCCTTGCCATCGGCGTTGGCCTCAGCGTTCTTGAGCAGATCGATGATGTGCTCAGCGGACTTGACGGGCCAGCGGGCCTTGGAGACACCGAACTGCTTTCCTGTAAACCAAAAATTGTCAGTCGATGTTCGACTCCTTTCACAAATTTTCATCCATATCGTAGATCCACAGCATCGCCAATAAGCCAAGAAATCCATCCTCTCGTTTCGTCCATGTTTTCCTCATCATTTCAATGCATATCCCAGTGGCTGTCGTATATTGGCGATGCTGTTCGTCCTCCCCACAATCCATTCAACTCCGATCCATCCGGAATTCTCTTCAAGAAAAAGTAAAAAAAGGGCGACTCACCCTGAGCAGTGCGACCGGTGGAACCGGCGTAACGGCGCATGGGAACGGCCATGGTCTTGGTGGTGACGTTCTCGAGGAAAGCGAGGGCCTTGGACAGCTTCATACCGTTGACGGCCTGGGCGGTCTCACGGGTGTTCTTGAAGCTGACACGGAGGTAAGAGCCGCGCGCGCGGGCGCTCTTGGCCTCCGAGATCTCCTGTGCGGCGTAACGGACCTGTGAAAAACATCGCTCGTTAGCAATGGGATCGTCGTTGGGTGTTGGTGATGTTGGCAGCGAAAGTCGACCCGGCGATCGGACATTGAATGTGCATCACACGGGTGGCATTTCGTAGAGAATGGGATTCGGAAAGGTCATTATCGATGACAGGGACATGCAGCACTCACCATCTTGAAGGAGTTGGCGAGGGGGGTGTGATGGTCCTCGGTGATGAGTTGTTGTCGCTTTTCGTCGTCGTCCGGCTCTCGCTTGAGCCACTAGATTTGGTGCGGTTTTTTTCGCTCTTGGCGCTCTGGCCCTAAGCGAGCCCTAACGCTAGCCGTTTTGGGTGGATTCTTCCTTTGAGTTATGTCAGACTTTAGTCATCTAGTTTCTGCCCCACATCTCAGGTGTCGATCTCCAAAGCTGTTTTACAATCAACTAAGGTGAACTCTGCCCTTGGAAGCTATACTTGATACGTGCTTGATACTTGATGATTGAACGGAACAAATTTTATTCTTCATAAATGCATCTCTATATTGTCCATCTTTTGCCTATTTCTTCTGCTCTGGCACCTGTGTAATAAGCTCACCCTTCTCAACAGCCAACCGGAGGTTATCCAGCACCAGAATCTCCATCTCCTTCTGAGTCTCATAAGTTCCAGTACCAATATGCGGCAGCAACATAACATTGGGGTTGCTAACGAGCCCGGGCTCAATTTGCGGCTCGCACTCGTACACATCCAGGCCAGCAGAGCGCACCTATAGAACAGTCACTAGTCAGTCGGGAATGTCCGCATATCCATCATTGAATATCCATCATGGAAGGAAATTTTAAGTTCAACGCGCAGCAATACATACCTTGCCAGAGTCAAGTGCCGCAACCAACGCCTTCTCATCAATCAGCGCACCACGCGCCGTGTTAACAATCACCACGCCATCCTTCATCTTGGTGAACTCAGTCGCACCGATGATGTGGCGCGTGGATGCGTTCAAGCCCAAGTTCAAGCTGAACACGTCCGAATTGGCGAGCAACTCGTCAAACGAGACGTATGTCGCGCCGACTTCCAGCTCGGCTGGTAGACGGGACCGGTTGTGGTACTGAATCTTCATTCCGAAGGCCTTGGCGCGGATTGCCATTTCCTGCTCATGGTTAGCTGGGCTCAGGTGGTGCACTACCGTCTGTGCTACATACCCGTCCGATGCCTCCCATGCCCAGAATTCCGAGGACCTTGCCCTTGGGGTCGTGGCCCAGGGTGGTTCTGTACTCCCTTCCTCCTGCGGTAATCGGGCCTTGCCACTTTCCTGTTGTCATTGGGATTATGGTTAGTTGCTGGTTACTGAGGGAAGATTATTCCGCTCTAGTTTGGGGCTACATACCTTCCCGGAGAGCAGTAATAGGTATATGAGCCTGGCGCAAAGCGCCGATCATCAGGAAAATGCCCACGTCGGCTGTCGCATCGTTGACAGCGACTGGAGTGCTGGACACAGCGATGTTCTTCTCCGTGCAGGCGGCAACGTCGATGTTGTCGTATCCCGCGCCGTTGTGACAGATGTACTTGAGAGATTTAGGCAGGACTGCGAGCATCTCTGCATTGAACGGACCGGTGTACTATACGCTGTCAGTAAAATAACTCCGAGTGCAGGAGTAAGGCCGATGTCTACCTTGGTGGAGTTGTTGGACCGATAGAGAGCGACTACATCATCGTACTTGCCAGCCTTGCAGTTTGCGATGAACTCTTCTCTGGTTCCGCTGGGGAATTCCTGATTTGTCTGCTTTAGCGGGATTCGATCGCGGCGCAATAGGAATCGCTCACCTTCAATGTCAACAGAGATGAGATGCTCTCCCACTCCTTGCGCGCGTGCGTGATTTCTCCAATGAGGAGAGCTGATTGTGTTGCCATGTTGTTTCTGCAAATGTTAGATGCGCCAAATGATGTCAGCGGGGTTGCTCACATTTGCAGAGTTCTAAGATTCTATAGGAGTATATCAAGACAAGATGATTGAGGGAATGAAGCGAGCAATTCAGAGATTAGCAACTTTGAGAATGAAAAGAAAGGAGAAATTCCAAGAGTCCAGGAAATCAAAAGATTATTGGAGATCCATGTCCCCGCTATCGCAAACCCCCATGTCGTGACGGGGGCTCCTCCGACAGTGTCCTGGATATAGATATAGATCACATAAATCGTGTACTTATACTTCAACCACCATATCTCTACTAACGCATTTATTGCTACATTTATTACTCCATACACTTCATCAATTTCAATGTTAACTTATTACTTGTTAACTTCTTAACCTTCAAAGTAAATGCAAATGCAAGAATGATTACCCCCACGTCGGGTATTGAAACTACTCCTTTTGTCCAATAACCGACAGCGGAGCACCTCCGGGCCCCTGTCTTCCCCCCACGACAGCCAAGTGGGGTGTTTTGGGTGTTTTGAGGGGAACCAACGGGCCGAGTTGACTCCAAATGCCGTCAGAGGTCGGATTTCACTTCTTCGCTATTTACTTCAAATCTTCCTTCTATTCTCATTGAAACTCCTTACACACTACTCCCTATATTGTAAACACATCATGGCAAACACAACCACCACCGCGCTCGTTCTCCACGGCGCCAAAGACCTCCGCCTGGTTAGTACAACCCTGGAAACCAACAAGACCAAACTAACCCAAACCCAGGAACAACGCCCCATCACCGCCCCATCAACAACAGAAGTCCAAGTCGCCATCCGCGCAACCGGAATCTGCGGCTCAGACCTGCACTACTACAGCCACGGCCGCAATGGCGACTTCGTCGTACGGGCACCAATGTGTCTGGGCCACGAATCCGCCGGCACAGTAACAGCCACGGGCAGCGCCGTGACAACGCTGAAAGTCGGCGACCGCGTCGCGCTGGAAGTCGGTCTCCCATGCCGTACCTGCGCGCTGTGCAAACAAGGCCGCTACAACATCTGCAAAGCGATGCAATTCCGCAGCTCAGCAAAAGCCTTCCCGCATCTCGACGGCACGCTGATGGAACGCACAAACCACCCAGCAGATATGTGCCACTTGCTCCCGGACAGTGTCTCCGACGCGGGCGGTGCGCTGGTCGAGCCGCTCGCTGTCACGCTGCATGCTGTGCGTCGCTCACACCCGCCGAGTAAGGAGGAGGTTGCTCTGAACCGCGCGGCTGGAGAGGAGACTGCTGCGCTGGTTTTCGGCGCTGGTGCGATCGGTCTCCTGCTTGCTGGCGCGTTGGCTGCTAGTGAGAATTTCTCGGCGATTGTTATTGCTGACATTGATGCGCGGAGACTGAAGATTGCGGAGGATATGGGGCTTGGACTTAAGACTGCTCTTATTCCGAGAGCGGAGACTCCGCCTCCGGCGAAGGACGCGCCTCATGCGGAGCAGACGGCGTATGCGCTGGAGAATGCGCAGAAGGTTGCGGCTACGTTGGTTGAGGCGGTCGGTGCGAAGGATGGACTTGTTGTTCACGGATTCAGTCGTGTTTATGACTGTACCGGTGTGCCGGCTTGTGTGCAGGCTGGTATCTATGCTAGTGCGCCTGGTGGTGTGCTGGTGCAGATTGGAATGGGAAATCCTATCCAGACTCTGCCTGTTGGCGCGGCGGCGCTGCGTGAGGTGGATATCATTGGTGTGTTCCGTTATGATGGGTTTGCGTACCCTGCTGCTATTGCGCTGCTGGCGAGTGGCAAGATGAAGAGTGTTGAAGAGAAGGTTGTTACGCATAGGCTTAAGTTGGAGGAGGGAGAGCGGGCGTTTACACTTGCTGGGAATGGAGTTGATGAGGAGGGGAACCCTGTTGTGAAGGTTATTATTGAGAACCGACGGGGCTCTAGTGGCTCTCTGTGAATGTGATGATGGTGACGACGGTGATGATGATGATGAATTGTGTTTGAAAATACCCGGATTGTGACAATAGAGCAAAAGGATGGATATATATGTGGGGATGAGGATTGGAACTCTACAAAATTGAATTTACTAAATTGAATCAAGGTTTTGATAATAATAATAACTCGTAGGGGGCGAAAGGCCAATAAGATATATCTTCACTTCTTATACTATTCTTCCTAATATTGCCGGGTTGCTCATTTCAACCCTCCAGCTAGCAAGAGGCTCTGACCCGTCATGTATCCTGTTTTCACAAGCATAGTCACAACATTGGCCGTCTCCTCAGGAGTCCCGAGGCGACCAAGCGGAATACCAGCTGCCACCTCAGGAATAGCCGCAGCGTTAGGGATCATACCGGTGTCCCCAATCATGGCAGGTGCAACATCGTTGACACTGATATTGAATTCAGCCAGCCGGGTAGAAAGGTTCTTCATCATTCCTGTCAGACCACCTTTAGAGGCGGCGTAATCTAAAAGAGTGTCAGTTTGATATTCCCCAGAAAGGAAACGAGTATACATACGACATCCATTGATTCCTCCGCCTTGCGCAGCAATCGAGGACATGAACACAATACGCCCCCAATTCTGGCTCTTCATACGCTCCACCACGCCCTTGACGAGAATGAATGAAGCGCGCAGGTTGACATGTAAAGTATAATCGAACTCTTCGAGAGAGCAGTCCCAGATTTGTGGAATCCGCTTCCCGTGTCCAGCGTTCGAGATCAAGATATCAGGTCGGTGGCCGTGCTCGGTGTCGATTTGCTGGAACATCGTCTCGATGTCATCAGCGGAGCCTACATCCACTTTATGGATTGAGATTCGGAGCTTGTGTTCGGCGTATTTGCTCTGCAGATCGGTAACCAGGGTGTTCATTGCGGTCAGGTTGGTCGCGTATGTCAGGGCGAGATGCACTCCATGTTCGGCAAGCTGGTGTGCGCAGGCAGCTCCAATTCTACAATATTAATTGTCAGTTATTCATTCTCAGTGTTGGAGTGACATGAGCGGGGGAATAGCTTACCCTCCCGATGCACCGGTGATAAGCGCAAGTCGGCCCTTGATCTCGTTAAGTGACATGATGCGACAGAGTTGATGCGTGTGTTGATAATGTGAATAATCAAATGCGGAAGTAAACTCCTAAACCTCGAAGTTCGATCTGGCAAAGCAAGAAGAACTGCGTTGCTGGTCTCGGTTACCCCTCGGGGCCAACTCCGAGGGCAGCCCCCCCACAGCCCCGCATCATTTGCCGTCGCTTGGGGTGTGGGGGTGTCATATCACGGATCACATGTATCACACGATAAACAAAGCCATTCCCAACCATTTAAAAGAGAAGGCTACTGCTCATATCCCCCATCCAAGCAGAGGGCTGCCAAGACTGCGAGCGTGGCTCTCCAGTTTGGTACATATCGGCTGCATTCTGGAAGGCATCCGGGCCCAGCAAGCCACCAGAAATCTGGTCCCCGGACACATAATCGCCCACGGCCTCCAAATCCAACCATGAGAAGTCATTTGCGGGACTGAAATGCATATATCCCGGGTCTGCGACCGGGTTCGGAAGGGCTGTTTGCAGTGAGAAGTCACTATTTTGCTGTGTTTCTTCCGATGAGCTCGATGTGGGTTTGGGCTTCCATAGAAGCTCTAGGAGGCGAGCATAGCGCGACCCGACGTCGTCGGTGCCGGCGCTTGCTTGTTTGAGGACTTCGGTGGTTCGGATGACTAGGCCTTGGACTTTTGCTTCTTCTGATGGGACCATCATTCCGAAGGAACGAGCCTATGGTATCGGTCAGATGGTATTCAGAATATGGGGAATTGAATGTAGGTCTTACCTTGTAGAGGAAAACGGCAGAGTAGATGCCATATCTAAATCGCATGAGCTGTTTGCCTCGACATATCACGCGATGTAAAGAAGAACTTACAAGTAGAAGCGGAGAGGCATGAAATGGAGATGCTTCTCAGGATCTACCAGATCCACAAGGATTGTCAGGTATGACTTGGCCGCATCAACTGATTCATAAATGAATCGCGAATCCTGCATTGAAGCGACATTCTTGAACGTCGATCGTAGATGTTCTCGCTGGCCCTGTAAGTCTGTTTTCGGTTTAACTAGCGACTGCGAGATCGCAGCTTGGAACGCGAAAGCAGTTGTATACAGACGCAAGTACTCGTATGACAACTGCAGTGTTGCTCGCATAGGTGGTGAGCCTATTGATATGTTAGAATCAAGACATACCCAGAAGCTCAGAAGAACGAAGAAAAGGCCAACTTACAGTCCAGTGACCCCCAAAGTGACTTCCACCGCAGAATCGCCAGACGGAAGTCATCCACATATTTAACATAGTCTCCCATCAGCATCATCTGGTTACTAGTACGCATCCCCGAATACAAAACCTCATGAACATTCCCATAAAGCTGCGTAAGATCCAGCATAGCCTGAAAGATCTTCGCATAGTCCTCGTCGCCCTCGTTAACCGGCTGCAGCGAGGGAAAATCCTGACTGACAAGACCCGTCATGGGGCCCGGGCCACGAGACCAGAAAGCACGTCCAATGCGCACAGAAATCAATCGATCAGAGACATAGCAGCTCGCCCAGGCCAGTCGCCGACGAGCCTCACTCTCATGATCACCATAAGGATCCCCACGGAAAGAAGTTCGATCCATACCGATGAAATATCCCGAGCGCAACGCAAGCCCGACATGCATCCACGCAGCACGGTCTTCCTCTCCGCGCCCAACGCGCTCAATGCGAGGCCGCAGTCCCTGCGGTTCCCACTCGGCAAGTAACAGAAGCGCTTCGACAGCTTCAACATCGCACTCCGCGCCCGCGGCGATACCGGAAATCAGCTCGTGCATGTATTTCGAGCAGTACTCGTGGATCTCGGGCTGGTCGACCAAGTCCTTGGAGGCGATGGTCAGGACTGCGGTGAGCAGGTGCTTCTCATTAGCGGCGAATGCGTCTAGGGCGGTGCGCGTGAAATACTTCCGCGGCACGAGGGGAAGATACGGATGGAAGTTCTCCGCGTAGCGGGAGACCAGTTGCCACACCGTTTCCGGGTCTAGGGCGCACGACTGAACGAGTCTGTAGGCCCTGATACCGGTGGTTGGATTGCTAAAGTCTGAGACCACGCCGTTGCGCAGGCCGTTGTATACTGGGAACGTTGTTGGCTCCGACCGCACATGGTCGTTGCGGACCTCGGGGGTTATCCCCGTGTCTTCTGTGGCGATGCCGGTCAAGCATTGCCAGGCGTCTGATGGATTGCGCGGGACAGATGATATTGAGGTATCATCTTCCTCGACGGATGCTGACGCTGGTGCTGGTGGGTTCGGTGGTAAGAAGACTACCGGGCCGGGATAGGATGCCGACTGCACTCTACGGTTTTCAGAGTTGGTTGGGCTTGATGCTTCCGAATCCTTTCCTGGCGAATGACTGGATGGTGTAAAATTTTTGATTTTGTTCTTTCGGATTCGACGACCTCCACGATTTGAGCCACCTAGTATGCATTCGCGGTTTTCACGTACACAGCGCTGGCATGGTGGTTTGCCAGGGTTGCCGTTGGAGTCTCTGCATGCGATTAGCGTGGAACCAATATAATTGCAGATCCGGGGAAAGACAGCAAGGGCTGGAGTGGCTGAAACGGGATGAAAAGAGCAAAAAAGATAGTCTTACAGGTCACATCGAGACTTGCGCTGTCTGCAATGCAAACAGGCTCGAGAAACGCGCTTGGCGATATCGCGCCGCGAGGCTTCTGACGGGGATTCTTCGTCCATGGCTATAGCAGAAACATTGAAGAGTACGAAATCAAAGTCAGGCGTCCCCACAAAGAAGTCCGCAGACCCTTACTCATCGTGTCCATGCTTTAACGCCTCCAGCGCCTCTATGTGGGGGAAGATGCGCTAACCTTGGGAAAACTGGTTCAACGATTTGCCTACTTTGACCTCTATAACGATTGATGATCTTCCTTTTTTGAACTAATTAATATTAAATACTTTAAATGCTAGATACTAGAAATTTTAGAGATGTCTTACGTCTTCATACGCTATTTAATAGCCATTCGGGTCCTATTTTAAAGTGAATCGTAGGAAAACCACTACCGTGTCAATTGCCGACGGCTAATGACATCGGCTATTGGTATTGCCCGGAGTAACCCCGCGTTCTCATTTTGGTAGTGGACTTCTTATTTGGAGCTCCTCCCATTTGGTTCTTTTTATTCTTTTTATTTCAAGAACTCCTCTGCATCTTCATCTTCATATCCATATTCACAATGGCAGACGTAATGTCCCTCTTCTCCCTAAGCGGGAAAACCGCCCTCGTCACTGGTGGAACACGAGGTATTGGCCAAGCTATGGCCTTTGCCCTGGCTGAGGCCGGCGCCGACATTATCTTGATCCAAGTGAGAACACTTGCCCGGCAAGAGTTGGAGAGCATGTGCTAACATCTTAATAGAGAGACACAACCAACACATCAACCAAGGACGAGATCATTAATCGCCTTGGGCGTAAGGCATGGATCCATGTCGCCGAACTTGGGGATCGGCAAGCCGTCAAAGGCATCATCCCCGCATTGACTAGCCAGGGACTGAAGCCGGAGATTCTGGTGAACTGCGCAGGGATCCAGCGGCGACACCCTGCCGAAAAATTCCCGGATGAGGACTGGGACGAGGTGAGTCGAGAGCCCAATATAAACCCGCAATATAAATTGCCCCCTTGAAACACTATGTCTCATTCGTGGAATTATATATAGGTCTTGGAAATCAACCTTTCCTCCGTGTTCATCATGTGCCGAGAATTCGCTGCATATCTGTTGGCTCGCGACGCCTCTGAATTCCCACATGGTCGCCGAGGCTCCATCATTAATGTCGGGTCTCTGCTCACCTTCCAGGGTGGTATTACAGTCCCCGCTTATGCGGCATCCAAGGGTGGCATCGGGCAGTTGACCAAGGCGCTATCGAATGACTGGATCGCCAAGGGAATCAATGTCAATGCGATTGCGCCTGGTTATATTGCTACCGATATGAACACCGCCCTTATCAACGATGCTGACCGCAATGCCGGCATCATGGCACGCATCCCTGCTGGCCGATGGGGAAACCCTGAAGATTTCAAGGGCGCTGTGGTGTATCTGGCTAGTCGGGCTAGCAGCTATGTGTCTGGCGAGATTCTCACAGTTGATGGTGGATGGATGGGACGGTAACATCGTGGAAATGAATATAACGTAAATTATTTTCGAATAGATTGGACATATGAATCTTTTTTTTTGGCTTATTGGCTGGCTATTGTCAGATTTGTTACTTTGCGTAGTAGAAGAGTCCGTGCACACAGCCCTGCGACAACTTGAAACCTCGACAAAGCCAATGTCTTACAATAAAACACCGGATGAACTGCACATGTCAATGGGTTTGGACCGGGTGTTCGCCAGAAAATTGGAAGTCGACAGAATTAATAATGTCTCAAACTTCCTACCTAGGTAGGCTCTCATCCAAAGGTGTTGGCGCCCAGAGTCGAACCTGGATCTGCAAGGATCATCAGCAAATCATCATTAAATCACGCCTATCTAAAGGGGCCACTAGTCTTTTTGGAAACGCCGGCGTCCTTAGTGACACTAAAGGAGCTATCCCGATAGGTCTTTCTGTCATTTAAACGCCTTGAACACTTGCAAATCAGACCATACAGGGGGTTTTTGCGGAAACCTCTTAAGTCCATGCTTTCCTTTCTTCAAAACCCCTTCAGGGCCGAGCGTTCTTTGATTTCCATTTCTTCCATTTCTTCTATTCCATTCTCTTGGCTTTGAAGAACAATCGGCTGGTTTCGATTGTTAAATACACTCTCTTTACTGTTGGATTTGCTTGACTCTATATCTTCTGGTGTGGACCGCCTCTACATTGTCCGATTCCATTCTTGAAAGAAAAACGTGCCTCCCCCTTGCTTGCATTCCAGATACCTTTTGAGAGTGAGCATCTACCAAAATTTGATTCTTGGTGACGTGCTAATTTCTCTCAAATTCCAAAGATCAGGGGTTATTTCGGGTCGCTTTGTTGACTTCAACCTGGACATTCACATTCACACAATCCTCATTGTTCATTGTCAAGCTCAAACGAATCACAATGTTCCTATTATAAGACATTGTCTTTGTCCGATACAATCAAAGAGGTCTCTATCTATATCGACTCACTTTTGCCAATGTTTATAATCCATCCCATCTGATCTATCCACTGTCTTCGACTTCTTCGACTTCGATTCCCCGCAAACGCCCACATCCAGTCGACTTACAAATCTTCATATTTTGATCTTAGCTGTTGAGCAGCTTGAAAAATATTCCAGATTGCCATCTCGACTAGGGGGTTGTGCAACGTCCAAAGCACAGCCTTGCATGTTTTCTGCCTAGACCGCAACATCTTTCTTTTTTTCTTCAATATCTGCGCCTGTTCAATGGCAGCAACCCATCCGCATATCGCGGCACGAGGGTACGGGTCAAACGCCACATACATATATGAGTACTCGAGGGGGTTGGGTGGCGTGGACGTCCCTCGCGATGTGATCTTTACTCAGATCATCTACGTTTCCCTGGCCATCGTGGCATTCGTATTGTTCTGTGGCCGAATCGCCCAGATCAGCCATGCCTATCTACGCCAAATCACCGCATCTAGCGCAAACAAGCGCCAGCAGACTTTCTGGGCCCAGGAACAGTCAACATGGTGGCCAAACCTCAAGAAATACATCCTATATGCCCCATTAGGAAAGAAGAGACACAACCGAGAATTACAGCTCTCTTCCGCTGTCAATGTCGGTACCTTACCCTCCCGACTGCAAACCATCCTGGTCGCACTATACTTCGCCAGCCAACTCGCATACTGCCTCATCCTGGACTATAGCGTCAACAACAAGGCAGCCTTGATGGCCGAGTTGCGTGGTCGATCCGGGACGCTGGCCGTCCTCAACATGATCCCGCTCTTCCTCCTCGCCGGTCGAAACAACCCCTTGATCCCAATCCTCCACATCAGCTTTGACACATACAACCTCCTCCACCGCTGGCTGGGTCGCATCGTCGTCGTTGAGTCCGTCGCGCACACAGCCGCATGGGCCGTCAACGCCGTGGACGAGGAAGACTTCACCCGTATGCTCGCCCGCGTACATGACACTCCCTTCTTCCTCTGGGGCCTGATAAGCACAGTCGCAATGGTCTTCCTCTGCCTACACTCCCCTTCACCCATCCGCCACGCCTTCTACGAGACCTTCCTACACCTGCACCAGCTCGCCGCAGTGCTCGCCTTCCTAGGCGTATACCTGCACCTGCAGATCGACAATCTCCCGCAGCAAAGCTGGGCGCGAACGATCGCCTGTATCTGGCTCGGCGACCGCCTCGCACGTCTCTTCCGCCTCGTCCACCTCAACATCTCAACCTCCGGCACAACAAAAATGGTCGTCCAAGCGCTCCCAGGCGAAGCCTGCCGGGTGACCTTCCACCTCCCAAAACTCGTCCACATCGAACCAGGTTGTCACGTCTTCGCCTACATCCCCAGCATTTCATTGTGGATGTCACACCCATTCTCAATCGCCTGGGCAGAACCCAGCACTAGCAGCACATCAGCTCTCATCCCCTCCCAAACCCAAACCCCAAGACAGAGCACCAAATACGCGGACCTAGAAAAACAATCCAACCTGCCCACCAAACCCTCAAAACCAACAACCCAAGTCTCCCTCATAATCGGCGCCCAAAAAGGCATGACCCGCCGCCTCTACAACCTCGCCAACGCCTCCCCCTCAAAATCCCTCACACTAGGAGGCTTCATCGAAGGCCCCTACGGCTCATGTCCAACAAACCCCTCCAGCTACGGCACAACCGTACTCTTCAGCGCCGGCGCCGGAATAACCCACCACCTCCTCCAAACCCGCGCTCTCGTGACCGCCGCCGCGCAGAACACCGCCGCAACGCGGAAAGTCTACCTGATCTGGTCTGTCCGTTCTACAGACCACCTCACCTGGGTAAGCAGCTACATGGACCAGATCCTGCGACTGCCGAATCGGAGGGATATTCTCGTTGTTAAGCTTTTCGTCTCGAAGCCGCGGCGCGCGGCGGATATCGTCAGTCCTTCTGCTACGGTGCTTATGCATTCTGGTCGGTGTAGGCCGGATGTTGTTCTTGATGAGATTCTGCCGGGGAGGACGGGAGCAACGTTGGTTAGTGTTTGTGGGCCTGGGGCTTTTGCTGATGAGGTGAGGTCGGCGGCTAGGGAGAGGATCGGGAAGGGGGCTGTCATTGATTTTGCTGAGGAGGCTTTTACGTGGTGATCACTGGTTTGTTGGTGATTTATATGCATTCTTTTTGTTGCCCTATGGGGTTTCTTTTCTTGTATTTTTTGTTTAATGCATTCTTTTTCTTCTATGCTTGCGGTTGGCGGTTCGTGGATCCATATAACTTCGCTTAATGTCTAACGGTATACACTATCACTATCACTATCATAATCTCCAAACTTTCCTGTATACATTGGGTAATATCTTGTTTGAGAAGGATATTTACTGTCTTATCTACTTGGTGTGCACGGGATACTTAAATGAGAAATGTAATAAAGATGTAATTGAATAAGAGGCTTTATGCTAGTGTATGTATTATCTAGGGCATCCCCATCTGCAAGACCAAGTGTAATTATGTAAACAATAGAATGTGCAACAAGAAGAGCGGAGGGATTAGATTTGGCGGTCTAATGCAGAATATTTTTGAGGGAAACAGTAGCCACCAGAAGCATGGTTCAGTGAAAAAAAGAAAAAGAAAACCAAATATGGCAAAAATCAAGCAGTCTTAGTCTTCTTGCTGCGTGTTCCCTTGGGCACACGAGCAAGCCAGTAGATACCCACAGCGGCGAAGATGTTGAAGATAATAAACGCCCACATGATACCGAAATTGCGCCACGCGTCGCTGTAGTAACTCAGCACACTCGCGAGGAAAGCATCAGTCTCACCGACACTACAGAAAGTGCAGTCACTGGTGGCGTTCTCGTTCAGGAGGTAACCACCATAAGCGGGAGAGGAACTCGTTCCGTTGATGTAATTGCTCATGTATTCGATACAGGTCTTTCCGGCAGTGGGCTCGAAGTGGAGCATCTCGACAGGCTCGCAGACGATTTTTGCGCCGGATGTGCCGGTCGACAGCATTGCAGAGACTAGGTATGTGAATGGCGAGACACGGTACATGAAGATCCAGAAGCGGGGCATTTTGTCTGGGGTCGCGAGGACACCACAGAAGACCAGACAGAGGGAGAAGAGCAGGTTGGCGATATTACCGCCTGTTTCGGCGAGCTCGATGCCGGCTATCATCATATGTGCGAAGGTGCAGGTGAAGATCATGAAGGTTAGGATGAGGAGCCACATCAGGGCGCCGCGCTCGTGGACGTCGTCGGCACTGGTGTTGCGTTGTAGTCCGATGGGGTAGTACCAGCAGACGAAGATGAGGACGGACATGAGGGCGTTCCAGGGGAGTTCGACGATGATGTTTGCAGACATGAAGGCTTGCCAGGAGTATGATTTGGAGGGGCGTTCGCGGACTTCGTAGAGAGAGCGCTGGGTGACGAAGTGCGGCATGATTTGTTGAACCAAGTTACCGAAGACGGTCATCAACATGAAGACACTGAACATCTGGTTCTGGAGTCCTTGCATACTGTTCTGGGCATGGAAGAAGGAGAAACCGACGTAGAGGGCTGTCAAGGTGCAGAGCGCGATCTTGGAGTAGATGTAGACTGGGGTTCGCCAGTACTGGCTGAACACGCGGATGAGACATTGCCAGAGTTGGACGGTGAATGGTGCGGCGAATTCGTTGAAGCCGGTTGGGTCGTTGTCGGTTGTGGCAACGGGCTTCAGAGAGAGGTTGGACTTGAGCTCGGCAAGGTGGTTGTGAACTTCCTTGCGCTCAGGGCTATCGCGCCACACGGCAGGCCAGTCGATCTCACTATAGGTTCCGGGGGCAGCTCCAATTACCTCAAGCATCCACTCGGCAGGGTTGGCCTCAGGAGACAGCTTGGGTGCACCGTTTCGTTCAAAGTAGTTAGAAAGGGTAGAAGACTTCTCGCCGATCTCTCCGAAATAGACGGTCCTACCACCCTTGGCGAGGAACAGAAGACGGTCGAACCGCTGGAAGAGCATGGCAGAGGGTTGGTGAATAGTGCAGAGAATAGCCTGGCCGTGTTTGGTCAAGGTATCAATAAGATCCAAGATAGACCAAGATGTTTGGCTGTCAAGACCCGAAGTGG